GTGCAGAGGGCGGCTGTGGCAAGATTGAGATGGACTGAACCACAGCACATGTATGAGATGCTAGTAACTTTAAAACAGACCCCCAAAAATAAGGGGGGGGGGGGGGGGTTTCCTACGAATTCTCATTTTAAGTTCACCATGTTTCTTCTGTTTGCTGCTGTAGGAGCCAGTTACGTTTATTGTTGGCATGATGTTTTATTTAGTTTGGATGTATTTATATTAGTATTTTGGACACTAGGGGGCAGTGATTAGATGCACGTGGTTGGATATGAGGGGCACAGGTGACAGGAAGTGGGGAACACAGGTTCATCTGTTTGTACTATTTAATGCAATAAAATCACAAACTTCAACTGAATCGTCGGAAAGTCTTTGTGTGTCCGCGTATCAACTTCACTCCTACCTGTGCTTGGAGGGCAAAGATACACTCTCACTGGAAAGAAGGCTATGAAGGCTATACTTCTTTATTATATTAAAAATACATTTATATATATAATAAATAGCCAATATTTTGTGTATTTGTCAACATTTGAAACATGGAATAATCCCATATATAATATTGGTTGACAGCCCTACCACGTCAGAGCCAGGAGAGTTTGGCCTCCGGGTTTTACACTGAGAACAAATATCTTTTTCAACATGTTGAAGATTCAACATTGTGGTACAAAGACCGACGGGTGACATCACATTGACTACATCAACTTCTTTGTTCTGTCTTTGTACAATAACGTATTTTATAAAAGTACAATATAAACCTTAAATACAGGTAGCATAAAGTAAGCTACCTGTTACCTGTGATGAGACGACTACGTGCCAATGATTACATGCATAGTGCAAGATGCACGATGAACACGTGCGCTGTCAGTGTCACTTGTTAACCACCGACCAGAAGACAGAAAAGCATCATTCACACGCTGAGCGATGAGTCTTTGCTGTGACAGATTCCCCTCGTCATCCTCAGCCACCTGATTCCATCTCACACACAGATCAGTTGTATCAGTGGCAGCTCGTCCTCCTTTAAAAGCATCACTGACTTTCCTGGAGAGAACTCAGCTGAATGGATGCTGTTATTTCGTCCTCTTGCACGTGCGCGCGTGTGTGTTCGAAGCCTCGACACGAACGTCACGTGACTAATTATGACCCACCGAGATGTCACGAGGACATTCGCGCCGAGGCCTCGAAGCTCGTGTCGAGTAATCCAGGAAGATTTCCACGAAGCGCGTGTCGAGGCTCGTGTTGATGACGTATGTGGTGACGTTCGAAGCCTCGCGAACCGGCCGCACCACGTGACTGATTCAGGAAGTGGTTCGTGCGTCTGGCGCGCGACTCGAAATAAAAAAAAACGGGCGGCGAAACGCAGTGAGTCCCCGGCTACATTTGGTGCACTTCGGACTTTATTGCGCGTTTGTTTGCAAACTATTCGAGCTTATTTTTTCTGTGATGGAACCAGCAGGAAAGAGGAGACTTAATAACTAGTAAATAATTACTGTGAATAAATCTGACACCGCGTATCGCTTGTTCTAACGTCTTTCTTATTTCTGGTATTTTAAAAGGTGAAGTGTCTGTCGTGTTGAAGGGAGCTTGGATACAACAACAACACGTCATCTATGCTGAGGCATTATAGAGGCCTGCATGAGGACAAGGAGACCAACCAAGGTGGACCAAACCATGGACGTTTGGAGAACCCCCTGGAGTGTTGAGAAGAACATCAGAAAAGAGTATCAAACGTGTATGAACTTGCTGTGACTTTTCTACGTACCCCAGCTTCATCTGCTCCTTGTGAAAGGGTTTTCTCTAAAGCACGTGGAATATCAAATAAATGAAAATATTCCATTTTGTTCCTAGTAACATGAGCACAAACACAAACCAAGTAAAATAAGTAGAGGCACAAACCAAGAAGTCAATACGTATTTGGCAGTGGCTCAATGGCTCAATTCTTTTCTTTTTTTAAACTTTTCACATCACAACCCTCTCCCCAATTCGTTTCCATTTCCCCCTTTGACGCCGCCATTGTATCATAAAGACACAGCATATTAATACGTTCATAAGTCATTCATTCATTTATTCAATTCAATGGTTCACACAGCAAAGCCGTGGTGTCGTTTCATTTATTGTCCACTTGATGGCGCAGTAGAACAAATGAAGCACCGTGACGGTTCGGCCAACGTGTGACACAATTCAGGAATCAGGAAACATTTATTACCAAAAGATGCCAAACATAGAAAGGAATTTGTCTTGGCAGTTGGTACGCGACAGTAGACAGACAAGACAGCAGTGCACAAGTAATAAAATAAAGTAAAATGAAATGCTAATGCAATGGGTTAGTAGAATAAGGCTATGGGTTAGTATAAGGGAATAAAGTTAACAATTTTAAATATTAAAAAAGTTTAAAAAATATATATATATTAAGCATAAAGTGCACTAACGAACAATTAACAAAGTGACGAGTGACGACAAAGTGATAAATCACAGTTAAAGTGGCATGTGCAGTGTGAAGGGGAGTAACCGGTGGAATGTTATAGTCAGTCAGTGGGGGACCGGCTCTGTTGATGAGCCGATGGGAAGAAACTGTTGGTGTGGCGGGAGGTCTTAGTCCTGATGGACCTCAGCCTCCTGCCAGATTGAAGGGGCACAAACAGTTTTTGTCCGGGGTGGGAGGGGTCGGCCACGATCTTTTTAGCACGCTTCAGAGACCTGGAAGCGAACAAGTCCTGCAGGGACGGCAGATTGCAGCCGATCACCCTCTCTGCAGAGCGGATGACATGCTGCAGCCTGCCCTTGTCCTTGGCTGTGGCTGCAGCATACCAGACGGTGATGGAGGAGCAGAGGATGGACTCGATGATGGCCGGGTAGAAGTGGACCGTCATTGTCTTTGGCAGGTTGAATTTCTTCAGCTGCCTCAGGAAGAACAACCTCTGCTGAGCCTTCTTGGTGATGGAGCTGATGTTCAGCTCCCACTTGAGGTCCTGGGTGATGATGGAGCCGAGAAAACGGAAGGAATCCACAATAGTGACGGGGGAGTCACACAGGGTGATGGGGGAGGGTGGGGCTCTGTTCCGCCGGAAATCCACAACCATCTCGACTGTCTTTAGAGCGTTGAGCTCCAGGTTGTTCTGACTGCACCAGGACACCAGATGGTCAGACTCCCACCTGAAGGCGGACTCGTCCCACCAGAGGTCAGTCCAATGAGGGTGGTGTCATCCGCAAACTTCAGGAGCTTGACGGACTGGTGACTGGAGGTGCAGCTGTTGGTGTACAGGGTGAAGAGCAGAGGGGAAAGAACGCAGCCTTGGGGGGAACCGGTGCTGATGGTCCGAGAGGCTGAGACATGTTTCCCCAGCTTCACGTGCTGCTTCCTGTCAGACAGGAAGTCTGTGATCCACTTGCGGGTGGAGTCGGGCACGTGCAGCTGGGAGAGTTTGTCCTGCAGCAGAGACGGGATGATGGTGTTGAAGGCAGAGCTGATGTCCACAAACAGGATCCTGGCATTGGTTCCTGGGGAGTCCAGATGCTGGAGGATGTAGTGGAGGGCCATGTTGACAGCATCGTCCACAGACCTGTTGGCTCTGTAGGCGAACTGCAGGAGGTCCAGGAGGGGTCGTGAGGGACTTCAGGTGGGTCAGGACTAGCCGTTCAAAAGGCTTCATGACTACAGAGGTCAGGGCGACGGGCCTGTAGTCATTGAGTCCTGTGATCCTGGGCTTCTTGGGAACAGGGATCATGGTGGAGGCCTTGAAGCAGGCTGGTACGTGGCATGTCTTTGGATAAAAGCGTCCGCTAAATGACATGTAATGTAATGTAATGTCTCCAGGGAGATGTTGAAGATGTCAGTGAACACCGGAGACAGCTTGTCAGCACAATGCTTCAGGGTGTGAGGGGAGACTGAGTCCGGACCGCCTGCCTTACGGGGATTTTGTCTTTTAAAGAGCCGGTTAACGTCTCTCTCCAGAATAGAGAGGGTCGTTGCTGGTGGGGGAGGGGAAGATGATATAGATGAAGAGGCGTGAGCACCTGATGGGCTGGGGGAGGGAGGGGAGGGGGACTGCAGCAGGTTGGTGGAGCTGTGGGGGATGGGATCAGGACATTGTCTTTCGAATCTGCAGTAGAACTCATTCAGCTTGTCTGCCAGGCGGAGGTCATTCATGGAGTGGGGGGTTTTTGGCTTGTAGTTAGTGAGGTGTTTGAGGCCTCTCCAAACCGAAGCAGAGTCACTTGCTGAGAACTGTTGTTGGAGTTTCTCAGAGTACAGTTGTTTAGCATCTCTCACCGCCTTGCTAAACTTGTATTTTGCCTCTGTGTACAAGTCTTTGCCCCCGCTCCTAGATCCATTTGCAGGCGTAGTGTTCTGAGTTCCGCTGTGAACCAGGGTTTATCGTTGTTGTAACTCACCCTGGTGCATGATGGTACACAGCTGTCCTCACAGAAGCCGATGTAGGAAGTTACAGCCTCTGTGAACTCATCCAGACTGTCAGTAGCAGTCCTAACAACAAAAAACGAAGCGCACCGAAGCACCGTGGCGGCCATCAACGGCGCCATCTTGGATTCCAATTGGATGGAAAGCTTCAATGCTTCATAAAGCTTCATCTCGCCATCACGAATTATAATACGCACTTTAGACACTTCATCCTGTCGCTGATTGTGATCAGGAGCAGGTGTGTTGGCCCGAGGAACTGCAACTCCTCCACCAGCAGGACTCACGAGGAGGAGTTCATGACACCATTGCTGTGATCTATTCCTGTTTATTTAGATAGAAACATCAGCAGGACAAATACTTCACGTACAACTTTTTATCAAAGACTATATGTGGACAGTTAAATTATTCAGCTTTAAGACACTTAACTGTAGTGACTACTTTAACTATTTCAAAGATAGTTTAATTTTAATTTGATTTAAAATATTTTTAGATGAATGTTACTAATATGATGCAGGAGGAGCATGTGGACACACGTTCCTGTAATCTCTAGTATTTATTTAATTAAATAAATGACTGTAGGAAACACTGCTTAGAGCTGCAAGTTTATTGATGCATAAAATGATTAAACATTACAGAATGTATTAAACACAAACAGGTGAAGATAAAATACAAACATCATCTGTTAAAACTCTTAACACAAAGATGAACTTAAATGTGTCAGGATGGGCGGGGAAGGCAGGACTCAAGAGCAGAGTTTCAAAAACAAAAAGACGTAATAGTCGAAAATTCCAGAAGCGAAAATACCAAGGGGCGAAAACGCAGACAGGAACCAGGAACACTGACATAGACTTCAAGACATTCAACAGTTACAAGAGACACACACAGCTTAAATACCCTAGGAAGGTGCAGGTGATTGGACACATTGGAACAATCATGACGACAGAAAATCACAGGGGAAGACAGGACAAGGCAGGAAGTGAAGTTAAGAGTTAAAACTAAAATAAAAATAAAAAGATATGACTTTATATTGAATAATATCACCAACGTACTGAAGCTCAAAGCTCAAATATCAGGGTAGAAGAAGTTCCCACAATAATTACAATTACTCAAATGTGGTTTTCCATGTCGTCATCCGTTCCCCTGGTTCTGTCCATGCAGATGTTTTTAACCATCTGAAAAAAGAGATTAAAGGTTATTTAAGAGTAACAGGTGTAAGTGTTGTGTTTGACCTTTGCTGACTGCTGGTAGTAATACACAAGTACACTCAGATTGTACTACATGGTGTGTTGTACCTGAAGTACCTGCAGCTGTTTCCATCCTCACATTTTCATAAACACTCTCCTCTGGTTCATCATTCGTCCCTGTTAGAAGGATCAGATGAATGCATGAAGAGACACTTTATTCTCCTTTATTAAAGCTCTGCTGGCCTACAAAAGCATCTCAACTGCTGCAGCTTGTTCCCTTATAGAAGTATTCACATGAACCATCAATGTCTTTAAGCTCAAACACAGAATCTGTGACATCATCGATACACTTTGTCTTTAATTTAAAGGATGGTCAACCAGTCACTTGATCATCTGATTCTAGTATATTAACAGCTGTGTGATGAACACACAGGATTTACTGCACCATGTTTAGGTTCCTCAGAGCCTCCGATTGCTTCATAGAGACAAGAATCACCTGCAGAGCAGTGAGGATAAAGACGAGGTCGTATCAATCATTTGAACCACTTTGTATCAATTATAGAATCTTCTCAAACAGATAACCAGAAATGGAAATGTTAGCATTAAAGTTAAGAAGACATTGTTAAATAAATCAGGATTAAAGCTGACCAGGAAGAAGAGAAGCGTAATGTCCGTCTTGAGTTTCACCCTGGTTGATCATGTGGTCTCTAGCTGGGCTCTGATTGGTCCTCTGAGACCTTGTGGGTCCAAAACATGAAGTAAATACAGAGGATTTAATGAGGAACATGTAAAGTCCTGCTGCCATGTTCAGAGTGAGAGAAGAGAGGCTTGTACCAACCTGCTGAGGCTTGAAGCTGCAAGAAAAAGGTTTCACATTGATCATTAATTAGTGTGTGTAATAATATCTGTGACTTTGACTTATTTCAGTGAAATCAGTCTGATATCAGAAGGAAAAGATCTCACCTTCTGACTTTCTGTAGCGACGCAGAAACAGCAGCAGGAGAATAATCAGTAAAACTCCAGAAACCAGACCAACAACCAACGGCACGAGAAACACAGAGCTTGATGCTGCTTCTTCAGGATCTACACACAAGTACACACCAACCATGAAGAGATACACAAGTAACAATAATAATACTGTTTATTTATAACACACTCTTCATCAACAGATCTCAGAGTGTCACAGAGCCAGAAAAACATACTTAAAACAAAGTAAAACTAGTAAAAACACAGGTACTAATGTGTTGTGGTACTAAACAAGTACTACAGTCTGATTAACTTGTTCCCAGTCGCGTCATAGAATGTATGTCTTACTTAAGAGACACACATTGCTTAAATACACTGGGAAGGTGCAGGTGATTGGACACCGGTGGAAACAATCAGGCACACGGCAGACAATCACAGGGGAAGACAGGAAACCACTAATTAAAACAGGACACAAAGCCAAACGGTGACAGTCATCAGTCCGTCCAGTTCACACGCTGGTCTCAGGTGCCGTTGGTCTCTCTATCAATTTACCCTCAACCTGTCTGCATGTTTTTGTTTTCCTCTGCCCTTCAGCGTCAGACCCTCGTTGGACCACAGAATGCACCGTTATCAGTTCAGTGGACTCTGCTTAAGGTGTCAGACCTCTGCTCAATCCCTCCAGACCGCGAGATGTCGGTGGAGTTTCCCTCCCGACTCCAGTAGAGCCTGAGGAGCTCCTCATGTTCTTCTTTGCCTTGTTTTATTCTCTTCACAATTTGGTTGGTGAATAAAATCAGTTGATTGAACTAGAACTGCTGTGAGTGTGTATTTGGATCCACCGACTACACCACCCAACAGAAAGATGCTGCAACAAACTAAGATTGTTTAGTCATTTGTTAAAATAAATATTGAGTTAAACTCATCATGAAGTCACCTTAAAAATGTCAGCACTCTGTAATAAGATGTGTAAATACTTTAGATATAAAACCTTTAAATGAATATAAACTCACTGTGTATAGTGATGTTGGCTGCATTGCTGAACTGTGTTTCAGACTCACACCAGTACACTCCACTACTCGCTGTAGTGGTGTTGGTGTTGCATGTGGATCCAGTCATTTCTCCCCAGTAAAAACAGCGTGACAGGCGGCTATATTCATCAGCCCTTATCACTCTCCACTCAGTAGAGTTTCCCTCACAGATCAGTGACAGTGACTCTGTGCTGAAGTGCTGCAGTCTGTGAGGACTCACTGTGAGAGACGCTGCTGGATTCACACCTGAAGACACATCATTAGGAGACACACACGGGACAAACAATGTCAACACAAAAAGGACATTTATTCCCTTGTGCAAGAATATAAAAGTCTGAACAAACTCACCTCCAGACCAGACAAACTTCACAAAACTATCCAGAGTGTAAAACACAGGATCTCCTCTTCCAGCTCTGCACACATATCCTGCTGTGTGTGTCTGTCCATGAAGAATGTAGGAATCCTGTTCAGTCCCAGTGGTGCCACCAGCTAGAAGCTCATAGGTGTAGTATTTGTAGTAGTCTGACAGATCTGGAACAGCCTTATACCAGAAGAACCTCCATCCTGCAGACGGATGTTCAACACTGCAGGTCAGAGTCACTGAGTCTCCAGGACTCGTCCATGATGGAGACACTGTGAGGACAGGACGAGAGACACCTGTTGGAAAGAGGTTTGACAGAATAAAGACGTGTTATGATGAGTCCTTGGTGGATTACTGTCACTGCTGATGTCCTCCATCTTTTTATCTGTCTTCATGTGTTAAACAGGTGTTTGGGTTCAATGTCTTTAAACATAGTAACTAATCTCACATTTCAAATATTCTATTTCAGATTCTTTGTCCTTAAATCTGCACTTGTAAGAGCTCCCATCAGACATCAGAGAAATGGTGATTTCATGTGTGTGTTGATGGTTTGTGTCCATCTCAATAAGTGTTTTGTCTTTGTAGAAGTCAGCATTCTTCTCCTTTCTCTGGTCTCCATGTCGACAGTGAAGAGTCACTGATTCTCCTTCATACAAGGAGGACGCAGGAGTTAAAGGTTCACATCTCTGTCTGTGGAACAGTTACTTCTTTGCTTTACTAAATCAGTTTCATTAAATGAACAATGATACAAGATATCAGTGATTTATGTTTCCTACATAATTATAATTTAACATAAAGTTGCAGACAGAAGAAGATGTCAAAGTCAGTCTCCCATTAATAAATAATAAAAGGTTCACTGAGTAATGAGAACATTTCACCTGAAGGAGGCGCCACACTCTGCTGATGTGTTTGATCCATTTGTGTTATAAATAATTAATCAACTAATTGACTCATAATTTGTCAATAGGGAAAAAATATGGGATGGTTTGTCTTAACTCTCTTTTGTTTTATATGAATTAATCAATATTATCTAATAATTTATCCTTTTAAACAAAGATCAGCTAATTAAACAGCACCAGTGTCACTTTCTTTCATTTATTAATTATCACTACATTATATTGTATCAGCACTTCATCAAACATGTATATTAAATCAACACGTCAACACGTCACTCTTCATGACCATTGACATCCACCATTGACTATAAAGTCAATGGTGGATGTCAATGGTCATGAAGAGGAAAGTAAACCATAAAGACGTGTTGGATAATACAGAGAAAAGATTAAGATTGTTGAATTGTTTGTTAAAATAAATATTGAGTAAAACTCATCATGAAGTCACCTTAAAAATGTCAGCACTCTGTAATAAGATGTGTAAATACTTTATATATAAAAACCTTTAAATGAATATAAACTCACTGTGTATAGTGATGTTGGCTGCATTGCTGAACTGTGTTACAGACTCACACCAGTACACTCCACTACGCGCTCTGGTGGTGTTGCATGTGGATCCAGTCATTTCTCCCCAGTAGGAACAGGGTGACAGGCGGCCATATTCATCAGCCATCATCACTCTCCACTCAGCAGAGTTTCCCTCACAGATCGGTGACAGTGACTCTGCGCTGAAGTGCTGCAGTCTGTGAGGACTCACTGTGAGAGACGCTGCTGGATTCACACCTGAAGACACATCATTAGGAGACACACACAGGACAAACAATGTCAACACAAAAAGGACATTTATTCCCTTGTGCAAGAATATAAAAGTCTGAACAAACTCACCTCCAGACCAGACAAACTTCACATCACTATACTGAGTGTAAGACACAGGATCTCCTCTTCCAGCTTTGCACGCATATCCTGCTGTGTGTGTCTGTCCATGAAGAATGTAGGAATCCTGTTCAGTCCCAGTGGTGCCACCAGCTAGAAGCTCATAGGTGTAGTAGGTGTAGCGTGACATGTGTGGAACAGCCTTATACCAGAAGAACCTCCATCCTGCAGACGGAGGTCCAACACTGCAGGTCAGAGTCACTGAGTCTCCAGGACTCGTCCAAGATGGAGACACTGTAAGGACAGGACGAGGATCTGTTGGAAAGAGGTTTGACAGAATAAAGACGTGTTATGACAGAATAAAGACGTGTTACTAATTCTCTCCTTCCCTCACTCGGACACCCAGGTGGCGGCTCGGATCTCTGCCTGTCTAACTGACATCTCTCAGTGGATGTCCGCCCACCATCTGAAAATCAACCCCGACAAGACTGAACTACTTCTTTTTCCCGGAAAAGATTCGCTTACCCAGGACCTGACAGTCAACTTTGGGAACTCCGTACTAACGCCCACTTTGACCGCTTCGAACCTCGGCGTCACACTCGACAGCCAACTCTCCCTGACTCCCAACATCACCGCGACAACGCCTGTAGATACACGCTCTACAACATCAGGAGAATACGTCCCCTTCTCACTCAGAAGGCAGCGCAGGTACTGATTCAGGCTCTTGTCATCTCCCGCCTGGACTACTGCAACTCCCTCCTGGCTGGTCTCCCTGCAACCGCCATTCGACCTCTGCAGCTCATTCAGAATGCAGCAGCTCAACTGGTCATGGGGTCGTTGTGGCGCAGGGGTTAGAGAAGGTGTGCTGGGAAGCACAAGGTTGGCGGTTCGATTCCAGGCTGCCCGATGTTCCATGTCGAAGTGTCCCTGAGCAAGACACCTAACCCCTAATTGCTCCCCAGGCAAAAATGTGAAAAAGCCATGGGTTTAAAGTGTAATGTAAGTCGCTTTGGATAAAAGCGTCTGCTAAATGACATGTAATGTAATGTCTTCAACCTTCCGAAATTCTCCCACACTACTCCACTCCTCCAGTTCAAAACATTGGTGCTCACGTACCATGCTGTGAATGGATCTGGTCCAGCTTACATCCAGGACATGGTCAAACCCTACATCCCAACCTGCACTCTCTGCTCTGCATCTGCAAAACTACTCGTCCCTCCCTCACTGAGAGCAAAACACTCGACTAGATCACCACTCTTTGCTGTCCTTGCGCCGAAATGGTGGAACGAGCTCTGTGAAGACATCAGGACCGCAGAGAGCCTCCACATCTTCCGCCGCAAACTAAAGACACACCTCTTCAGACTCTACCTCGACTAAAGACTAACAAACTGTAGCACTTAAATTGTACTTGTAACGTCACTCATCTATAGCAAATTGTAAATTGGCTTATTTGAGGAAATTGCACTTTCTTGTTTCTTGTTCTCCTGAGTTTGTACCCTATGGTTGAATGCACTTATTGTACGTCGCTTTGGATAAAAGCGTCGGCTAAATGACATGTAATGTAATGTAATATGATGAGTCCTTGGTGGATTACTGTCACTGCTGATGTCCTCCATCTTTTTATCTGTCTTCATGTGTTAAACAGGTGTTTGGGTACAATGTCTTTAAACATAGTAACTAATCTCACATTTCAAATATTCTATTTCAGATTCTTTGTCCTTAAATCTGCACTTGTAAGAGCTGATGTGTGGCCCTGCTGACACCTGCTGCTGCCATCATCATCATTATTCTTTTAAAAGGTTTGTCTTAACTTTCTTTTGTTTTGTTTGAAATGATCAATGTTGTTGAATAATTGATCATTTTAAACAATAATCAGCTAATTAAACAGCATCACTGTCAACTTTCTCTTAACATTCATATAGTATGAGGGGCCGTTTAGGACTTAACTAATGAAACACTTACGTTTGCTATTGAAATGCTCTCGTGCACACTACTGAGACACTTACACATACACATACATACTGTGTAAACCTATGCAGGTGCACATATAACACATTACACATACTAGTGTGTATGAATGAAATCTCACCAGCAGACGGAAGCATCTCAGTTACAGCGGAAGACGGAAGCAAAGAGGGCAGATTTTGAACAGCGATAAGCGACAATCTTACGCCCTTCCTTTATATGCTTTTAAGTCTGGACTCGCCCGTCCTTCTGTAGGTCCAACTTTATAAATATACCATGTTTAAGTCACGGAACGTCGCTGTAGGAGTTTGGTGTGTCGGTGTGTTGGGGCTTGTGTGTTAGTTGTTCTGCAGTCGGTTGGTCAACATTCAGCCTTCATGACAAGTTGCTCCGAGGATGTGGGAGATGTTAACGGTTAACGGGACCGTCTGACTCCTCCAGCACCGGGCGGTCAGCTCATCTCACGCCGCAAAGAGCAGCCTGTTCTCAGCCAGACGTCTGTGAAACGCTCCGCTTGTATTACGGTGACCAGAACCGTCCGGATTTTCAATGCCGTCCTTTATTTACGTTCACTAGTGAGATCTGTGTGTATATTACACAGCAGTGTGTGTGTACGCGTGTGTGTTCTCATATGAAGGTGTTGAGTCGTCTTGAGTGAAGGTATCAAAATAAATAAAGTTGTATAGAAACCTTGAGCGTGTCCACAGTAGAGGAGAATATTCAGCGCTAAAATAAAGTGAGAAACATCATCAAACTGACAGAAACTATTAACTTCTACATTTAAAAAGTTGTATCCATGAAAACTATGATTTAAACAGAGAAAGTACTCACAGAAAAGCCCCAACGCACCAAACAAGGTGTGTCCCATCCTCACGTCCACGCTGACACTCGCTTGTGAGAAATGATTCCGCTTTGTGTCAAGAGACAGTTTGAAAGTTGTGAAACATGCAGAGAAATGTGGAAATGCAGGACAATACATGAACATCAGATGTGAGGTTTTCTCTAACTTCTGCTTCTGCTGATGTGGTGCATTCTGGGACGCCTCTTCCATCAAAACTGAACTGCAGCCTGAGACGTGTAAATTAACGTTAAAAAAACATTTTGTATTCTGTTTTTTTAGGGTTGTTTATCTTTTTTGTATTCGAAAAATAAAAACTCTACAGTCCACTATACATTTAGAGAAATCGGCAGAACCTTTAAAACACATCAAAAGAGGAAACAGTTAAGACTCTTTCACAATCCACCTCACTTGCATAAGACGTAATGGAGAAAATAGAGACGAGAATTTCCACCAACTCTTTAGTTCCTCATCTGCAACAGCAAGTTGAGAGAAATTAGAGAAAACAATTCAGTTTTACTACATATTTACAAGATATATATATATATTAGCAAATGGTACAACATACATTTCGCCCTCAGGTGACCTTGTCTCCTCCCTCTTGGCGGTCGATGGCGCTGCTGGTCTGGCGGGGGCCCGCCAGTCTCCGCCGTCTCCACCTGGAGACAACGCGGTTTGCAACAATGTGTCACACACGCTACGACGAGACGTCTCCTCGTGTCACACTGAAGCTCTATTTCACATCCTGGAGGAAGGTCAGAGTTGAGAGCATCTGGAGGGTCAAATGCTGAGGTCACGTGACTCACCTGATGAAGACTTTTGGCCGCGATGAGGGCAAAGGCAACAATTGTCACTATTACTACAAAAGAGGTCCGATGTCTCTTTAGGATTTATCAAGCCTGGAAGGACATGCAGACCCGTTTTGAGAGACAGACACAACCGAGTTATTAAACGATGAGCCAGTGGCCCAAAAACTCTCAATATACAGTGAAAAAGTATTTGCCCCCTTCCTGGTGTCTTGAGTGAACTGTGATTAATGAAATCTTTTGAAAGCTGAGTTCAATTCCAGTTACTTTTTCACACAGGGCCAAGTAGAGTTGGATATTCTTTACCCTGTAACAGTATCATTAAAACAGTTTGTCCGTCTCTGCTGTGATCATCAATGTAAGCTAATTGTATCCTGCTGTTTGCCAAGAATTTCTTTGTACCACTCAGGCAGTTTGATTGATATTTGGGTCCTGGAAAATACATATTTGAAGCGATGTATTTAGTACGAACAATGTAGCATCATTTTCATCAGAAATGATAGCTATAAATGTTGATCTGACAGACATTGATTATGTAATGAGATTGTGGCTACAAGGCCGATGGGAAAAGGATCTGCTGGCGATGTGATCATACGGTACAGCTGTAGACCCGGAGGAGTCAACACATCTGTCCACTAACTGCAGTCCTCACAGTGATACATGATGGTCAAGAGGATGTCATTTTTCTCTACTTGGTCAGATCAATACCAAAAGTACTGTTACTAAGCTTTGTTTCTGCTATTGATCTTGCTAGGATCAATTCGAAAGACGGTGATCAGGCTCACGTTAGCTCACACTCTGGTTATAGAAATAGTCTTTAGTGATGCACCAGATTTTTCCAAAGCGATACTTAAAACAATAACGGTGCCTGAACGGACAATTGACAAAAAAAAGGAAAGACATTTGCAAGACAATTTTGAACAACATTTTAACTGTTTAAACAACACTGTAAATATGAATAGATAAATAAACACTTCTTAATTAACAATATATTTACTGTTTACAGTATAATTACATGTTTCCTGTCTTTAAGAGCCGTGCACGTATTAGTTCATTGGAATTTGGGGAATATTAATCATCTAATTTTAGATTTATGCTCATTGTGCAGGAAAAGTGTTTATGTTTTATTGACACTCCTTGTTTGATGACGTCATTATTGCAGCAGGTGCATTAAGCACGAGAGCTTATAGTTTTTTTTACCGTGTGACTGAATTTATTAATCGTATATTTAGTTAATAAAGACGATGAGAATCAAACGATCTCCTGTCATTCTCATGAGGAAATGAAGTCACGTGTCTGCGGCTCAGTGCAGCTTAATGACAAACAACAGGAAGGAACAACGACACAACCTCGGTTTAAACGTTGGGGGGGAAACGGACCGGCCGACGGGAGGGGGGGCTGCTGACGCGCGCTCTGTATCCGGTGTGTTCGCGCACGTGCCTGTGTGCGCGCGCGCGCAGCGGCGTGGAAGGTGGATGACCAGCAAACTGCTGCAGCTTCACACGCGGCAGACTGTTAGCTGCTGCATGATCGGTGTAAATAAAGGTTTTCAATCGGCTCAGACACCGAAACGAAGCACCTTGGTGATTAAGGAGCAGTGAGCTGCTGTGAAGCACTGAGGCTTCATCAGGGTCTCAAGGACACGGAGACATGCAAACTATGGAGAGAACCCGGATCGAACCGCACTGTAAAACATCACAGCCCTGTTTAGTTCCACTCACTTCTTCTCTTTACCTCAAAGAGCTCTGACAAGATGTTTATCAACTTGCAACTTAGTTCAACTTACAGTAACGCTTTGTGTTGACTTCTATTATTAATAAAAGCTCACATGGAGTCACAAAATGTCGTTATTTCAATACAAATTCAGCATGGACCTTTTTGTTTGTGGGGCCCGACAGAAAAACCCGAGAAGCATCCGGCCTCCAGTCGAATGCGTCGTAAAGGAGAGGACCACAAAGGAGGCGCGTACCTTCTTGTTCTCTCTGTAGGCCGCCGTGGCTTTACGTACATGGAGAAGCAGCGTTCACTTTTTCAGCTCCACGTATCTGGAACAAAGTCTCAGAAAGCTGCAGGTCTGCTGGGTCCCTCAGCTCCATTAAATCCAAATCAAAGACTTTTCTTTTTGCTGCTGCCTTAAATTTCTGTAAATCGGAATTCTTAAAGACATTCTTAAATTACATTACATACAATTTTATTCTTTTTCAAATCTTTTTTTATCATATTAATGTCCCTTTTTCTTTCATGTTTAACTGTTTATACATCTCTTTGCTTTATGTTTGGACGTTTTTAATGGTTTTATGTGAAGCACTTTGAATTGCCTTGTTGTTGAAATACAAATAAAATTGCCGTGCTGGACCCTCAGCGCTCTCTGCTGGTCAGCTGCAGCTTCACGCTGTGTGTTTCTCCTCCATCCGCCTCTTTAGCGGCTCACGCGTCTCCCTCCTCTTTTTATTTTTAGAGAAGTTGTTGCAGTGATGTAATGGAGCGTAACGGAGTACCTGTGCTCTTCTCTCTTATTGCTTCCGTAAAAAGGTTTCCGCCACACTTGATGATGCCTGTGGTCCTGGAGAGCAGATTTATGGGAGTATCTTTTACCTCCAGTGAACCCAATCGTCCTCATTACGCAACGGGAGAGTCAGCCGACGCACCAAGTGTTCATGAATCTGCTCACCTGACAGCTCGTCCACAGCCGGGAAGAGTCTGTGATGGGGGGAAAGGTCACGGGGGAACATACAAGGGGGTGGAAGCTGTGCAGAGGGCGGCTGTGGCAAGATTGAGATGGACTGAATAATGTCTGAGAGGCTCGTTACTCTACAACAGACCCCTAAAAATAAGGGGGGGAAAGTGTCTCATTTTTAAGTTCACGCTGTTTCTTCTGTTTGCCGCCCTGAGACGTCTTGGAGGAAGGAAACTTTCCAAAGTGTCAAATGCTGCACGTTCAATCATCTCCTTAACGTTAGAAGATTTCTTGTCAATTATAATTTGATAACGTAAATATAGTAAATTCCTTTGCAGACGCTAGTTACAGATTAAACTGTGATGTGCCTGTGCATTCACTGAGGGTTCTGTGGTGGCAACAGTTACCATGGGAATCCGCCCCCCACCCGGCCATCCGCCCCCTACCTTCTCTGTCAGAAAGAAAGCTGATATGTTGCGTTTAAGGTCACGTGTCAGAGCGCTCAAATGCAGGATCACCAGACTGTGACAATGAAAGAACCAGATACTGTCAGAAGACCAACGAATCCACTCAGGAAAGATTCCAACTTCTAAACCACTTAAAACGTTTTATTACAGATAAGAAAGTTAAAACCAAAGTAACGAGTTCTTGTGGGCAAATCTTGATTGCGGTCTTGTCATATTCCGAGTGTCCCGTGGTTCTCCCACAGCCAGGCGTGATATTTGTTCAACATGTGATCTTCCGGTTTCACCTTTTGATGAAAAAACGAAAACGAAAAAGCGTTCAAATATCGCGTGACGTGTCGTTCGTGGACGTCACAAAACGCAACGCAGACCCCCCCCCAAAGGGACTCGCCTCTCTCCACTCCTCCACGCAGAAGATCCTGTACGAGTCGCTGCCGTACTTCCCGATGCCGTGCAGCTCGACGGGGCGGCGCCACGGTTTGGTCACGTATTCGTCTGCGCGGGGAGGAAAAGCACTTTTTCTGGCCGACGCCGTCGCTTCTTATCATGAATGTGTCGCCCGAAAACCAGCACACTCACCTGAGAAGCGTACGAGTGTTTTGGCCCTCAGCTCGTTCAGGCCGAGCGGCTTCATGAGGTCACAGAGGGGCCTCCAGTCGGCCCGCCGGGTCGCCTCTGCAGACGGGTAACGCTCAAAGAACTGCCACAGCACTGGTATGGCCATCTTGCCTGTGTCGTTGAAGGAATATAAGCCAGAATTCAGGGACGTTTGGTACAACACTGTGTGTGTGTGTGTGTGTTGGATCTAACTGACCACTGGTCTTGTTGAGAAAAATGGTGGCCACGAGGAGCCTCCAGGGGTCGTGGAAGAGGGTCTCCTGCACGAGGTTGTAGGGCGAGCGGGGGGGCGTCCACTTCCTGAAGGCCTTCCTCCTGGGGGGGCTGGGGCCTGTGTGCAGACGGGGTGCACGTCTCCTTAATGCAGAGGTGCGTTTGAGGTCTCTGCTTCGTGTGGGAGAGGACACGTTCTAACGGTACCTTCTCTGAAGGGCTTCCTGCTGAAGTAGGGGCTGGTTTTCCGTTGGTCATCTTTGGACTCTGATCAGACAGGAAACATTTATTTATATTCATATATTTTCATGGAGAAGATTACGTGATCACAGACGATGCAGGACAGCACACGCACCCCCCGAGCATATCATTTAATGTTGTCAACAATGTTATGCACACACAGAGCCTTTGTTTTTGTTAAAAGAGAGAAAGAAAGTAAATGATAAAGAAATGACCACGTAGCAGAATTATAAATGAGGTGCTCTGAACTTTTATTACAGATAAAAAAAAGAGTGGACTTGATCAGGTTTATTACTTGAAAACTGATCCTGCTTTAAATTATGGGACCTGAAATGGAGCAAATCTCACATATTGTGTAATAAGTTCCATTTCCTCTTGCATCCCTCTTTATCCAACATACCCCCCCTCACACTCCCTGTGAGTACAAAGACATTTGGTTAAAGAAAAACTGACCTGTTGACATCATAGTTATTACTTTTACACGAGGTGTGTACTCACTACTCCTCGGTGTGCGGCTCCCCTCCTCGCCCTCGGCCCGATGACCTCCGACCTCCGGCTCAGGATCCGTCTCTCTTCCTCGCCCGTCCTCGTCGTCGGCAGCAGGTTCAACCCTCAGCGTCGGGACGCAGGGCCTCGAGTCGGCCTCCTCGTCCCGGTGAGCTTCAGGAGGGTTTCGTCGCCCACCGCAGGGGGCCGGTCCGTGCAGCTTCGCCCTCGGCCGACCGGCCCCCCGAGGAGTCTCCCCTGGTCCCACTCCCTCCTCCGCCTCTTGCGCGGTGGACGGAGCGGCTCGTGTGCAGCTCTCGGCTTCTCCGTCTTCAGCATCCCTCCTGGCGAAGGAGGCGGGTCTCTCGGGTTCATTCGGAGGACGCGGCTCCTCTGTTGTCCCCTGTTGTCCATTCGCGTGTCTTTTCTGTCTCCCCCCGCGTTTCCCTCTGGCGGCGAGCACCTGTGACGGGGTGACCACGTCGTCCTTGGACGCGGTGAAATCAAAGAGTTTGATGTCTACGCTCCCTTCTCCGTCCTTGAGGAGGAAGGCGAGCAGAGACGCTCTGGAGCGGAACCTCTGTCCTCGGGGACTTTGCACGACAGAGAGAGAGAGAGAGAAAAATCAGTTAGACGCTCATCTAACAAAGCACTTGAGTCCCGGTTAAACAATGAGTCACCTTGTAATGCAGATGTCCACTTTGCCCGCTGTCTTGCCTGCTTTCCGCTGCCGGACCTCTCTGCTCCAGCCGAAGGGCAGCGTGGAAGCTCGCCGCGAGTCGTCACATCTGGGACTTTGGTTGTCGTCGCTGGTTTCCAGTCGGGTATCACAGCCGGTGCGTCCTTTTCCTCCCAGATCAGCAGCCATTGCTGGATCTTTACCTGAAATGATCATTCACACTGTGGCTGCAATGGACACTTGGAGGACGTCCGTCGTTAATGCAGCCTGATGTAAAGTATGCAAGCATCTAAACATCGTGGATCCAACGTAACAGCAGATGTTGAGTTTGAGTGCGGCATTCGCTCTCCGTGTTTCGGATGAGTTCTGAGACGTCTACACGGTCTCGCCTCCACACCCGGAAGTAGCGAGCGAGTCCGAGTCTGCGCAGTGAGAACGAATCGTGAAGACGGAGCTTAGCTTGAAAAACCGACGAGCTAAAACAACCTGTTGATACGACCCCCGCCTCCCCCCTCCGTTCGGTTTGTTGTTAAAATAAAGGGAAGGAGGTAGAGATGAGAGCCGTTCTAGCGTGGAAAGAAACCATTCGGGACCAATGGTGAGAGTCTGGACGTTCGGGTTGCGTCTGTCATGCCGCGATGTAACGCTAGGTGGTTAGCAACGGCGGTTGCTATGTAAACTAAAGACAGCCAGCTAAGGCTAGCTAGCATTAGCCCGCAGCAACTCCGTTAGCGTTCACAAATGACAGATAATGTGTCAGGTTTACGATTATTGCATCTTATTTATCATGGGAAATGTTTTCTCTACCAATAGTGTAGCTTGTCATCTTTATTTCGGCACAATGCTAAGTTAAAGCTAACGTAAAGCTAGCTTAGCTTAGTTTGTTCTCGTTTATCTCGGATAGGATCTCTGTTGTTTCAGGAGCTAAAGCTCCTATTTTGCCTTCTTCTACTGACATAACGTAACATTTAATGTGTACTATCATTAGCTTGAATTATACAACCACATATATCCTAATATTGGCTTTATGAATACATTCGTATCGGGCTGTAACTGTAATCTGTAGTTGGCAGTTGTTGTGGCAGCAATACGGATTAAAGGGTCGTTTGTTGTCATTACCAAATACAGGGCTGCACAACAAAATGCAGAGACGAACATTTAAAAAACAAAAAACAAAGCGTGTGATTATTCCAGATGCAAATCTCTAGATATTCAGTTCACTATTATTTAATACAAATTAGGGGAGATAATCCTTCATTAGTCCCACAGTGGAGACATTTGCAAATCCTCTATATTGAGAACCTTGAGCCCACGGATATCTGTCATGTTTCCCCAATGTCTGACTTCACTGACAGGTTTGTTAATAACTGGAGGAACAAATAACCTCTTTTGCAGCATTTATGATCTTGCATTCAAGCCGGATGGCAGCCAACTCATCATCGCCGCAGGGCTTCGTGTCCTCGTAAGGCTTTTCCACGTTCGTTTGCCCAAGACCGATATATACATCCTTTCCTATTATATTATTTAATGTGTGATATTTTGGTTGCAGGTTTATGACGTAGCCGATGGAACGATTATCCAGCCTTTAAAAGGACACAAAGACACCGTGTACTGTGTGGCCTACGCTAAAGATGGTACTCGAGGGGCTTTTCATTTGTACACTACATTTTACTTTATAAGTCTTTTTTAGTTATCTTACTAACTCCATTCTTCTACAGGTAAAAGGTTTGCCTCGGGGTCTGCTGACAAAAGCATCATCATCTGGACTTCTAAACTGGAGGGTATTTTGAGATACACGTGAGTGTTACCTTTTACTCGTCACTCTATATTCACATAGCTGTATTTCTTGTTGCCCCAGTGGGCTTTACTGTCTCATCACATCCTCTGTGCCCAGGACCCTCACGCTGGTACAAGACAAGCTAAAACTATATCGATATCCCTTTACAGGATGGCAAGAGTGCAATGGATCGATATTCATGTGTACAGAATTAACAGAATATAAATGCAACCTATCTATTTTGTACTATTTCTTCCCATCTTTTCATTTGTTCATGTGTAGTCACAATGACTCCATCCAGTGTGTTGCCTACAACCCTGTCACTCACCAACTAGCCTCCTGTTCTTCTGGGGACTTTGGTAAGTGCACCATGAGTCCACACTGCACTTAAATATCTTGTTCATAATGTACTATAAACATTAATATTTGAGTATATTCTTACTTTCTTAGGTCTTTGGTCACCGGAGCAAAAATCCGTGAACAAACACAAAGTGAGCAGCAAAATAACATGTTGTGGGTGAGTGAGCTTTGCACTTGTAACTGTTTACAACATGTAATTTGCTTTAACGCGACACATTTATGCTGAAGGCTTTTCGTTTGATTGAAGGTGGACAAACGACGGCCAGTACCTCGCCCTCGGCATGATGAACGGCGTGGTGAGCATTCGGAACAAGAACGGAGAGGAGAAGGTCAAGATCGAGCGTCCAGGAGGCTCCTCGTCCCCCATCTGGTCCATAGTCTGGAACCCCTCAAAGTTAGCACACATCACAAAAGAAAATCACACGGCTCTTTATCTTCACCCATTTATATCGGATTTAATGCATTCATTAAATCCGATATAAATTCAAGTGAAACAATGTCGCTGGGATTTTAAGAAGCGATGTGCTGTTGGGAGTCCGTTGCCTTTGAGGTGAATAGCTCGTGTGGGACCAGTAGGTGGCAGCAGTCAGCCAGGGAGTATTGGAAGTCTTTCTGCTGTCCGTGTCCCTTGATGCCGCCTGCAGTCAAAGTGAGGAAGACAACTGTAGCCATGACAGAGGACTGCTGAACAGGTTCATTAAGAGAAAAGAGGCCAGAGAGGAGAGACGACGCTCCAGATATATTTATTTAACAAAGACAGTCCCGTTGAGATTTCAAATGTAAAACAGCGAGGCCAATAAAAAGTGTCTGTTCTGCCGCGGGGGGGATTCAGTGTGTCGAGCGTGGACGCTTGCATGGAGAGACACCGAGGCTAACTGTAAATGACAAGGATTAAAGACAAATGCAAAGTCATGATAAGCACATTTCAAATCCGGATACAGCTTAAATATTTCATTTGTCATCGTTACCTAAACAACCAAAGTCCCAACGGTACCGTGTGTTGACAGAAGTGCTCATGCCGGAGGTCGTTGTCGTTGTGTGCGTTCACAGGGACGAGCACAATGACATCCTGGCTGTGGCAGACTGGGGTCAGAAGCTGTCCTTCTACCAGCTCAGCGGAAAGCAGGTGATCACCGCAGGATCCATCCATGTCCCTCAGACGGAGCCCAACACGGGGACTTTGCTAGAATACACAATACATGCACGGTCCCACTTGTGCGACATGTTCTAATAGAACCCACTTCAAACTTCTCAACTTCAAAATCGTCTCAGTGTTCGTGCCGTCACTTGCTTTAGCAATACGTTGTTAATACTGTTAATCGGTCCAAGATATGTGCTATTGGGAACCCGTAACTGAGTAGAAGACCGGCATTTCCTGTTGTAATAAGCCTGTCAGGCTCTATTGAAACCATAACAGTACATTGGAAGTGATCCCGCTATGCTCTAATCCCCCCCCCCCCCCCCCACTGTCCTCCCTTAGGGCTTTATTGTAATTATAGACAAATATGCATTGTTCATTACTCTGCCGCTGGCTCACATATTGTCATTGGCTTTTTTTTATTTAAGTGAACACTGTGGTTTGATTACAGCACCAGGAACTGTTTGCAATAAAAGAGAAGAGCTTTGAGTGAGGAGAAACAGACGCGCGGAGTCGAGGGGGACTGATACGCTGCGCATGTTGTCTTTGAACGTTAAGACAATAGAGAACCTTTTATGTGTACCGTTTGAAGGGAACGCACAAAGGGATGAGTGTACTCCGGACTTTGATGTGAGACGGTGGGAGGTGCTGGCCCAGACCCCCCCCCCCCAGGCAACAAACATACTTTTCATTCTTCGGGTTCTCTCTCTCGGTCTCCCTCAGATCGGCAAAGACAAGACTCTCACCTACGACCCTTGTTGCGTCAGCTACTTCTCCAAGGGCGAGTACATCGTCCTGGGGGGCTCCGACAAACAGGCGTCCCTCTACACCAAAGACGGCGTGCGGCTCGCCACCATCGGGGAGCAGAGCACCTGGGTGTGGACGTGCCGGGTTAAGCCCGACTCCAACTTTGTGGTGGGTTCCTCAGAAATGATCCCCGAGTTTTAGGTAATCGTGGATGTCAGAGCGAGAAGAGAGGTGAGGAAATGTAATGCAAAACGCCGATGATGCTCAGACCTTCTATCCAGAGTGTCAGTCTGCATTTGATACGCGAGTCATTTCATTTAACACTAACACCTTTAGCCTTTTTTTCTTGCTTTGGCTATATTTAGCTGAAAGTGATGGGGAATACAGGAGAGAATTGGCTGCTGGCACATTCTCTCGGTTCTACTGTGTAGATGCTTTAGCAACAGGAACATTTTCCCACTCTTTCAGTCTTTTCTTAGAGGCGTTAATAGGATGCACCGCTACATTGTTATCTCCTCTCTAGGTGTTGGGCTGCCAGGATGGGACCATCGCCTGCTACCAACTTATCTTCAGCACAGTTCACGGCCTCTATAAGGACCGCTACGCGTACAGAGACAGCATGACTGATGTCATCGTCCAGCACCTCATCACCGAACAAAAAGGTGTGCGTTTGCTTTAGCTGCGGGATATTTAGTTAATAATAGAGGTTGTTAATGGGTCTGTCATAGTTTGTTTGGGGTTCTCATTTCAAACTTCATATAGTAGAGGAGTTTTTATGAAGGTGAAATCTCATTATTATCACCATCATCATCAATTTGTGTTTTTTCACATATAGCGAGAGCAGCATAACCGGAGCAAAAATGAATCCTACAGAATGCATTGGCGAAGACAATAACACTTATGTGTCGTGCCCCCTCTCTCCTTTCATTTCCTCCGCTCCCTAGTACGCATAAAGTGCCGCGAGCTGGTGAAGAAGATCGCCATCTACAGAAACCGCCTGGCCATCCAGCTGCCCGAGAGGATCGTCATCTACGAGCTCTACTCGGACGACTCCTCGGACATGCACTACCGGATCAAGGAGAGGATCTGCAGGAAGTTTGAATGCAACCTGCTGGTGGCCTGTTCCCAGCATATCATCCTGTGTCAGGTCAGAGGAGATAATGTTGCGCGGGGGAACGCTCATGAAAACAAACTGTCCTGAACACTCCAACTTCAATTTGATGACTTAAAACGCCTCGCCCGCTTCTTCCTGGGGTCTTTTTTGTGTTTTCGGGTCTTTCTTCATGTAATGATACAAGCAGTTTCCCCCGTGTTCTGCCTGTCAGACTAAATCGTGCTGACCCGAAGTGTCACTCTGCTTTTCCGTAAATGACACTAATGCACACTTGACAGATTGCGCGAGAGGCCGTCGAGACATTTGAGAACTATTACCACGATGGAAGCAGAGTGAGTCAGTGTTTAGCCACTCGATACCAGCCCAAACAGCCCGGCCAAGAATGAAAACATCTCGCGATTGCTGCTTTTCCAGATGTTTCTGCCCGGTCTGCAAAAGCCTCCAGCTGTGCTCGGGCTCCGCAGCCTTCCGTCTCGGCTCCCTCAGCCGCCATTCAAACTGGATGCAGCCCGAGAGTTTGCTGAACCAGCGGGGGTCTCAGGGGGCTCCTCTTCCCTTTCTCCTCTCTGTCTGTTTGACAGAGGCTGGAAGGGAGGAGGAGCAGCCGTGACACCGAGGTTATTTCCTTTTTTTACATCTGTCTGTGTGTGACAGAGGTGCTTCAGATCTCCCTGCGTTTCATGCCTCAGACAGCTTTCAGACCGTATAAATGGGCTGTGCTTGCGCGGCTCTGTCAAATCCAATCATTGTTCGCCTTTTAGAGCCGCAGAGCTTTGCCACACGGGGCGAAGAGCTGGTAGGCCTTTTCTCTGGGCATGTTGTTAAATGAGGTACGGCGCGTGATTAACCGAAAAATACAGCAGAATATAATCGAGTCGACACCGGAGGAGTCAGTGTTTCATGTGCTAAATGTAATTGTGGTCTCACCTCGCCCGCTGCGCTCCGCAGGAGAAGCGCCTGCAGTCCCTGTCCTTTACCAGCGTCAAGGAGAAGGAATGGGTGATGGAGTCTCTAATTCGATACATCAAAGTGATCGGGGGTTCGCCAGGCAGAGAGGGCCTATTAGTGGGCCTAAAGAACGGTGCTGTGAGTATTTTGGGGGAAATGCAGCCCCCCCCCCCCCCCCACCTCATTAAGTAACCCTTGGCAATGACACCCGTGCACACCGGCCAGCTCAGACCCCCACTCAGATTTGTTCTCCGCCCCCCCTCCCCTCCCAATCGTCGTCTCGGCGACGCAGATCCTGAAGATATTCGTCGACAACCCGTTCCCCATCACGCTGCTGAAGCTGTCCACCTCCGTGCGCTGCCTGGACATGAGCGCCTCCCGCAGCAAGCTGGCTGTGGTGGACGAGCACAACACGCTGCTGGTCTACGACATCGTCAGCAAGGAGCTGCTCTTTCAGGTCAGCGGGGGAGGGAAGGGGGGGGAGAAACACGCGTGTGTAATAGTTTGCGTTGGGTCACATTTACCCGGGTGCGCCCGGCTGGTCTGTGTCCCGCAATCACCTCTGGAACTTGCCCCGTCGCCCCCCGCTGTTCTTACCCTGACCTACCCTCTCTCTCTCTCTCCCCCCCCCCCACCCCCCCCGTAGGAGCCTAATGCTAACAGCGTGGCCTGGAACACCCAGTGTGAGGACATGCTGTGCTTCTCTGGCAACGGCTACCTCAACATCAAGGCCAGCAACTTCCCCGTCCACCAGCAGAAGATGCAGGGCTTCATGGTCGGCTACAACGGCTCCAAGATCTTCTGCCTCCACGTCTACTGCAATGTTATCCGTGGAGGTGCCTCAGGTGTGTGTCCCCCCCGTCCCCCGTCCCCCGTCCCCCATCCCGGTCCCGGAGGGGGAGCCTGTGTCCCATGTGGCCGACGAGTATCAAATATGATTGATGAGGATGTTTGTTTGTACGACCAAGACAAAAATGACCAGGACGGAGGGTTTCCAGTTGCCGTCTTCCTGTTTATCGATTAGTCCGCTTTTTTAACGGCGTTGTTGCTCTGCTCAGTCGGCCCCCATGTACCAGTACCTGGAGAGGAAGATGTATAAGGAGGCCTACCAGATCGCCTGTCTGGGCGTGACCGACAGTGACTGGAGGGATTTAGCCACCGATGCCCTGGAGGGACTCGACTTCGACACCGCCAAGAAGGCCAGTGACACACCCGCACACACCGTGATTGTGATCGACCGGCCGGTTTTGCTGCTCTTAGCTTCACAGAATCATAAAAGTGTACAAATGGCAACAACTTCCCGCGGATGTGAGGACAGTACCGTGATTTCAGTGTTGATTTGAAATGGAAAAAACACAGAACATCCTCTAAATAATCTCCTGTCTTATTTGCAGGCCTTCATTAGAATCAGAGACCTGCGCTACCTGGAGCTCATCAACAGCATCGAGGTGAGACACGCTATTGTGTACAGCCGAGCTCACTCGCAAAACCCCTTTAATGATTTCTGCTCCAACAGGAGTCGACATCATTACGTTTATCCACGGCAGAGGGAACGCTCGCTCAATCACAATTATTAATGGTCCTCATACCTTTAATTGCAGTGCTTTGCCCGGAGCTACACTTAAAAAGCTCTCGAGCAAGTGAGGAACGTGCATCCTTAATGACCTCCTCGGGCCCCGAATACACACACCCACACAGACAAAGGACACACACACACACACGGGACAATATTCATGCAGAGCAAAGAAATCTTTTTCAGCTTTGTGTCTGGAGATTGTGCTCCTCTCTCATGACGAAGGGGGGAATATTGTGTGCGTGTTCGGTTACGTGACATAAATGTTTATTGTCTGATATAAACATTTTATTTGTTGTCTTTTCCCGTGGTGACTGATGGGGCCGTAGGTTTAGTGTTCCTTCAGAGCCGAGGCTGATTGCATCCTGCGAGCCAAAAGTATTTAGCGACCTCTGTGTGGTTTTATTATTATTTTTTTACTCACAGTGTGTGTGTGTGTGTGTACGGTTTGTACGTGCATGCCACTGTGTCCCCCCGCACACGTGCCAGTGTTTGTGTCCACTGATTTGCAGGAGAGGAAGAAGCGGGGCGAGAGCGACAACGAGCTGTTCCTGGCAGACGTCTACGCCTACCAGGGGAAATTCCACGAGGCAGCGCAGCTCTACAAGCGCAGCGGCCACCAGCACCGAGCTCTGAGCATGTACACTGACCTGCGGCAGTTTGAGTACGCAAAGGTGATCAAAGCATCGATCGACACACACACACAGACACACACACACACACAGACGTACCTCAGTATGGATGCGGACAGCGACACCTGGAAAGCTCTGTGTGTTTAAGGGTTGTAGAACATGTGTTTTTCTTCATGCACAGTTGTGCCAAGTTGGGGCCCCCCGTCCCCCCGCCTCCCCTTTACCGTCTGTCTTTCATCTCCACATATATCATCTGATCAGGGCACACACACACACACACACACACACACACGACGTGCTCTTGCAGACGTCCTCCACGCGGGGAACTTGCACACATAGTTAGAGATGGAAATGGAGCGCAAAAGGAGAGAAATCAGCCGAGCGTCTGCTTTTTTCTTCAACGTTGATCACTTTGATGAGGAGGCCATTTGGAGTTGAGGCAGATTCCTGCTTTATCGTGTTTACACGCGGGGAGGGCTTTGATGGTTTGCGTTCGCGTTGCCGGAGCGGACGACACCACTGCGCCCCCCCCCCCCCGTGTGTTTGTGTGTGAATCAAAATGTGTGTGTGTTTGATGTGGCTGTTGTATATTTATGTGGGCGTGTGGGCCTCTGGTGCTCCAGGCTGCTTGTTTTAAGGTGGGACGGACACCGGAGGGCCAGCCGACCTGCTGTTTGGATCACCCTCTTCCCCCCCACCCGTCCCGGCCGTGACCCACGCGGTTCCGGCTGTCCGACCCCGGACGCGTCTTTGCCGCCTGATATCAAACAGACGTTTTTAGTCTGACGTTGCCTCACAGCCAATCAATTACCAATCGCAAGAGAACTAAATTTACAAACCTAACATCGTTTTAAATCAACAAGTGACTTGTTGCCATGACAACATTCTTTGCGTCATTTAAAGAGTGGAGCTGAAAAAGAACCGTGGATGTGGCGAGTAATATAGAGGCCACATGCCCCAAAGCGTAATTAAAGGGAAAAGTATTATTTACAAGGTGAAACTCACTCAATCATTGTAATTCTCCCAAATAGACCCGGCGTGTATTATTTAACCATGTGACTGCTGTGACTTTGTCGCAGGATTTCGTTGGAGCGACAGACCCGAAGAGCTCTCGCATCCTGATGACCAAGCAGGCCGACTGGGCGAGGAGCAGCAAGGAGCCGCGGGCGGCGGCGGAGATGTACCTGTCAGCGGGGGAACATCTCAAAGCCATCGACCTCATCGGGGAACACGGCTGGGAAGACATGTAGGTCGTTCTAGATCCGTCCTCCAACACGGCAGTTACTCCCTTTTAACCTTTTCTAATGCGGCTGGAGATTTGTGTGCGTGATTTTCCCAAAAGCTTCAAAGGCCAGCTGAAATACTTCTTTGAATAATAGAAATGGCCCTTTTTTCTAGTTAATGTCTGAACAAAAGAAGTTAATATGATTAGAAGTGTTCACACTTTTTGCTCGAGCAGCGGGGAACTTGCTCTATTACTTTCTCGGTATCTTCAGTCCAGACATTATTGAATACTCTTAAGATCAGTGGAATAAGGGGAATTAATCTATTTTACATTCATTAATCAAGTCAAGCGGAGACCCGTCATTTTAAAACCTATTTTAAAACAAATCATCTTTTGAAAATGGACTGATGCAGACCAAACGTTTGACACAAGAGGCTCTTTGCATCCAGTTTTGAAATAAAGATTTAAATTTACATAGATGACTGAGAAGCCACTTTTTACTGATGGGGAAACACAAGTTAGTTATTGTCTTCATGTATCCTATGCTATGATAGATGATGCATAGGGAGTTATTACTTTTACATTAGCTTGGCTCACTGATGAGCCCGCTGAGTGGCTCCACACTATGAACACTGCAGAGTCAGCCTGTGACCCCGACCGGCTTCTATTCTTGTCTTTTTGTTGCGTTCATTCGGGGGTGTTTCTGCTCTCTCTGCATCCCTCTGCGCTCTCACGCAGGCTGATCGACATCGCGCGAAAGCTGGACAAGGCGGAGCGGGAACTGCTGGCCAAGTGTGCGCTCCACTTCAAGCGGCTGAAGCACCACGGCTACGCCTCGGAGACCTACTCCAAGATGGGAGACCTGCAGGCCCTCGTGCAGCTGCACGTGGAAACCTGCCACTGGGAAGAGGTGCGACACACGTAACGCACACAGGGGAGGCACACCTGCTCCGCTCATCATGGCCTGTACACGTGTATATTTATATATATAGAACGTACCGAGATAATCCTATAGGTGCAATGTGAACCTCGCCGCGCTGAATAAACCTGTCATCGTAAACCGCTTGATGCTCGTAGCTCGAGAAGTATTTTATCTATCCGACCACGGCTGAATGCAAACAACAAAAACACGTCTGCTGGATGTTCTGCACTGAGAAAGTTACACACACACACACACACACACACACTACCCAAAGCTAATCATCCAGCTTTTGGATTTCTCTGAATCCATGCCCACATAACGATTACCGAGTTAGAAGCATAAAAACGCTCCACCGCACTGTTAGAGCATCAGCTTAACGCTCCATTCTGCTTCCAATCAAATTCCTCCATCGGGGGGAGGGTGAGGGGGGTCGTGCTGCCTCAGACAAGGAGGAGATCTAGCCTTTCTTTAATCCATCTGTGCTCTTTAATCGAGTTAAAGGCGTTTCAGAGATGCACTTTGGCGATTTGCATGCTGAAACAGACGAGCCTAAAAACAGAGCATCGGATCCCGATCTCGGGCGTCGGAGGACGGCTTCCTGCGGTTATTTATTTCATCCTCAGAGAGAAAAGCAAAAAGGGAGGATGGCCGAGGTCGAGGGAACTGTTGGGCTTCAGGTGCCTCACTGGGGGAGGGGGGGGCGCATGGCTCTATGACCACGTATTTGGCTCTGGGCTCAAAGGCCTGAGACGCACACACAGACACACACACACACACACACACACACACACACACACACACACACACACACACACGGGCTCTGGCTCTTTTGTGTGTGTTTCTTGGCTCAGGTCCGTAGCACAGGGCGTTTAGACGAATCATAACGTGTGTCCACGGCGCCCTTTAACGGCTCTTCACGTGCTGTCATTCAAAAAGTGCGAGTTGTAACTGAGCGTGAAATCAATCCGTGAACGGCGCTCGCTGGTGACGCGACACCCGCGGCGTTTTGACTGGAAGTCGTGTGTGTGTGTCTTTGAGTGATGCACGTTCCCCCCCCAGGTAATAAACCTTCAGCCAGTCGTGACCTCTCTCTCGGGCCGGATTGGTCCGGACGCTGCGCTCAACTCAACTCCTCACGACTCTCCTCTTTGCTCTCGCCTGTCTCCCCCCCACCTCCCCCCTCCTCAGGCCTTCTCGCTGGTGGAGAAGCACCCCCAGTTCAAAAACCACGTCTTCGTGCCGTACGCCCAGTGGCTGGCGGAGCACGACCGCTTTGAGGAGGCGCAGAAAGGTGAGTTTGCGTCGTTGCACGTGGACGCGTAGAAGTTTGGCCGGTCGTCCGTATTTCGCTGCGGAACCTGACCCTCTTTGCCCGCCGGCCCGACACCAGAGCTACGAGCGGCTCTGATGATGATTAGCGACTGTAACCATAGTTATAATCAGCTCATAGATTTATAATTATGATCTCAGCGGGCGTATTTCCTCCCTCGTACATAATCTCCCCTCTGCAGTGAACTCACGACGGGCTGATTGTGTTGCAGCTCGCCGACGGGGCCTCGCGTTCTGCTGATTGTGTGTGTTTTGGTGACGCAGTATTGTGTTACTGGATTAACTGTAATCGAGTCTGGAGGTTCCAGTCTGTCTCCTGTCCGCTCGCTGCGGGCGCATACTTTTTTTTGGGGGGGGGCCCCTTGAAGCTGAAACGTGCTTCTCGGGAGGTTTTTATTGGCTCTGGTGCATTTTTTCATCATCACCTAAGAGCTTACTCACTATTTCCTTTCTACAGATGTCTTTAGTTTGATGATTCTCCTCATCCCGGTTTAATTCATCCCGTTTCTTTGAAAAAACACGTCTAAAGAATGTTGCAAACATTACCGAGCTGCTTTCTGTTCCTGGCCTACACGTCGTTAATGCATGTCAGGGCTGCATTACTGCTGGGGGGTGGGGGGGGGGGGGGGGCTGCTTCCTCGCAGTAACCAACAGCAGCTGAGTGTGGTTTTTATCCACTTAAGTAGACTGATAAATATTTGCCACTAATATGTCCTGACCCCCACTGTGGTTGCAGGGGCAGGGTCACTGGAAGGGGTGGAGGTAGTTGGGTGGGGGCAGGGGGGGGGGGGGGTCGACTCCCTAAAGCTGCCGCTAATTACCCTCTGATGGGAACATGAAGAATATTACAGGCGCTTATTATTAGGGCTTTGCAGTCAAAGTGCTTCGCTCTTTGATATTCGGGAGGAAGAAAACTTTTAGGTGTGTGTGTGTGTGTGTGTGTGTGTGTGTGTTTCATGTAGGTAGTAAAATCCGATTGTGTCGAAAAAGGCAGCTAATCTCGAGTGATTCTTTCAGATGTGACTGTAGACGAACACATTTGTTTAGACTTTTTGTATTATGACCTCAACTTTCATAAACAAGCATGATTGCTGTTGTACTTTATATTATTTACATGACGGAGTCTGTAGAAGCTGGTTCTTTCCTCCTTTTTTAAAACCAACGCTCAGTTGAAACAAAAAAGGAGCATTTCCCACTCGAACTGAAACGTCGTTTTAAATAAGTAAGTTAGCACATTACTTGATGTATTACTTGGTGTCAAATAACGTCTGGGAGGCACAGTGCTAAAAACGCTGCAACAACGACGCCACAAACAATCCATCAATCACCACTTCTCTCGCTCTCTCGCCCTGCGCAGCATTCCACAAGGCCGGGCGACAGAACGAGGCCGTTAAAGTCCTGGAGCAGCTTACCCACAATGCAGTGGTGGAGAACCGGTTCAACGATGCAGGCTACTATTACTGGATGCTGTCCATGCAGTGTATGGACATCGCCAGAGGTGAGATCAACCTTCCCGGTAACCATTTACGATGGTCCGTCGTCCCCTCCTGATCCATCGGGCTCCGTCCACCTCGCGTGTTTTTAACCCTGAAGCAGAAAGCGAAGACCAGAGGGACGAAATGCTGAAGAAGTTTGAGCGCTTTCAGCATCTGGCTGAGCTCTACCACGTCTATCGCTCCATCCAGCGCTACACGGTGAGAACCGCACACCGCGTCAGCCCCAATCATTCATAGCCAGACCAGAGTGGGGGGGGGCGGAGGGGAGCCATTTGATTGGCTGTCAGATTGACAGCTCTGGGAAGCGTTCCCCGCTTTGTGGTTCAGGTTTCGGTTTGTGAAACATGTTCATGTTCCGCATTTAGAATCTATAACTGACGGCCCGCTGCGGTTCTGCTCATCAACTCGGCTTTCCTGTGGCCGCGCTGTGGCGCTGACAGGAAGCAGGTCTGCGTCTGCGAGATCGCTCAGTCGGCTGCAGAAAACCGCTGAAGAGTTGCGGGAAGTTGCGTTCGGGTCGGGGGCCGCTGAGCGATCTTCAGAACCATCATCATCAAACCTTTTACGTACAAGTTGCTACAGCGCAGAACGGGTCGCGGTCCAAAATGTGTTCACCTCCTGCAACCTTTACTGATCCCTATCACCGTGGCAACCAGCTGCTTGATTGATCACGGTGACTATTTCGACAATGGTCTTCTCCATTGCCCCCCCCCCCCTCTCTCCCACAGCCGTAACCCACTTACAAACAAGCAATCTCTGGTTATGAGCACTCCATGTGGAACCTGGCCTGTGTCAGTGTCATCAGTCTGTTGTTTCAGCCCCCCCCCCCCCCCCCCCTCCGACCCCCCAGGCAATAGAGACGCATCTGTGTGATCCAGACCAGGCGGGCACTGATGATTTAGATTATCAACTTTTGTGATTACGTGCCGCTAACGATTGCTCTCACAAATGCATGTTTCCCTTTGCACACAGAGAGAGAGACAGAGACGAGTAGCCCCGTGTGTGTGTGTGTGTGTGTGTGTGTGTGTGTGTGTGTGTGTGTGTGTGTGTGTGTGTGCGCGCAGCCTGCCAGATGTAGTCATGTTTCAACCTAAACCCAAGCAAGCTGCGACTGAAAACGGGAAACAATGATGAGAAGAAACTCTGCTTCTCACGGGACTCAAATATCAATCTCCGGGATCAAAGTCCTGAATTTGATCCGTTCAACTAAAACAATCTATTCGGTCCACATACTGCTGATGTTGTTGTTACTGGACTCTACAAAGATGTTTAGATCCCTTCTTTTGGACTGTTTTTACTCTCCAGGACGAGCCCTTCAGCTCCCACATGCCTGAGACGCTCTTCAACATCTGCAGGTTCCTCCTGAACAACCTGGCCAAGGACGTTCCGCCGGGCATCTCTAAAGTGTATCCTTCCATTTGAGAAAGTAGTCCTCCCAACCGAGCCAAAGACATTTTTATTTATTTGTGGGGTCGTTCTTCTCACGGACATGTTCATGCCACTGTGAAATCAAGCCTGGCAGAGACGGGGGGTGATAATGTGTCGGGGGGGGGGGTAGAAAACGGAAGAGTTGATGCCACAGCGGAAACCAGGCTGCTGCAGAGGGAAAGAAAAGGGGTGATGAGGAGGAGGAGGAGAATGTTCTTCCTTCTCCAAACAAAATGCTGTGATTAGTGAACTTTGTGCAGACGGATACTCGCACTAAACAATGCGCTTTAATTAGAAATGGGACGCACACAACGCCACACAGACGGAATCCAATGCAGCCACACACACGCGTATATGAGGAAGGAAATCCCGCCCTGTGAGGAGGAAATCAGCCTGAGCAGCTGGGATCCTCTCTGATTTGTTCCAGTGCTTAGAATCGTAGACCGAGTCGAGATGCTTTGGACTCCATCTGAACAATAAGTCACAATGTGACAGAAAAGCCGCACCGAACCAGTTCCTCCATACGAGGACGTGCATCTATCAGCAGAACTGTGTGTGTGTGTGTGTGTGGGCGGAGCTGGAGAGTCGCTGAGTGGAGAGGAGAGGAGAGGTGGTGGTGAGTTTGAGAGGTGATGGAGGAGTGCCAGCGTGGAGCCGCTGCAAATTACTGACCTGTCATTGCCACTCTCCGTATGAACACAAATAAGCAACGACTCCCTCGACTCACTCGATCACAAACAACAGGCTTGTATAAGGACGCACGCACGCACGCACACACACACACACACACGGTGTTACTCCAGAGGCGTCCAAAGCCAGTGCTGCTGGCTCAGCACGGCTCTTGTTCTACTCTTTTAAGTTGTAGAAATAAAGTAATACGCAGTCGTGCACAAAAGTGAAACTGTTTCCCCTTAAAGAAACGCCGGGTTCTGAATGACGCATCGACGCGTCGGCTGTTCGCCTCTCATCAGTCTTCCTCAACCGTGGTCATCAGCAACACGTTGTACGCGTTGGCCAAGCAGAGCCGCAGACTGGGCGCGTATAAACTCGCCAGGTATTCCTACGAGAAGCTGCAGGAGCTGCACGTTCCGTCTCGCTTCCAGGACTCGGTCGAGCTGGGCAGCCTGAACATCCGCTCCAAGCCGTTTCACGACAGCGAGGTGTCATCTCTGTGTGTCTGCATATGCATATATATATATCTCTTTAGTGCCCTGTGCAGGTTCTCACCTCCCGTGTGTGTTTGCTGCAGGACCTGATCGAGGGCATGATGTGCTACCGCTGCTCCACCAACAACCCCCTGCTGAACAGCCAGGGGAGCGTGTGCATCAACTGCCGGCAGCCTTTCATCTACTCGGCCTCCTCGTACGGTCAGCGACGCGCCGACGCGCGGCACTCCCACGGTAACCCGCTCCCACGGTAACCCGCTGTGTCTTCCTTTTTGGGCCTGCAGAGGTGCTGCCCCTGGTGCAGTTCTACCTGGAGGAGGGCGTGGGGGACGAGGAGGCCGTGTCTCTGATCGACCTGGAGGTCCCGCCCGCGGATCGGAGGGACGCGCGCTGGCAGGACGTGGACCACGGCGGTATCCTTTGATCGGCCCGGGCCGCGGCACTCCGTGTGTTCGCGTGGCGATTTTTCCGAGCCACGGTGTGAATTATTGAGAGAGGCTGCATCTCTGCTCCGCACGTGACCCGCCCCGCCCCTCGCCTTGTGACGCCTCTAAGAAGCTGTTTAGTCTGTGCTGGCCCCGATCCTGCGCTGGTAGGGTAAGCTGTCAGGGCTAAGTCATCTCAGCTCTCGAGCTAATAGGGTTAGCAAGGCTCTCCTGTCTCGTCTTAATGACACTAACCCTCCGGGAGCCGTCGCCACGGCGCGGGGATTAACCTGCATTAGCCGCAAGGCACTCAAGGGCACCGAGGTCTTCACAGCCACCGGGTGACTGACGGGCGCGTCCCGTCAGCATTTTAAACTGGATCATTTGACGTGGTGTGGAAAGTGTGGTACAGGGTAAAAAAAACACACAACAAATGAAATGCGGTGTTGTTCTTAACGCCCAATCAGAGCTGCAGACGTTGAGGATGAACGAGGGCTTGGACGACGCTGAGGAAGACCCCTTTACTGCCAAAATGAGCTTTGAGGTGGGGCCAATTAAATATTCCAACCACCTGGGCAAGCCAGCTGGAGAGGGTAGAAAGGACGGGGCTCATAGTGTGTGTGTGTGTGTGTGTGTCCCAAGCAGCAGGGGGGCTCGACCTTTGTCCCCGTCAAGGTGGGTCGCCCGGCGCTGCGCTCCATGAGCAGGAGGGACGTCCTGATCAAACGCTGGCCCAGGCCACTCAACTGGGAATACTTCCGCTCCCTGCTGCCCGACGTGAGCATCACCATGTGCCCCACCTGCTTCAAGGTACGAGCGGAGCCCACGCTGCTGATCACACGTCTCCGCTCTGATTCGCTCAGCTTTTGCGTTTTCATTCCTTCGCAGATGTTCCACAGTGAGGATTACGAGCTCCTGGTGCTTCAGCACAACTGCTGTCCGTACTGCCGCAGACCCATCGATGAGCAAAACTGAGCCACCCGAAGCGGAAGAAAAACATTGGTCCTCGTGATTTCTGCCCTTAGACAGTTTGTCATAATTGTTTTGTATTGCAATATATCTTTTTTGTTGTTGTGATACACTTTGTGTTTTCCTCCGAGCTTCATCAGCTCTTAAGATCAGCGGCGTGTCCTCTGAGGACGGTGGTCATTAGCGTAGTGTAAGAAAGTGCACCATCAGCCAATGAGATTACCTTAATCTGTCACTGATTACATCATGGCGTTGGAAGGAGCATGCCTGTACAATGTAAAAGAAAACGCTTTTAAAACGGAATGAAAGATTCCAACAAAAGGTTCCCACAGACTCACAAACTGAAGCTTCTCTCCACGTTCCATAACACGTCATCTGTTGTTTACTCGTGAAAATGTTTTTTTTTATATTGCCAGAAAGGGGAAATAAATAATTGTACTTTTTGTTACACTGGTATTAACTTCCTGCCACTTGCATCAGGGAAGAGCAGCACGCGCCACCGACTGATTGCTCAAAAGGCTTCGAGTGTTCTCTGCATTATGCAGCGGTCACAGATTAGCCTTTCACCGATGCAAATAAGACATTTCCTCTGTTGTCGGTCCACTCCAGCGACGGCCGCTTCCACTCTGCGATTGTCATTCTGATGGCGGTAATGGCGGGTTCGAGGTAGCCACGGCCGTGACCTCTCCCCTTGAGAGTGCTGAACACACCGCGCAGCTATTTCTGGAGTTTTCTCCCGTAATGCCGCTCGTTTGTGAGAGAGGGAGCTTGAGATTGAGCGTCCTAATTCCATCTCCGCTAACGCCCCGCTCCGTGCGAGTCCCTTAATCCGACCGGCTTGTTAAAAGGTGCTGCATCACTTCGGGGGGCTCCAGAACACATCTTCCTTCCAACGGATCCATCGTCTCCCAGCTGTTCCCCGCTTGAGAAGAACCACAGGCGGTTTATTCTAGCGTTGAGGTCTCGAAATCACCGAGCGTCAGCCATGAACGGCACAGAAGGACCAGACTTCTATGTCCCCATGTCCAACCGGACCGGCTTGGTCCGCAGCCCGTTCGAGTACCCTCAGTACTACCTGGCCGAGCCCTGGAAGTACTCTCTCCTGGCCGCGTACATGCTGTTCCTCATCGCCACCGCCTTCCCCGTCAACTTCCTCACGCTCTACGTCACGGTCCGAAACAAGAAGCTGAGGAACCCTCTGAACTTTGTGCTGCTCAACCTGGCGGTGGCCGACCTCTTCATGATCGTGGGGGGCTTCACGGTGACCCTCTTCACCGCCCTAAACGGGTACTTCATCTTAGGGGTCACCGGCTGCAACGTGGAAGGTTTCTTCGCCACTTTGGGAGGTAAAATTAAGTATCTAAGTATCAAATGCTTGAATTGACACGCGGATTACTTATTACTGTAATTCTGAGAATTTAGTGTGAATGCTTCAAATCTCTGATCTGAATAAGTGTAATATTGAGTCAATGTGTGCTGTATTTACATGGCAGGGGAGATCGCTCTGTGGTCTCTAGTGGTTCTGGCTGTAGAGCGCTACGTTGTGGTCTGCAAGCCAATGAGCAACTTCCGCTTCGGGGAGAAACACGCCATCGCCGGCCTGCTGTTCACGTGGATCATGGCCATGACCTGTGCTGCCCCCCCTCTGCTCGGATGGTCCCGGTAATCTATGTTCATGTTTCTAGGCTGTGCTTTGCAGGCTTTAAAACCTTATCAACTATCCTGGTAAACCACTTCAGAGGTGACCTTCAGCCCGCTTCCTCGGGGACGCCGAGTATCGACACGTGTGTGACGGTGTCGATTGTTGTTGTGCGTGGACGCAGGTACATCCCGGAGGGGATGCAGTGCTCCTGTGGCATCGACTACTACACCCCCAAGCCCGAGATCCACAACACCTCGTTCGTCATCTACATGTTTGTCCTCCATTTCTCCATCCCCCTCTTCATCATTTTCTTCTGCTACGGTCGCCTTCTCTGCACTGTGCGAGCGGTAAGACTCTTCCTCTTCTCTCACAGAGCCGAGTCCCCGGAGACGGGAGGGATTTAGTGGCTCAAGGACACTTCAGGAGGGCAGAGCATTGCCAACATGGCAGCTTATACCCGGGTCCTCGAGCTCAAGGGCAGTCCGCCTGCTCGCAGGGCCGTCCTGATGCCCTTGTTAATGACAACATCAATAATGTATCAGTCATGGATATTTAAAAGAATGATGCTCACATTTATCATTGGAGCATTATCATTTGTTAGACTGGCAACTTAATGACAGACCTTAAGGGGGCAGAACATGAAAAAATCCAGCCATATTTCTTTTGTGGGCTGCCTACATTCAAAGAAAACATTTGCATCAACAAGCCCTTTTCCTCTGTCCTTCACTGGCTCATTAGAAGGCATCGCGCCGAATATCGACACCCGAGGCCTAAGAACTACATTTACCACAGAGTGGAATTTTTCCCATTCTTAATTTTCAGTTGGTTGCATCCTGCAACCTCGCCACTAGATGGCGCTAATTCATACTAACAGACCTTTTAAAGAGACGGCCGCCAGAACGAGGTGGGAGTAATCGCTGTAATATGAGCTGGACAAAAAGTAACAGTCTAAACATGTTCTAGTAGGAACTCAAAATACCCGTATGTACCTGAGCGTGAGCATAATACGTCGTTCAAACTGAGCTATGAACTTATAATATTAATCCGGGAGTCCTGGATATGTAATTATATTATTTTAAAACTTATGAATGTTGTGTTAACAACAACTTGGTTCTGCTGCTCCCATGTGGCCAGAAAAAAAAGTATTATTGTGTAAATTATTACATTCTCAGGCTGAAATTCAACCCTTAAATTATTATTATAAATGATGTAAGGCTTAAGATGTGAAAGATTAGCTGTAAACTGTTGATACATACAGATACAAACCTTCAAGAGCATGAGAAGACCCAAATAACTATAACTAATAAGTGTTGATTAAAGGTCGGGGGTCCGATCCCGGCGCTGATGACCCGTTAGCCCTTCGGAGAGTTAATAACTGTCTGTCGCCAGGCTGCAGCCCTGCAGCAGGAGTCTGAAACCACCCAGCGAGCGGAGAGAGAGGTGACGCGTATGGTTGTCGTCATGGTGATCTCGTTCCTGGTGTGCTGGGTGCCCTACGCCACGGTGGCCTGGTACATCTTCGCCAACCGAGGAACCGAGTTTGGACCCGTGTTCATGACCGTGCCGGCCTTCTTCGCCAAGAGTTCTGCTCTGTACAACCCAGTCATCTACATCTTGTTCAACAGACAGGTTATTCATACGGTTACTGCATGCTATACTATGACTCTTTATTACTGCATGCTATACTATGACTCTTTTACTACATGCTATACTATGACTCTTTTACTACATGCTATACATATAGACTCTTTTACTACATGCTATACTATGACTCTTTTACTACATGCTATACTATGACTCTTTTACTACATGCTATACTATGACTCTTTATTACTGCATGCCATACAATGACCCTTTATTACTACATGCCATACAATGACCCTTTATTACTACATGCTATAATATGACTCTATTACTACATGCTATACTATGACTTTTTATTACTGCATGCCATAATGACCCTTTATTACTACATGCCATACAATGACCCTTTATTACTGCATGCTATACTATGACTCTTTTACTACATGCTATACTATGACTCTTTTACTACATGCTATACTATGACTCTATTACTGCATGCTATACTATGACTCTCTATTACTGCATGCTATACTATGACTCTTTACTACATGCTATACTATGACTATTACTGCATGCTATACTATGACTATTACTGCATGCTATTGTCTTATATTTCGATGACATTCTGTACTATGACGTTTTCTCATTTTGACGTTAATCTCAACTATGATTTTATTTTTAATACGACATAAAACAGAGTTGCCTTTGGTGACATACTATTCTATCATTGCTCAGATCAATAAGCAAAACTGTCACTGAGATTCTTCTTCTTTCCTGCCTGCAGTTTAGAAACTGCATGATCATCACCATATTCTGTGGAAGAAATCCTTTTGGAGACGACGATGGCACCTCTGTTTCCACCTCCAAAACTCAGACTTCGTCCATCTCATCCAGCCAGGTGGCCCCCGCTTGACACCTCCCATGTCCCATCTGTCCTCGCTCACCTCGGGACCGGCCGCTGCCGAGCGGCACTGTGTTCCACTGGCCGATCCTCTTGACCCTCTCCGTGTGTCTTCGCTACACCAACACAACCCCACATTTGGTGGGACTGACAAACTGAACAGCCAGCATGTGTATTTTCAATCCATTTAATCATGGAAAGTGTTCAGCTGGGCTGCACAGAGTGGAACCTGGCATCAAGGGGGGTGTCGCCCATGTGATTATCCAGCTGACCGCATTCCAAGCTCCCCACCACCCACCCAAACACTCACCATGCCACACCAGTTCATCCACATCCATTGTTCTTCCATGTAATTGCAGCTATACATGTCCCCATAATGCGCTTCAAAAAATGCACGTTAGTTTATTAATTATATTTATATATATATTTATTTTTAAGGCATCTGGTGGGCCTGTCCTCTGGTCTTGGTGTTGTTGGCTCTTGGCATCGACTGAGTGTAAACAGATGGACCTGGAAAGAGCCTCTGCAGGGAGATGTTCTGCAAGAGAGTGGCTGTAGTGGAGGGTTGTGTTTGTATGAATGAGATGTGGGGGGGGGGGGGCATTATTTAGATTGTTGTGTAAAGGCAAGAATCTTGTGGAAGTTGTTCTGTGTCCTGCAATAAAAACTAAAGCTAGAATGTGTGCATGGATTCTTTTCCCTAACTGGCATCCTAAGGACTTTTACAAGGCTTTCTGAGAAGTTCCAGATGCTGCTCTTTGTGCTTTTGGGTGGCGGGCCAGAGCTTAATGGTTGTCAAATGTTCAAAGTGTCTATGCTGTAACACATTGTAGAAATCAGGAACTTTTGAGAAAAAGTACAGCACATATTATCATCATTATACACATAAAAATCCTAAATACTGTAATTTATTTCACAAACTCTGACAAATCATTTGGCATCACAAATACAGTCTCTCCTTATATTGAGCGCACATTTTTTTTTTCTCATAAATGTAAATTTCCCTCTTTTAAATTGGTCAGAATCTAACAAGAAATTCATCCGTTTACAAGCACCCTGATCCGACACCTCTATTCTGATGCAGCTCTTCCCAGTGAACTACATTACATACTCCATAAACTCCAGCCACTCATATTTCTCTCCACTGCTCAACCCCGTCACAAACCCGCAAAGCACACCCGAGAACATTGCAGGCTTCGGGGAGCCGTTCCGTCTCACTCCCCCTGACGGAGGGGCCGCTTGAAAAGCATTTGAACACATCTATAAATATTGCTATGGACATTATAATACAGTACAGTGCATCATTGGCTCGTTCCCTTGGGAAAAGGGTTCAGTGCGTTAAGATCGCCACCAGGGCTTACTGTGGGTCCCAGTCACTGCAAAGACATCCAGAATAAGCCTCATCACCGGGGCTCTACACCTTCCCTCTGAAGCTCAGCCGAGCACGACTGCCGTTCGTTTCCACGTCACGGAGACACATTTGGAAGAAGAAAAAAAAAGAATAACTTGTCATTCCCAAATCAGAGGGGGAACCACCTCGTGTCTCCGCGCCTCTTAGAGTCTGTGGGAGTAATAATGACACTTATGAAGGATCACTCCTTCGTGGGGGTGGAAGAGGGGGGAGGGGGGGGCGGGGGGGAGGCAGCCGTCAGCAGGAGGAAGAGATGGCCGGCGGACAGCGGCCCGGGTTCAGGCCTCGCTGCAGCACTCGTAGATGTTGTCCTCCACCAGGGCAATGACCTGCTCGAACTTGTGGTGCAGCTGGGTGCGACGTGCCGTGGGGTTGGACTCCAGAGCCGTCACCACCTTTTGAGGGGGGGGGGGGGGGGAGGGGGGAGAAAAAAGAACGTCTTTCAGCGGCTGTCGAGCATTCATGGCTTGATTCGCCTGGCGCGAAGGGGCGGAAATCAGCCACCTGCCTGGGCGCACAGAGCAGAGCGGGAGGCAAAGACGAGGAACAAGAGAAGTGCTTGGAAATCTTCTTCAAGCCGCCACGCGCGGCTCCATGCCACAAAAGACCTCTCTCTTCTCATGGTTTATCAAAAACCCACATCTGCTCTGTTTTTCATGCCCAACAGTTGTCACGGCGTCAGTGGGATTCATGAGCTCTTAGCGGCGGTGTGCTACGAGGCAAAGCGACCTAAGGGGGAGGCGGGGGAGAATAGGCAATCAGGGGCCATTCATGGAGAGAGTCCCCCCGGCCCCCGGCGGTACAGTGGCGTGACAGAGGAGAGCAGCTACACGGCGTTATCACGAGGGTGCTCCATTAAGGCCCAGTCACCGCTGACTAAGCTCCTCCTTGGAGTCGTCACCGCGGCGGGGGGAGAGCACGGGGTGGAGGGAAGCGTGGGGGGGGGGGAGGTTTTCGAGAGGGCTCCATCAAAGAGAGCCGTGAGATACGAAGCGGCAGCTTCACGGTGTCGTTAAGCAGATAAAGGTAAACAGCACGCTGTCGGCCTTGGGTGGAAGGTATGCGCGGGCCGTGGAGGGACGATGCGACGATACGTTTCAGCGAGCGCGACGCGGCACGCCCCCCCCGGTACCCGTCTGTGAAACCGGGCCGGTTCCAACACGAGCGTGACGATCTAATCTGGGTCTGACATCAGCAGGACTCTTACCTGGTGTCTGTATCTCTTGGCGTATTTGTAGATTTCTGTCAAGGCCAAGTTGGTGTTGAACTCATTTCTGTGCTTCTACGAGACGAACAGTAGACTTGCATTAGATTCCAAAAGCACCATTTATATGCAACGGGGGGGGGGGGGGCTTTTGTGTCACTCACTCTGGACTCCTCGGCCAGGTGGGCGTTCATCTCCTGCTCGCTGAGCGGCGCCATGTCCTGGATCTGCTGGTAGTAGCACTGCACTCTCTTCTTATACTCCGGGATCTCCTTGGCGTACAGCAGCTTGTTGGTGGGGGAGTCCTGAAGTAAAAACACATTTCAGTCAAGGGGCGGTTTGGACGCGGACTGAATCCTTGGGCTCTACTAGCCGCCCGCGTACGCACACGCCGTCACGTGAACACGGCCGCAAGTGAAAACATTTAAAATTAATGCAGGCCGAATGCTGCAGCCCGCTGGAAGCTAAAAGGGTTAATTCATTATTGAGTAGCGGACCTCAATCTGGAATGAAGAGGTTTGTGCGTCATTGAGGCGCCGGCGTCCTAACGAGGAGCCGGGTCGGCCTTTAGGCTGTTCGACGTGAGAGGGGAGGGAACACGGACACGGTCCTGAGCCGGAGAAGGAACATTCCGGTCCAGACAATATACTCCCTCATAGCTCCACGGCCACTCGTGACCACTGGTGCTCATCCAAGCGAGGAGGGAAGGAGCCGGGACGAGAGGCCGCGTTTCAGTGGCGGCTACTGTGTGCAGGGAAGGAAAGTAGGACAGGGAGGGGGAAAAAAACAAAAACCCAGCGGGCCAGCCTCGTCTCTCAGCGTCAGCGAATGTGCTTACAGCGCACCTCAGTACTCCAGTGTGTCACCAGTTATTTCTGTCACCTGGTGTGTGTGTGTGTGTGTGTGTGTGTGTGTGTAGGGGGGGTGTAAAGCCCGTGGAGGTGGTCGCTCCTTCTGATAGGGAGAGAGAGGGGTTCCCTGTCTACAAGGTCACTTCCTGCCGGGCGCCCATCTGCCCGGTAACCCCCCCCCCCGTGACCCTCCTGTGACCCCCCTGTGACCCCGCCCGCCCTCCGCGTCTGCATCTCGCCAGATAAAAAGGAGGGTTTCCATGGAAACGACAAGGGTTGCTTAGATGCTCTCACCCTGCTGTTTTTCCTCCTAATCCGGACCCCGTACCCTTCACTGTCCCTACTGGCCGTCACACACACACACACACACACACACACACACACACACACACACACACACACGCACACATGCACACACACGCACACACAGGCACAAATTACTGTCCACACTCGAGGAAACCGCGGCGGCCTGTCGTGCCAGTCTCCTTGACCTACAGGACAGAACGTGGCCATGTCCTCCGCAGCGAGCGCACAGTCGGAGGTTTTATGCGCAGCTCGGCTTCGCCGCCCAGATGGACGCGTGCGTCTTCTCGGGCACAGAAGGGAAGTGTTTCTCCGTTTGATGAGTCCTCCCGCTCCCTCCGGGGAGGAAGCCAGTCGGAGAGGGAGACAGGAAGCGGAGCGCGCTCAGGGTCGCGGCGCCGGAGGGACGAGACGGAGCGGTTAAAGGGGAGGACGCCGACGTGCAAGCGGGGGGTGCGTACGCGCACACACATACGCGCACACACACACACACACACACACACACACGGGCACAGTATGGAAAAAGATCCCTGCCGCGCATGACCTTGGATCAGCCGACTCAGCCAAGACAACATGTGGAGAGGTAGATGGAGATGACAGTTGGACGGTCTAGGGATGGAGTTCACCGGGGACTGCAGAGGTGTGTGTGTGTGTGTGTGTGTGTGTGTGTGTGTGTGTGTGTGTGTGGTCAAACAGAGACAGACACACAAGTGAAGCACTTGTGGACGGATCCTGCATGAGGTGAAGGGACAAAAAACGTCAAAAAGGTACAAAAAGTAATGATTTTTTTGTGTGCACGTGATAAAGCCGTTTGAATGGTAAATGGGTCACTGACAGGGACGCCTGTCTCTGCGTCTGTGGCACCTTGCAGTCAGCCCAACATGTCATAGCTCTGAAGCTTTACGTGGTGTCAATGTCCCACAGACGGACAGAAGATGCACCGGTGGATGAATAGATAATCTCACCTTTCCCAGCTGCAGGTCAGAAACGGAGCAGGCGTCTATGAAGGCCTGAGCAATGACGGACAGACAGGCGTCCATGTGATCCGTCTTATCGATGTCAAACACAAACTGGGGATTCTTCAGGATGTTCACCCAGAAGCGCAGCGGCAAACTGCGCAGAGAGAGAGAGAAATGGAACCTTTCAAAAGACGTGCGCGGCGAGGCGACCGGAGGGGACCTCAAGCACAGAGATTAGACGTCTACCTGTTGGTTTTCCAGATGTGCAGCGTGTCCGGGTCCGTGATGCCCCGCTTGTCCGCCTGCTCCTCCAGGAAGTCAAAGAAGTATTTGATGGCCAGGGGGGGGCGTTCCGGAGGGATGCTGAGGATGGCCTGGAAGAGGTCATCCAAGAACTTCTGCAGAGTCCCCTGTGGAGGAGAAGAACGGAACGCGCTGTAGAGATTCTCCAATTGGTTCCTGAGGCTAACGTGGGTCACGGCAAGAGGAGACAGAACGACGACTCAGATGTCGGGCGGCCAGCGGCGGCTCCTTCGGTTCACCTTAGTAGACAGCAGGCGCGTCAGGTAGATTTCAGGCAGGACCTTCTTGCGGTGGCTCTGCCTGTGTGACCTCTTGTTCTCCATCAGGTCATCATGAGGCAGGACCTGGATAAGCAGAAGTCAAAAAGGTCAACAAGTCGGGATAATAAACCAGCTCGCAACGAGCTCAATGGAGGCGCTCCGGGGGGTTTTCTGGTTCTTGCATTGGACACGCGATCCAGAAACCACATCTGGGTCATTTGAAGATGGTATGCACAATTGTAATGGAAGTTGGGGGGGGGGTTCTTGTGGTTTTCTCTGGGTGCCTTGTACAGGATAATGTCTCCTACTTGCTCATACAGGTCTGAATATGAGTAAGAGAAAAGCAATAGAAGCCCTTCAAAAATCCACCCACTTGTGTCAAAAAAGGGCGGAAGAACTGTCCTCTTAAACTAACTGTTCAGCCGGCAAATTGTGTTCCAAGAAACTCATTATTCTAAAGTCAAAGGACCCATATCTTGGCTGACGTTTATAAAAGAGCTTAAGCAGCATTAGCGCTGTCATGTCCTCTCAGCAGCTTTCCGTTTCACCTCCATTCACCCCCCCCCACCGTCACGCCGCCGTAAAGCCGCTGCGGCCTGACTTACTGCGGCGAACGCCAGAGGAGTGGACTTTGACGAACCTTTTGATCGCCTATGAGGAGATACTCACCAAGTGCACATACTTCTCCGTATCCAGATCTTTCACTAAAGGGGAAGAGACAGACAAAAAGAAAGATATATATATATATATATATTCGGCATGAAACAATGTGCAATCAGCAGGGCGGAGACCTGAGGGAACGAGAGGAGACGGGAGGAGGCGAGCACGGAGGAGTGTGGCGGGAGGGAGGGAGGAAAAAAGAACACAGGAGGGGAGATTGACAGGAGCGCGAGGGAGATAGAGTACATGCGAGAGGAGAAAGTGATTAAGGTGGACTGTGGGCCGGGAGGGGAGCTGTCTGAGAGAATGAAAGAGAAAGATTACGTGAGAACGGAGAGAGAGAAGAGACAGATTAGGGGAGACAGACACACGGACCCTGTGATTGGCTCTGGAGCCGGAGTAATGAGATGGTAATGGCCGGGCCAGCGCCGGGAAAACGGCATTAAAACCGCGCCGGAGTTTATATAAATCTAAACACAAAACACACCCGGGTGAAAACATACGAACACCCGAGCGTCTGTGCAGGTGCACACGAGAAAACACACACACACACACACACACACACACACACAGCGGCATTGTGAGTGTGTTCTCATTACGCCGCTGCTGCTGCTGCCCCGCCGGGACCTCGGTCCAGACCCACATCGCCGATCACAGGCGGGCGGGGTTTCATATTAGCCAGGGAGCACTACAGGCTCATAACACCCCCCCCTCCCTTTGACGCGTTGAAGCCGCAGCCGGGTTTGGTCCACGTGAGACGTATTTTTTTTTTGGGGGGCCCGGTGTGAGAGGAGCCGTTTTGACGGACAGAGCCCGAGCGGAACCGAGCGCCTGGTCTGGTACTGATTATGTAAGGCAGACCCCCGGACAAGCCCATTAAGAGCTGCACGTGGACTCATCTGTCAACAGGCAGAGCGCTCATTATATCCCGGGTCGAGTCTGGAACGCCGGGCCGACTTTTGGCGCTTCGCGGAGCTGACGTTGGCTAATGGAGCACACCTATAACCCAGAAAAGGAGCCCAAGTGGCAGCGTGACGGCTCCCCGGAGCGGGAGGTCCTTGTGATTTATGAGGCGCGGGTGTGTTTAGACGTCCGCCGTGTGTCTTTTTGGGGTTTCGTGCACGTGCAGCGTATCGCGTTCCCCGGGCATTCGGCCGTTTCCCCGTGATGGAGGGCGTGCGCGCATTTGTCCGAGTGAGTGTGACAAAAGGGGTGAGGGGTGTCCCGCTTGTGGGTGGCGTACCTCTCCCCAGGGTGTTGTCCCTCTTGTCTTTCATGCTCATGGCCAGCGATGCCCCCTCCGGGATCTGTGAAGGGAGGGAGGAGGGAGGAGAGAGGAGAGAGGGCACGGGGTCAGGGGTCAGCCGGGGTGCAACGGAACAGCATCATTAAGGCGTGCAGAGGTGCGTTTGTTTGTGTGTGTGTGTGTGTGTGTCTGCGGTGAAATGGATGGAACAGCCCGACTGTGAGGACACGCTGCGGCTCGCTGCTTTTCACAGCTCGGCAAAAAAAATAAACAGAGCACTTAGCGAGTACAGGTAAAGGGTCGGAGGTCGAGGGTCACCAGGCAACCGCTCGCTCGCGCTCGAACGAACGCAGACGTAAAACAAACAAACATTCTCGGGGTCATCTTCATTTTACTCGGTGCCTGGTTATTCTTTACTTGTAATATTTAAAACAGTTCTTTATTATAATTGGTTTCATTTTTGTATCAATTCTAATTCTTTTAATAAAAAAATTATTTGATCTAAATAAAAATAATTAATACAATGCGTTTAAGTGGATTTGTATGCATTTAGGAATTAGCAGTAGTACTAGTAATAAAATACATTTATTAAATATTTAATATTGATTAAAGTCATTTTTTGTGGAACACATATAAGACACAAAGTCTCTTTTTTTAAACTTGGTTTGGATCTTTAGGTTATGTGTTAAAATAAACATAACATTTTTATTGTAAAACAGGACCTAATTGCTGGAATAGATGCACAGCGTGTCTGAATGATCGCAGCAGCTGCACACACACACACACACACACACACACATGCGTGCAGCCTCCCACCTATGGACACACACTATTTACAAGGAGTTCTCACCTCCAACACCTCTGCTGCCGCTGTCACGTTATCAGGGACACACAGGGACACACAGGGACACCGTCCACTGAGGTCTCACACAAACACAACACACCTGGTAATGGAAGACGGTGTTGAGTTTCTTCCTGCCGTCCTCCATCACTGAGGAGTTATCCAGGTCCTGCAGAAGCTTGCTGTTGCTGCCAGAGTCAAACCACTCTGGAGAGGGATGGAGAGCCGGGAAGCAATCCCGCAAAAGAGGGGGGCGGCGTGAGCGTGCGGAGCTGATATGAGACAATTTCGTCCTACATTTGGAGAAGAATATGCGTGACAGAGGGCAGCCGCGCTCTAACTCTCTGTGTCACGACCTGTGGAAATATTCTTGCACCGTTAATCAAATCAGCTCTGCAGGCTCCGCAGCTTTTCGAAGCAATAACTCTCTGTGATTGTGACTGTACATTCTCCTCGATGCGTTCTGTCATTTATTATATTGCGGCCTCAGGTTAGTTGAGCTCCATGAGAGGAATTGACCTTTTGCAAAAGAGATTACTAAATCTCAGAGGGCAGTGGGAGAGGAAAGGAGGAGGATAATCAGAGGAAATGTGCTCTTACCCAGGTCGACATCCTCTGCTCTGGGCCACTGGGAGAATGGCAGGTTCTTATAAAAGGCTTCCAGGATTTTTTCCTTCACCTGGCACACCGTGTCAGTGTTCATGACCCTGACCGGCAGCGAGTCCATGCCGCAGCCCTGGAAGGACACGCTCATGTTCTGCGAAAATAAACACAGAGCGATGGCATTTCAGACCTCTGCAAAGTTCCGTCAAGACGTTTTGTTGCCGCAGTCGACTCGAGTTGACCGGGACGGACCCCTGGGCGCTCGCTCACCTGCGGCTTGGCCTCGATGTTCTCGCGGAGCAGCCACTCCTCGTTGAGGGTGTAGCGGGCCTTCCCCGTGATGGCGTCGATGGAGCCCTTGTTGATCTGCTGCCTGATGGCGCACAGCAGCAGGAAGAAAGGCTCACCCACCGTTTCCTGGAGGTCACGGGAGAGAGGCGGGGGTCAAAAGTCAGAGATGCAGGAATTCCTTTTAACCGAGCCCGTCTGGGCATCTGCCCCCTCCCCTCCCCTCCCCCGAGCGTCACCTTGAGGTAGCTGTACATGCAGATGGACATCCAGTTGGTCAGCATTTTCTCCACCACGGACTCGGTGCGGCGCAGCATCAGTTTGGGGTTCTTGGAGGCCGAGGCGTCGATCAGGTCCACCAGCAGGTCTTTCATGATGCTGGTGTAGTACTCCAGCTTGCCATGGAGGGCGATGGTGAGCAGAGACGCCAGGCTGCATCTGAAGGGCGAGAAAACAGGGCAGCAGAGGAGACGGATGAGCGAAAACATGCTTTTCGGGGGGGGGAGGAAACTTGCAGCGTCAGTGCCTGCGGTCAGTGATGCACACGCAGTGGCAAAGATTAGAAAATAACCGCAGTCAACAACAGGGGCTTCGTCCTTCCCACAGCACATGTGACGGCAGAGCCAAATAAAGGGACTGATCTAATGCGGGGAGTCCAGAGGTGCAGGGGATTTCCCTAACAAAGCCCCTTTAATCCTGCAGACAGCGGCACAGCAGGTCTCTGTTTCTCCGCGGTGACCGGCTAGTTTAAGGACATCAGGAGCAGCAACGCCGATGAACGGCTGTGCATTCACACAGCTGGAGCGGCAGAGACAGCAGGTCTGTGCTTACAGGGAAGAAGCTCCCGCGGTGAAAATAGAGGCACCCTCTGTGTACGATTCATTAATAATAATTAACATGGCTTCTTATGTCATGGTATAGAACATGTAACTTAGGTAACATGCTTTGGTTGAACAAGCAATGAAGTGAAATACCTCAGTTTGCTTTATTTGCATGTTTTTACTGAATATTTCCAATGTTGGATCTGCATTAATTGAGGTCTCGGACACTTTTCTGTTTCGGCATGAAGTGGTTATTTTTGTTGTGGCTGGAAACAACACTGCAGCACAGCTGCGGTCCTTAAAACCCGAACAATGAGCCGCGTGTTGGTAACGCTCTCCCGAGGTGAGAAGAACTGCAGCCGGGTGATATTTATCTTTGGCGCCTTCATATTGTGGCTTCACAGTAAACACCTCGCAATATGATGCTCTACAACAAAAAAGCCTCAGCAATCACTCAATTTGTTCTCAACTATTTTGCAAATCTAAATTACTTGGGTCAAAATGGTCTGATTGGAACTGAATATCTGTGGTGGAAAAAAAATTCACAAAAAAGTGAATGAGAAAAATAATCAATATATTAAATCTGCAGCCAAAATAAGTTGCAGCCGCAACAGGCGTATAAATCGTATGAATTCATTCATGACATCACCTGTCTCGCACTGCGAAGTCCTTCTGCTGCTCCAAGGCGTGGACGAACGTGACCAGGAAGTGCTTGTTGTTGAGCAGGGTGGAGAACAGGGTGATGCCCTCCTCCACGTTGGGCCGCGTCGCGTCGGTGGCCTGCGGGTCAGAAGGGAGACGGAAGCGGTTGTTTCGTCTCAGCGGCGTTTCTCCTCGAGTGCGCCGCACACCCGCCCCGCCCCCCTTTTTGCCGCCTCCCGTCCGGAGTGACCCGTCCGGTGAACACCTCATCCTTCTTTCACACCTCCCTCTTCCTCCTCTCCAGGCACCCCCCCCCCCCCCCCCCCCTCCCTCTCTCTCTCCCTCTCGCTCTCTCTCTGAAACCCCCGAACCCGCCTCTAAACGCGCCGACTCGGCATAACGAGCGCGGGCCGTCTGCGGGGCGCGGCGGAGCTGCAGTGGGAGGAAGTCTTCCCTCCGGGCCGCGGCCATATGGAAGCGGTCCGGAGGCTGACAGAAGGAGAACAGGGGTGTCCATTAAGATGAATGCCCGCCTGTGAGATTTATTTGCTGTGACCTGGAAAAACACTTCCTGGGAAGCCGATGTGGATCTAAGGCACTTCATCACCGCCAGACAGCCCCCCCCCCCCACCACCCCCCTCCTGCCCCTCCCGGCTGTCGGCCCTGCAAAACCCGCCGCCGCCATCGCCGCCTCCTCCTCCTCTCTTTCCCGAACGCGTGCTCGTCTTTTGTGGACCCACCTTCTCTTTGTAGCTTCCACTCCCGTCCGCCCCTCATCTTACAAACGCACACACTATTCTATAACACTATTCTTTTCCTTACTCCTCATCAACAACGAGCCCACTGCGAAAACCGTAACGCGCTTCAGTGTGACCCGGTCGAGGAGCAGGGGCGAGCGAAGGGAAGGAGGCGAGTCAATGTGGCAGAAGGAAGCCCAGCCGAGCGGCCTAATGGCTTAACCCCTCACCTTCCAGTCCTGCAGCAGCGGGTGCGTCTCCGGCAGCGCCCGCGGGCCCAGGCCGTCGTTCTTGTAGGCGGGCTGCACCAGACTCCTCTCGTAATCGGAACACATCTGAAACACACATTAACGGGGAGGCGGTTGGAGCGCGATAGCGAGACAGAGAGACACACACACACACACACACACACACACACAAATAGGAGCCGGCCTCGGGACCCCGGTGCGGTAAATCTGCAGCCTGGAACCTAAGAGGGAGAATTTCACGAGGAGGCCCCCGGACGGGCCCCCCCCTACGGACCACGAAGCAGGAACGCGACGCTTAACAACACGGGGCCTAAATGGCGCTGACCGGGGGGGCCGAGCGCTCCTTCTGCAGCCGTCCTTCCAGCGCAGCCGCGCTCCACCCGCGTCCAAACTGTGCAAACAAAGTTTTGTGTAATCGGGGAGAACCGGAAGCTTTAGCGGAGGAAAGAAAAACAAACAACGCGGCGCGCCACGAGTTTGCTGATTGAGCGGGAAAACTGCGGAGAGACGACAGAGAAGCAGCAACAGTTGAATTCATTTCAACACCCTCCCTCGCTCGCTTCCTCCGCGCCAGAAAACGGCGTCCGGGGTCTGTTGCAACAAACCAGCGCGGCGGCTGCTGATGTAAACTGTGAGCAGTGAGGTTTGAGAAATCAGGGGGAAAGTTCGCTTGTCTCAGCGCCCGCCATTGTTCTGTCTCCTTGGACGTCCATGCCTGTGGCTGGGAGACAAAAGTCTGCTGTGTGTGTGTGTGTCTGTATCACATTAGCTCTCCTGCAGGGCGCCACAGCGAGCTGCGCCTCGCTAAACGTGCGTTTGAGTCTCAAGGTGAAGTTTTTCATCCCGCGCATCTCGGGCGCTGGGAAGCGCGCGGCGTGCAGCGGGGAGATACGATTAAGGCCCCATTGAGAAAAATGGTGTTGTCAGTGCGCCGGCGGAAATCAGATAGCGGGCGGCCGAAATGGGCTCTCTCACCTTGGGGAAGAAGGTGCGCGTGACAAACTGCTTGTACTCCAAAAAGGGGATGCCCTGGCTGCGATTCAGCTCCTTGGTCAGGTCCGTCATGTCCGTCTGCAGCTCGGCGAAGCCTACGGAGGAACAAGAAGAAAGACCCAAAGTCCTGAATCGTGACATTGTTTGTGGCTCCTGGGGTTTGTTGCGCTTGGCAAAAAAATGAGTCAAACGTGTCTCCACAGGCTCAGACTACTGGGATCAGAAACAACTCCAGATAAGAGCCAGTATCATGTGATTTACCAAATCAAAAATGTGCATGTACGAAGATCTCCCAACATCCCTCCTCCTCCTCCTCCTCTGTATAAATATTTGCCACACGACAATCAGAGCGGCCAAATCCGGCCGCAGTATCAGCACGTCCAGACAGCGACTTAATGCCTCGGTGCGGGTTCTCCGGGAGGATAATGTCGCCCACTAATGAGGCGCTGGAGATCCCTTCATGGAAGTCCTCTGCCCGTCGCGGGATGGGAGGCGTATTTGGGTTGCGGTGCTAATTCCCTCCGATTGCGTGTGTGAATAAAGACGGGGGAATACTACACCCGGAGGGGGGGTGGGGGGGATTTAAGACCTACTCCAGGTTACTCATCCCGTGTCCCCTCAACAGCCCCGAATGTGAAAAAGAAAATCCCACAATACCAAGAACCTCCTGTTCCTGCAGCCTGGAATGTGTTCCAATTCCCCATCGTCCTCGCTCCCTCTTCTCCTGCCTTTATCGGAACTTTCCCTCGCTTTGTGCACACTCACCCCGAACACGGCCACAAATCTATCTGCGTCCTGTGAATAAATAACCTTCCCCCCCCCCCCCCCACTCTCCTCTCTCTCCCCCACTCCTCCTCCCACGCTCCTGCTTCTCCTCTCGGACTCGCGGCCCCGGCTCCTATCGCTTCCTCCCCCCCCACCACCACCACCGCCATCTCCACGCAATAAATCTGGTCGCTCAGACGCGGCGCGGCCTTCACTCCCTGTGGCCTAGAAACAAGCGCGTGCGCACACGCGGAGGAGAGGCGGGGCGCTGGACGCGCGCTGAGGCCTCGTGGACGCAGCAGCAGAGGCGACGAGGCCACTCGGAGTGCGTCCGCGTGACTGAATGGCTCATCAGACGCTGGGGTTTCATGAGTCACGCTTACTCGGCACAAATCTGTCAACCGTTGTGTGTCTCCCTCCCCCTTCAGACTGGAAACCAATCGCAGACAAACACCGTCTGCACGCACACACGAGTGCATGTGGTCAATACTTCTTGTCTTCCCGCCAGGTCTTTTGTCACGTCAGTCGAAAAAAAAAAACATCATTCCAGGTCCAAACCGCTGTGAGAGCGGCGTTTGTGTGATAGTACAGGGCGTGCTTGTGTGTACACGCGTGTGCGTGTGCGTGCGTGTGTGTGTGTGTGCGGCTTGTTGGACGAACGCACCTTTTCGGATCTCGTCTCTGATCTGGGACTCCATCTCCTCCATTTGGAGCAGAGTTTTCTGCCAGTAGCGCTCCGCCCGGCGGCTCTTCGTGCAGTACACGACGAGCGCTGAGGAAGGCGGGAATGCAGTTAGATCACGAGCGCGTCTCAACCGGCGAGGGCGCCTCACGCCGCCTCACGCCAGCGACCCCGGGGGGATGATCCGCAGGGCGCGAAAGGTACCGGAGAAAGATTTTAGAAAAGGACGTTCCTTTGACAGCATCTTTTCTGAGCCTGTCAGTAATTTGTGCACGGATGCATCCAGCTGTGAGAACATCTCACTGAGAATTGTTTGTGAATGTGTAAATAAAATGTGTGCGTGTGTTATTTCAACGGTTGTCCCACTTAAAAACATAAAAAGGTCTGTGAACACGTACAAACACGTACAAAAGGGAAAGTGTGAAAATCCACCATTGCTCTAATTTTCACCCCAGCACCTGCCTCAGTTATACGAAGACCACACACACACACACACACACACACACACACACACACACACACACACACACACACACACAGGAACAGTGAGGTCTTTGTGCTTTGAGGACTGAGGCAGGTTTTCGTGAAATTATGACCCCCTCCTCCCCCCGAATTCCTCTCATCTCTTCCACATCTGGAGCATCCATCGCCACGGCAGCCGCACATCCGTGGACCGCTGGTGCACTACGCGACTTACCCACAGTGCACAGCAGCAGCAGCACGCAGCACACCACGATGGACACCACGATGGCCAGCTCGCTGCCCCCGAGCTGCACCTTGGCGATGGTGTGACGAAAGTTCCCCACTTGCACCTAGAAAAGAGGAGAAGACGCGGCGATGCATCACTGTCTGAATGTTTGTGTGCATGGAAATACAAAGCCTTTCATGATGATGAAGCTAATTGTATTTTAGGAAGACAAGGCAGCCATTGGGTGTTGTCTTTGGATGGAATACGCTGTGGTGGGGACGCGGGTACCTGTGCATCATTTGGTTCATGGACGCAGGTGCAGACACAGATAAACGACACCCGGTAGCTCTTTTTGAAAAATGGCCCATCGCTGCAGCGAGCTGTGCAGGAGTCACCGAGTTCAGAGCAACCCAGATGTGACAAGAATAAGACTTTCACTTCTGCCTTCTGATTAGTCAGCGGTCCTCTGTGGACCCTCCTCACATCCTTCCCCAAGCCCGGCGTTCTTCACATAAAGAACCCCAGATAAAAAAGCCTCCAATCCGCAGACCAAATCCCTCATATGCTGCTTTCCCTTTGAGGGGGTGGGGGCCGTGGGGGGGAGAGGGGATGGGGATGGGGGGGGCTCACTGGGCTCCCTCCTGCTTTTCTCATTCCATCCTCCTCTTTCTGGTCCTGGCATTTATTTACCGGCGAGAGACGGGCCTCCCAGCAGAGACGACAGCAGCCGGGCCGGTGTAACGGAGCGGGGGGGTGCGGAGGTGCGGGGGGGGGCTATTGTTCTGTCTTCCTGCTCCCTGGTACAGAAACACTCCCCACGTCCACTCAGCTCGGCTCCATTCCAGAGCCGAGCAAAACACACAGGGGAGGGGCGAGTAAAAAACACGCCGCCGAAAAGTAAGCGGAGAAACAAAGATGGCCGACGGTGCTGCAGCGAGGCCCGACGTCTGTTGTTTATTCCCCCGTCCAATCGGCACACTAATCATCCTCGCTGCTCGCCTGCAGCCGCCCCCCCCCGCCCGTGTTACGACATCTAATTTGACCCCTCGCCCTCCCGAGACGTCCTCGCTAATTGCCCGTGTTCATTCTCCGACATCCCGGGGAGCCACAGGTAGACTTTCTGTCGCAGAGAGGGACGTATGTCTCCGAGCCTTTCAGACGAACCACTCAGTCTGCCTCTGATTTAAATATAGACGGACGCTTAATAAAGCCCTCTCAGCGGGGACAACAGCAGATGGGGAACGTGGGCAGGGGAACGAGTGTCCGCTTCCATCTTGATTAGGGCGTCTAATTGCGACGGAGACGGAAACAAAAACACCAGCGAGGAGTGAGTGAGACGGTCGCCGAGTCACAGATAGCGGCCGCGTGAGAGGCGGTCGGGGGGGGGGGGGGGGGCGCCGATGAGTGGCGGGCTGATACGGGATTAGGGAGACAAAAGGGAAGGCGGGGAACGCTTCGCTGTTCCGCCCCCACTGAGTGCTGTAAACCATTGGATTGGATTGGTTTGGATTCTAAATGTTGGACACGTGGTCGTATTTGGGGGGGGGGGGGCGTGCACACTTACTGTGACGGGCAGCTCCCCCTCGTTGGGGCCCAGCAGCCCGCTGATGGTGCAGTGGAACAGCTGGTCGTTGTGAAAGCTGATGTTACAGGGATGGGAGCCAATCATCACGGAGTATTCCTCCGGCACCAGCTCCAGGTCGCTGGGCCCTTTCTGCGCCAGGAGAAGAGAACAAAAAAAAAAAAAACAGCCGTCAGCCGGGGTGCGATGGCGAGAGGCGGTTTGAGGATTACGTTCAACCGCGACGGGCACACACACACACACACACACACACACACACACACACACACACACACACACACACAAAGCGATCTTTCCGTTGTTGCAGCTGTCACGCAGAGAAAGGCAGCAGAAAACCCCTCCCGGTTTGGGCCGGAGTTCAGCTTAAAGCAGCAAACATTGCCGCTGACTCTCTCACGTGGCCGGGGAAGTTTCGAACAAACAGACCCAGTGACAGTCATCCCTTCTTGTGCCCAAAATAACATTCTCAGGGGCCTCTACGGGGGGCTGGCGGGGTAAAGCGCATTAGCCTTCTTTCTCCTCTTCTCTCTCACTCGCTGGTTTAATCAAAGTGGAGTTTTACACCAGTCGGTGTTTTCTGGAGCTTTTCTTAAGGGCGATACGGAATCAATGGAACGGCCCTCTGAGTCGCTGTAAAGAAGCGAGACACATGAGGTTAGAGACAGATTGTCTCAAGTATCAAACCAGGAAGTCAGTCTGTAGACTGTACACAGCTTTAGACAGACTAATTGGATAATAACATTTTGGTTTTTTTTTGGTGATGTCGCCGCTGTTTAAAGAAGTCTGCAGTCACTTGGTTATACGCCGTGTTATTATTCATAGACGGGAATAATAACAAACATATTTGTATGGATGCAATTTCCCTTTAATATTGAGATGTGAGGAAGCGCCTGTTTATCCCCAGAGTGCTTCCGTGCTTTGATTGCACCCTCAAGCGCCCCCCCCCCCCCCGGGTCTCTGTCAACAAATGCTTCCTAACACACACACACACACACACACACACACACACACACACACAGCTTTAAACCTTCATGCTAAATGATATTTAAGCATTTTGTCCAACATTCTGGACCAAAACAATGGACGCGCCCACATTCCAGCTCGGGTCCTTAGTGTCCTTAGACGAGTCGCCCATGTACGCATCTTGCGGAAGCCGCTTCGTGTTCAGACCCCCCCCCCCCGTGTGTGTGTGCTGTTAGCATGTGAATGTCGTGCGGCGTCACAGCCGGCGGCCCCTTCAGGGTGATGAATCCATGCCGACAGGTGCTTGGATCAGCCAGACCACGGGAAACAACACGGGACCTCCTACTGAGCCCCCCCCCCCCCCCCCCCGGGCCCCCCGGACTGGAATCAAGAGGCCTCGGCGGCGGCGGCGGCGGGGGGGGGGGGGCCTTTGATGTGCTCTATGAGCCTCTGGTTTGTGTGAATATGAATAAAGGAAGCGCTCCAGCGGTGATGCTTTTAGAACCAAGAAGCCTTCAGAGGACACGTCAGTAGTTCTGTTGAATATTAAAACGCTTTTGAGGTTGTCAATAGTTCTTTCTGCGGAAAATTTAGGCTAATCCGTGTTTTTCGTCAGAACTCCATGATAGCGGCGTGTCTCTACCGGCCGTCATCTCACCAGCTAATGTTTTTTTAATTATCAAATCCATCAACTGGTGGAAGGACGGCCAAAACACATCCGTGGTCCCCTGAAGAGTTGATCGGATGATATCTTTGTCCTTCGTGTTCAGTCATCAATTCCTTTAAAATACTTTAGAATAGGTTAAAAACTGATGACATTCCCATCAACTGTCCTCTGTCTTTAATGCAAAGTTAGATTACTCACAGCCGGCTAAAGAACAATGAGCGATTATATAGAAGAAATAAAAAATATGAGCCAGAATCAGTTCTAAATTGTAATTTATAACTGTTCATGTTTATTATACTTGCTTTGCTTCCTGTTGTTTCTCCGTCCTTTCTGCAGCTATCGAACTGTAAAGTCCCCCAAGGTGGAACTAATAAACCATCATCAAATGGTTAAGTGAATAAAAAGGATTAAGATTTGACACACTGATTAAATTCCCATTTTTTTCATGACACAAGTGCTTTTGCCACCAATTGCTTCTCTGCTGCGTTGAACAAGACAGTGTGTATATACATATATATATATGTACGTGTAATCAATACAAACAGCATCCCATTCAGTTAGACGTAGAGTAAAAGGAAGGTGAACTTTGGCCCCACTTGTCGAGCGTCCTGCCTCATCAGCGTCACTCACGTTGATGATGAGCGTCAGCGGCTCCCCGGGGTGGTGCTTGATCAGCTTCTCCTTGCTCGCGGTGAAGAACTGAGGGTCCTCCACGTACTCCAACAGGAAGCGACCTTTGTGTGGCTCCCCCTCCTCTTCCTCGCTGTCGTAGGCGAAGGGTCGGTCGCCGGTGTAGAGGAGCCCGTTCAGGAAGAACTGCACCGAGGTCTGCTGGGACTGGCTGGAGGCCGGGGACGGGCAGGTGATCGTGGAGGAGGAGACCACGGCGCAGCGCTGCAGCAGAGCCAGAGGGGTCAGGGTGAAGCTAAAGCAATTATGGAATAACCATTTTTAAAATTTATTTTAAATGTATATTTTTTTCCATATATTTTAATTTTTGCAATTTTTTTGTTTTTGATTAAAAAAATAAAAGTGTGCGTCACACATTTAACTGAATTGTTGAGTCTCCAGGTGAAGCTGGTGAGAGAAATGCGTAATACATAGTATATGGTCGGGGTCATTTAAGGTCTGCCCCAACAGACACAAATGCTACTAAAAAAAACCTGTTTAACTGCATAAATCAGTAGTATATTTACTTATGTGTCATTTCTTTGGAAAGAAATCTCAGATTTTAATTTCCTCCCCCAACTCGTGCCTGAGTTCTTTCTTTTGTTGTTGTTCTTTCGGAGGCGTGATGACTTCATGACACATTAAAAATACAGTTTTTCTGTTTGTTCCACCTAATTACGAGTTCCCGGAGAGGGAAAAAAAGAAAAGAAATTCAGATGACTGCTCACTTTTTCTCCAATTTCCAGCACCTCCATGGTGACGCTCTGCACCAGATCAAAACCCCGGCCTGTCACTGTGATGGTCCTGCCACCGCTGCAACACACACACAAACACACACACACACAAGCAACGAGAGTCACATCTCAGACGTGACAAAAAAAAAAGCAACCAGATTTTAATGCAAAACAGTTCGACTGCGGTGCAAATCCACACGCGAGTCATCAAACGCATCATGCTGTCAGACGCACACGGGGCTATTTTGAACACAAAAGAGAGACAATGCTGCACACCAGGATGACATCACAGCAAAGACTTAAGCGCGGCGCAGCGTCCTGCAGCTCGACACTGGCGACGCGTGAGGACGGTGCCCACCTGAGGTAGCTCTTCTTCGGGTGGATGAAGCTGACGGTGGGGTTCTTCTCGTACGTGTAGACGGCGCTGCGCTCCTCACTTTGACACGGAAGGTTTTCAAACTCCACGCACACCGTCACCGAGTCGCCGTGGGCCTGCAGGGCCGCAGGCATCGTGCACTCAATGGTTTCCTCGGTTTTACTAGGAAAAGGAATAAAATAAAGAAAGAGAATATTACGTCGGGTTGGAGGACTTGAGACTTGACTTGTGCTCAACAAAGTCAGGATGGTTCTTCTTAAATCTGCTTAAAATGATCCTAAAACGCATTTTGAAGTCCAGAAATGTGTTTGGTGAGGTCACAGTAACCTTTGACCCCCGAATCTTGATCGGCTCGTCTCTGAGTCGAAGCGAACGTTGGAGCCACATTTGACGTAATCTTCTCAAGGCGTTCCTGAGATACTGGGTTCAAGTGAAACGGGGAGGCCCCCGAGGTCACTGTGACCTTTGACCTGCAAAACCCAATCACTTCATCCCTCAGCTCCGGTGGACGTTTGTGGCAGATTTCGAGAGGCGTCCGTCGCCCCCCCCCCCCTCCGAGCGGCCTGAAAGCAAGCGGTACTCACTCGGTGATGGCGCACTCCAGCGTGCCGTTGGCTCCCACTCGCACTCCCACCTGGGAGCCGATGTCCAGGTTCTGCCCCCTGATGACGACCACGGTGCCTCCGGCCCGAGGGCCCTTCGTGGGCTCCAGGGACAGCAGCTTCGGGACCTGAGTGAGGGACGACAGCGCGTTCGGGTTAATCACGCGCGGGCCGCGTGGCGGAAATCTCTTCTCGCCCCTTTGAGATTCAAACGTCTCGTCTTCACAGATCGGCAGACAGCTGCCGCCTGGAACAGTGTGAGGAAAAGCCCACGAGCTGCAATACGTGAAGCCAGCGGGCCTCCGGGTCCTGGCTCCGCAGCTCGTCGACCAGCATCGGCGTTCACCGCGCGTGACCCTCGCCTACCAGGGGAAGCTCCCGTCCTCGCCGACAGGATTCACTTCCCCCGTGTGCGCGGCTGGAGGCGGCCTATTGTGCGTTTGCGTGTCAGCGCTGGTGCAAGGAGGCAGATGTTTCCGTCTGAAGGAGCGCGAGGAAGGAGATGCGGCAGAGTCGCACATCCTGTCCACTTCTTCCCCCTTTTAAACAGCAGTCATTAACCCCTCGCACTCCCACCGTGTCAGAAAGTGGACGGCCGCACACCGGGGAGGAGTTCCCACAACGCCACGGCCTAAATCCTTTGTTGTTCTGGATCCTCTCTTCATCCTCGCGTATCAAGAGGAGGAGGAGAGTGGAGGGGGGGGGGGGGGGGGATCACGCACAGGCAGAGCTGCTCGCAGAAGCACTGATTTGCGAAGCGCTTGATCTGTTGATCTAATAAAAAGAAACAAAGGGTATTTCCACTGGCTGGATATTCCAAATCCAACGGGAAACCCGCGCGGGTCGAGGTCAATCGTCACGAGGGCCGGCTGTCCCGCCTCGACCCCGCGCGATGAATCCACAGCCAAGCGGACCCTTCCAACTAAATCGCCAGATTTGTTTTTGCTGGCAGCGAGAGCAGAATGACAACGCTGCCGGGTTCGGAGACTTCCCACACACTCCTCAGGATTCCTGGGATCCGTGCGAGGCGTCTGTTAACACTCGGCTGACACTCGGGAAGCGTCTCCCGGCGGGCAGCGAGGGCCGACGGACGGAGGAGGAGGAGAAGAAGAAAGAATGTGCAGGGCGAGGCCGACAGAACAGAGAAAGATCAGCAGGGGTGGAGGACACTCACTAAGTAGGAGAAGCTGTCCCTGGACGTCCCCGTCCCACTCTGGTCCACGTCCACCTGGACCACGTCCGTCCTCTCCCGCGCAGACGGCCCAGTGAGACACACCAGCCTGGGGGATTTAAACAGAGAGTCACCTCCTTGTTCGGTTTGCAAAACATTATAATCAGAGATCAGTTAATAGAGATAAAACAAACTGGCGATAATGGAACGAACACTCAGAAGAACGTCTGATGATTTCTATTAAACTCGTTGCGGAAAGCGAACCGATAAGATGAAGAAAGAGATCCTGATCTTGACAGCTAAACAAAAGGCACATAATGAATCTTGGAGAATGGTGGTTATGAATCAATTCATCAGGACCGCATTTACATATGGAATCCAAATAAAGCCCTGAGATATTGTATATTAGAAGATGTGCTGATGTTCAGAGCCCCTCAGACCAGATGTGTCAAACCCCAGCGGAGCTTTTTGGCGTGATAAAACCTTGGTGTCGTCGTTGCGCTCCACGGGAACGCCTCACATTAACGACACGAGGCACAGCGGTGTGAATGTACTGGAGGGGGGGGGGGGACACGGCGGGGGCACGACCTTTATCAGCTCACGTGATCCTCTTCCGGCGCGACACCCCGTCGTTTTTTTTTTAGTCGGGGCCCTCGAGCTTCGCTGGATGTAGATTCTCAGCGTCAGAGTGATTGACAGAGGAATGGTGGGGGGATTGTGTCAGGTTTGGGGGGGGAGGGGGGCAGGTCAGGCTGTCGGCCCGGCTCGGACAGCTTCCTCCGAGTGTGCTTCTAAATGTCAGGGTCAGACAAATGCCCCGTTTTACCCAGAACCCACTGTGGCATTTAACGAGCCCAATTAAAACACGAGCCGTTAAAATAATAAATAACTCTAAAATAAGCCCATCTGTTGACGGCGCGACGTCTGCGTTTGTGCTCGCTAATTACAGGAGCAGCAGGTAAAGAATGTCATCGCGCTCAAATTACACTCCTGTCAGTTACGAGTCGCGGCGGTTAGAAGCCGGTTGAATAGAATCGTCTCACATGATCGGATTCGGGGAGGAGATGAAGAAGAAAGGGACGGATAAAATCAAGCGCGACTATTCAAGAGAGATTCGAGCCTGAAATAAGAGGGCCGGAACCTCCGGGGCCAGACTGCCGACGTGCCGCCGTACGATAATGATGAGGATTATTCTGCAGGAGGAGACGCATCCACGGAACCTGTTTGTAGAACACCGCCAGTGTGATGAAGTGTGGCATTTAAACGGCAAACACTCACTGGGTTTGTCACAGTAAAATGTGTTCAGATATTCCTAAAACCACACAGAATGCATTTCTACCATGCGGGACAAAGCCGTGGGGACGACGTGGCCTTTGAACGGGAACTTCCCTGCAGGGCCGTTAATTTCATTTGTAAATCTACTGAAGATTCCTGAATAAATAAAAATGTTCTTTTTTTATCTTTTCAGTTCCCAGAAACATCCTCAGATGTCTTTTTTTTTTTCTCCGACCAATATTCCAAAAATATATATTTGTGTTAGAATGAAAAATAAGCAAAGCAAAAAATCATCGGACAAACAAGAACCCGAAAATACTTTGAATTCATTCAGAAATGAAAAAGAATAAATTCCTTTATAAGGCGTTTGCAGATGTGCTGTTGTGTGTGTGTGTGTGTGTGTGTGTGTGTTGCGTGTGTGTGATGTTGATGCAGGGTGATCCCAGTCACTCACACACACACACACACACACACACACACACAGCCCGGTTGACCCCGGCTCCACATTCCAGCGCCGCCCCACCGCGGTGATATTATGGGTTTCAGAGGCCGATGTTATGAAGACGTCTCCGATCATTTCCCTCGAGTGGATGATGAGGATCATCAACAATCGGGGGGCCGACAGCGGCGAGGTGCCGCTCAAAAAAGCAAAGGGGCGGGGGCCCCTCGGGGCTCGTGTGAAAGCGATAGCGAGGGCCCGAGCCAAAGAACCCAGAGGCGGCGCTTCGGCCCGCGATTAAAACGCTGACACGGACGCGAGCTGCACGTGTTCCTCGCGTCAAACAGCTGCGAACTTTTCACCTCGCGGCGCACGATCCGACACCTGTCCGCACGGCGCCGGGCGCAGCGAGAGCACGCTTTGAATCTCAGATGGACGGAGGGTGTGTTTTTTTTGTGGAACTGAGTAATTTGACACGGCTCCTTTCGCGTAAGCCGATTTAGGCAAAGTAAGGTTTATAATAAGATGAGATTAAATGTAAAGGGTTTAAGTTAAGGAGATGAGATGGCATAATTAGATAAAAGGGGAGGTCCCCACAAGGACGGATGCACGTGACGCTCCGCTGTCATAACAAGCCGCCCGCAGGAGCCACGGAGGAGAAAGAATTACGACACGAGACAAGGACACCCCCCCCGGAGTGAAATGAGATTCCCTGTTTTTTAGAAATTGTGTGGGGGGGGGGTTTCGGGGGGGGGGGGGGGGGACGTGTCAGGCAGCTGGAGTGACAGGTGAGACTCGCAGGTCGCCCTCGAACCGGTCTTAATACAATGATTGGCTTCAGTGGAGCGAGACCAGATAAACAGTTCCATTCAGGGAACATTACAGATACTGAATGGAAAGTTCGGATGGAACGGGAGAGTCCTGGTATGTCGGCGTCAGAGCGATGTCCTGCCGTCTCCATGGTGACGGTGTGGTGGTCGGCGGTGCATAGTGATATTTGTGGAAACCTGCCCTTATGAACACATGAAAAGTAAACCATTCAGTGGAGGTTGACGTTCAAGTGCTTAGACTGGTGGACGTGTAGGAGGGTAATGATAATAAGAGGAGGGAGCTTAATAACTTGTTCAAATTTAGTCCAAATATGTTAGGTCAAATAAATGTCAAAAAGTAAAAATATATTAGGTTGAAAAATAGAGTGGTAGAGTGAAAATAAGTCAAAAAATGTTGAAAAATGTTCGGGCAAATATATTAGGTCAAAAAATATTTTGAAAGAAAAGTGAAAAAATATTTATATTTAATTTAATACAAAAAAATATCCAAAAATATTAGGTAAAATTATTAAAAAAAATATTATTATAATAATTATTATTTCTTTAAATAAATTGAATAGGTATTGGATGGGCTTCCTTTAAAATCCTACTTTACTTCCATCGAGCGGTTGGTTACAGAATGAGTACCACTCAAACAATAACAAAAACTGTACAGTTCTGCCTCACTTATTGTTTGCCTGAGAGAATAAAGGTACCACTTTTTTTCATTCCATCCGTTCATCTTGTAAATTCATTACCCACAATGCAACTCAACAGTTGGGCTGTAGATTTACGGCGTCGTACGGACACGGAACGAGAGCGTGTCATGCTCTGAAAGCCAGCGCTGCCGGATCAGATTCACAGTTTCCTGCTCAACTTAAAACCGGCCCAATAAAAAAACCAATCTGTGTTCAACCATGAAACCGTTACATGAGCAAGAGGAAATACATTGTTTCAGCATCAAAGAGAAAGTGTGGCACTCGCTCAGACCTGTAAACCGACTTTGATGTTTGAAATGCGTCTCGTTTCCCTTTAAATACGTAGAACAGCTGTAGAACAGGTATTTTACAGTGGATCCCAAACTCCTCCCACTTGTCCCTGCAGAGAAGGTGCCAACGGTCCGGCAGCTGTGACTGTCCCGTCAGGTCGGGGGGTTAGGGGGGGGGGGGGGGACCAATCTGTCCACATTCCTGCTGTCCACCTGACCTCTTATCTGCCCGAGAGCATGGCAGGTTGCCGTGACAACGGGTCACCGTCAGCTATCATCTCGCCGCTTCCCGATTGCGGCACAGCTGCTTTGTTTAGCAGGGTTTGGGGGGGGGGGGGGGGGGGGTCAACCCTCGAGACGTCTTGCTGTGAGGGGACGGTGCTAACCACTGAGCCGCCGCTCCATCGTGCACGCACGAGACCAGTGTGAAGGAGGTAAACGGGCCCTAGCCTCGATGGGCTTGAGCGAACCCTTAAATAACAACGGACGGCTGGTACGTATGTGTGGATCCTATTACAGCGACATATTACATCACACGTTGCACGTTACACACAACATTACTTACTCCACAGAGACGGTGAAGAGCTGCACGTCACACGGCACATCGCCAATGGAGACCGTTACAACTTCAGACCTCCAGCCCAGGTTCCTCCCGTGTACTGTCAGCAGGGTTCCTCCTTCCAGCGGACCGCTCAGGGGGGAGATCTGATAAAACAGAGCTTAAAATGAACAGGCAGGTAGAGGGGGTTTGGGGGGGGGGGGGGGTCTTGTGAAAACCCTGTTAGATTAGAGCTCATAAGTGCATTACCGCCCTGAGAACGTGACACTGATGGCGGCTGATAACGAACGTGACGGAGAATTAGGAGAATGCAGATGCTTTGGACGTAGGGGGGGCGGGGGGAGGGGGGGGGGGGCACACGGGGAGATAAGACAGACAGACGCACACACACACAAAAAGAAGACACTTAACTGCGCCTGTCTGAGACTCTTCAGCCGCTAATCCTCTCCAGCACATGCAAATAAAGAGCAGCCTAAGAGCCCCCTTCACGTCCCACGAGAGACAGACGCAGCGAGAGAGAGAGAGAGAGAGGGAGGGAGAGAGAGAGAGAGAGGAGGGAGAGAGAGAGAGAGAGAGAGGGGGCTGCAGAGGCGAGGTGGAGAGCACAGCGGAAAGGTGGATGAGTGGGGAGGCAATTTAGGAAACCGAGTGTCGAGAGGAGAGTGAATGCTGATGGCGGTGGCGGTGGCGAGAGAGAGAGCAAAGCCTCGACCGGGAGGAGGGGTCGGGCGGGAGGGGGGGGGGGGTGAATTAATGCACAGTGCCGTTCCCTTTCATCTGTTTCCCCTTCGTCTGCTCTGTCAAATTCCTCGGTACCATTTCTGCTTGTTCAGAGAGCCTTTGGTGTTTTTAACTTCCCATTCGAACAAAAAAGAAAGAAAAAAAGAAGCAGGAAGGGGTCACCCCCCCCCCCCCTCGAATCACCACGGAGACGCAGCTTCGCCAGATAGCATCTCCGAAACGCCCGGACAGACGCAATCAACTCCCGTTCCCCGCCGCCGTTGCCGCGGCGAGCCCAGCTGCCCGCGTGCTTCTGCGACTGACCCCTGCGGCTGAGCCGAGGTCGGCGTGACCCCCCCCCCGGTGTTATTAGCTCTATCGGGAACCGAGCCTCAGAATGAAAACAGCACTTCTGTTTGGTCTAGGTGAGGGGGGGGGACGCGGCCTGCCTGCTGCATACAGATCATTTGAAGCCCTGCGGAGTGACAGCGCGGATAAATAAACCTCGTGTTTCCCGGCGAAAGTGTATTTGTTTTTATATTAAAAACAGGCCAACCCGCCACCACCTGGAGTATTCGCATCACGGGAAACCATGCAAATGCTTTCTTTTGTGGTTGTGTTTGGCTTTTGGACGTGTCACCACCCCGCGTGTGTGTGTGTGTGTGTACACATTTCCTTCACGCACATGTCGCACCACTAACGCGGCTCCTCAGCGACTCACTCACTGCGGCGCCCTAATGTGTCTTGAGCGTCCACATCGGCCGGCACGCTGTTCATTTACACCTCTTACGAGTCTCCACTCCGGGGGAGGCCGAGAGAGGTGTGAGCGGGCCGGAGGGCCGACGGGGAATGCGGCGGTTCTCGCCCCTCAAAGCGTGGCGTCGGGTCTGCGTTGTGGAGCTTTTCCAGATGAACTTCCGAGCGCGAGGACAAAAACAGGAAAGGTCTCTCCGCCACTCTGAGGCCTCCTCCATCCTAACTCCATCCTCTCCCCCCCACCCGGACATGTCTCTCCCAGATCCGCCTGTCTTTTCTTTGTGGTGGCTGAACGTTGGCTGGTTTCTGTTTTGGTAACTCTAATCAATGTTTTTTGTGTTGTTAAAAGTGGACCGGCCCACTCGTAACAAGAGAATAAAGGGGCCTGCGGGGATGATAAATGTCTCCATTGTCTTACGCCGCCTGAGCTGAATGGAGCGCATTTTTCACAATTAGGTGACATGGAGCAAAATTGAAGGAATAATGAAATCCTCCACCGTAATGATATTTTGGCGCCGGCGGTATAAATAGCAGGTGACAAAGGAGAGCGAGGAAAACATGCTTCATTATCATTATTTCACGCGGCCTACGTGACAAAGAGCTGAATGGGCGTGTGGAGCTTCAGGGAGGGTTTGATCTTATCCTCCCGAAGCCTCGAGTACACTCGGCCTCAAAGTCCTGCGGATTGTCTGGGAAAAACATGGCTGCCAAAGCGTTGCATCACCCCCCCCCCACAGAACCACAGCCCCCCAGTATCCTCTCCCCCCGAGACAGCCATTGTGTGAGTGAGTGTGTGTGCGCGAAAGAGAGCGTTGCAACAATGGTCTGCCCACGCAGACGTCATCGCAGCCCGGCCAACTTCAGTCCCGTAAGGAGTCCACGTGAGTTCTCCTGTTAGTCACACTGTGCTGACAGCTACAAAGAAGGAGGAATAATCGGGAATGCTTCAGTATACGTGTGTGTAATATATCTGTGTGTGTGTGTGTGAGGAGGAGAATGTGTGTCCGCCGGCCTGCTCATTCCCTTCGGGCCCAGCCGTTTTTTGTTTTTTTTTTATCTACAGGAAGTTCTAGCCCACTGAGCACCATGTGAGCCGTGCTTCCCGTGACCGCCTGCGGTTTGCCGTGCCGACATTGAAGGGTTTCGGAAAGGACGGGTCCGGACGCAATCCCATTACAGCCGGGGACAGATAAACGCATACCATCACGCAAATGAGCTCCGTGAGCGGCTTTAAGGACGGCCCCCCCCCGCCCGCCGATGGGGGACGCCCCGTTGGGACGAGGTCCGCGCTCAGATTGTGTGTGTGTGTGAGAGATAAACACCCCTTGTGGTCAGCGTGTGGTTTTTTCCTCTCCTTGTTATGTTCACAAATCTTCAAAGCCGTCCTGGTTCTCGTTTGCTTTCGTTTGTGGTTTTCTGCACAAAGAGCTCTACACATAAAGCTCTCATGACTCGTTTACACTCAGAAAGGTGTTCTCATGTCTCGCTGAGTGATTGCAGATTGACTCTCGCCGCACTCTCTCTCTCCCCCAGGGCCGCGAAGTGGTATCACCCAGTGAGCTGCTTTAAATGAGACTGTATATTAAACAGGAGGCTGGGGTCTTTGTTTGGAGGGTCGACGCGAGCGTCTGCGACCTCATCTTCGTGGATCTCGGGGGGCCGGGCACTGATCCGGGGCGGGCTGACAGTCGATCCCTCGGCCTGCAGCTGTTTTCGCACCAGCCGCAGAGGTGGCCCTTGTCCTCGCGGCCCCTACACTGGGAGCAGTCCGAGCTGCCCACCGCACAGTTGTACACCTCCACTACAAGGAGGAGGGAGGTAAGGAGGAGACAGGGGGAGGATTATTACACCAATACACCAATCGTTGAACTGCGGCCTCCACTGCGCTCCTAGAATTCCTTTTTTTTTTTTGTAGCTGTCGGTTCCCATATGGGCTGCTCCTTCTGAATAAACAGAAAAGGGAAAGCATTTGCAGGATGATATATGCACGGCTGTAAAAATAAACCAGGGGAAAAAAAAAGGGGGGGAGTTGAGGAGAACAAAGCCAGCGAGAAACACGCGATTATGTTCATGTTGCAATGTGCCTCCCAGAGTGAAATCCCATTTGTGTCGCTGCATGTGCATCTGTGCATGCATTTGTGTTGCAGTGTGCGTGTCTGCGCGCGCGCCCGGATGTGTTTTCAAAATTTGATGATTGTGCATGTTACGGAGCTCCCCGTCATGTTGAGGACAGGGCAGCGTGTCTGGCCGCGGCCCGGGGGCTGTTGTTCGCATGCTAGACACATGCTGGACTGCGCGCCGCACATCTGGGACCGGGAGGGAGGCCAACGATTGGCTCCGAGCTGCCGCACTACACGTCGTGCCAAGTTGTAACAACGCCAGGGCCACTTCCCGTCATCTCGCTGTTGTCATGGAGCTCAAACTGCATTTGCAACAACACGTACGGACACTTGTGCCCGTCGCATTCACAACACCTTAAATTGCGGCTCCCTGTGTTCTATAATAATTATGTGTAATTAGATGGTAGCGGAATGCGATAGTATGCTAAATTACTAGTTGGCAAATTATGTGTTGTAATAATAAACTATTATTATTGCAAGTGAAAGGCCGTCTTAACGCTGTTTGTCCCCGTAAGCGGTTCCACCGGGCCCAATCAAATCCGCCAGCCTCATCAGAAAAACAGCTCCGGTGCACAGGTGAATTGCATTCTGGGAGCGCGCGATGTCATATTCTTTTTACTTGTTTTTGTCAGTTTGTAATTACGCTCAAATGCAGGGGAGCTGAAGCGCGGCTAATGGAAACCGTACTTCTCGCGTGTTGTTTTTCCACAGAACAATGTCTCACCTCTCATGGGCTGGGGGCTGTCCACAAAGACGTCCCGCGTCGGCCCACCGAAGTGTCCCCCCCTCCTCAGGCTGAGGTGGAAGACCTGGCTCTCCTGATTGGTGGACAGCTGCAAAAGGGGGGAGAGAAAAGGGCACGTGCCTTCACCGGCTCTGGACGATAATGGGTTCTCATTCCACTTGACGACAAGGGTTTATTATAATTGCGGTAAAAACACGTTACAGGCGAGTGAATCCGACAACGACGGACGCACTACAACCGAGCTGCAGCTTAGCCGGTCGTCGCTGGGACTCGCCGCGCTTACCGTTACTCCGCTGCACTTGACGGTGGAGGCGGTCAGCCACGTGGCCTCGTAGCGCTGCTCCGTCGTGCCAAAGTCACACTGCAGCTCCTCCCCCTGCCGCACAAGAGCACGACTTGAAAACAACGTGCAGCATTGCGGCAACAGCCGGCACGTGCAAACGGGAGGACGTTGTCTCTGAAACGCGCCCCGGTAACGATCGGGGGGGAACTGAAATGACCCTGAAATGATTGTCCCGGCCAGGGAAAGATGCAATCCATTCAAAATTCATATTCATAAACATCTGGACTCCGGCATCTCTGCGAGTCATCTGGGAGCCAGAGTGAGGAATATGAATATGCTCTTGATAAAAACACGAGTTGAATGAGTTTGTCCGAGCTGAGACATCAGCTGATATCGTTTATCTGTTTAAATGTTCTCGTCTTATCTCTGCAGGACTTTATCTTTCTCTGCGCGTTAATAGACACGGAGGAAAGACTGAGCACTAATTTAATACGAGCATATTATGCTAAACACATATATCAGGATACTGTCTTAATTAATCATATCAAGCACAATCTTCTCTGAATTCAGATTAAAGTATTAGTTAATCTGAATACTGCACGTTGATCAAGTCAATAAAGTAGTTTGAGTTCATTCTGCACCAAAGTTATCAATCAAATGAGAAAAGAGTCATAATTTGTTGGTTATTTGATTCCAACAGCAAAGGTAAGCTTCATCACGCCTTTTTTTTTTTAACGCAGCCTATTTATTCATTGTCGCGTGAATATGAATATTTCAGACACGAAACAACTCATATCGTGATAGAACATTTTGGCCCTACGTGTCTCAAGCGTGTTTATCACGGTCAAGTCTAAACAATGTCTTTCATGTTTATCCCCAAAAAAGTGTGGGAGCCAAACCAAACTTCTCCCCTGATTCCTGAGGGGTCTGAGCCGCCGCCGCCGCCGCCGAGGCCTCATTTCCTGCCGTGGAGGAGATTGTTCCACACATGCATTTGTATACACTGTGCTAATAAAACATCAGTTATATCACTATCCAGTCACATGCAGGCCGCCCTTAGGGAGCGCGTGTGTGTATTCATGTGTGTATCTTTATGTGACTCAGTGTCTGTCGCCATGGCAACACACCGGGAGAGGACCTCGGAAAGGCCAGCCGGGGTTAGGCGCCTGACTGACCACGCCTGGCAACGAGTTTTTTTTTTTTTTTTTTAGGAATATCCCAGTTGTGTCCTCGCCAGTGATGCAGGATCAGCGCTCGACTCGACCCGCTCGGCACGGATTAGGAAAGAATGGGTGTTAAAATGGGCGCGGAGACGCTCGCTCACGCCGCACAACGTGGACGTCGCCCCCGCCTCCTTTCCCTCTCATCCATTGACCCAAATCGAAAGCCCGCGGACATCCGCCCGCGTTTAACTCGGCTTGAGGGGCGAACGCGCCATATGCTCCGGTCTCATTCCAATCGTTTTCACAACAGGCGCGCGGGACCGAGTCCAAGTGCTGCCGCGTGGCTGCAGGGCGCCTGGCGTACCTCCTGGACGTTGCGGAGGGACAAGGTGAAGTCCTGGGCCATTTGGGACGGAGACGGAGGAACCTCCGAGGCCACCAGGCTGGGACAGGAAACGGCATTCTGTGGAGGGATGAGATGTCGGGAGGGGGGGGGGCAGGAAGTGACATGTAGGAGTTAAAGAAAACAATGGCTCCCCCCCACCGCACACATCCGCCCACCCAAAATACCTGTCCTGTTTATCCGGGAGGAGGCGGAAATGAGAGGGTGAAGTCTCGCTCCGAGGGAAACAACAAGAGCTTCAAATAGAGACGATGAGGGATTAGAAAAACAGACCCACCGGACACTGTGTGATGGACTCAGCAGAACAGGAACCCCCCCCCCGGCCCCCCGCCATCTCTCCATGACTCACACCACAAAGCCCTTATCCAAGTTTCTTAACATGGAATCCCGGAGGCCTCTTGTAGGTTTTTGTGGATTTTATCGCCTCGTCGCTTTGACAATAGCAGCTCTTTCTCTTTGTCGGAAGGTCTCGTGGGTCAAAGTGGAACGTTTAACGGCGACCGCTTGAGCAGCAGCTGACCAGAGGGCCGGGAGTCACGTCTCCTAACTGGGACCGGTAGGGGGGACTTCTGCCGGGAGGAGGCCCCTGGGGGGGTCCGACGGGGCCCGAGAGGGGAATAATGTGACGGATGATTTACTCCCAGCGTCGCAGGGGACACGCTGGGAAGCTTTAATTGGTTTCAATGAGGCTACTGTAGTTGTGGGACCATTTCCCCCAGTTTCAAAGCCTTTTTTTTTTTTTTTTTCCTGCACTCGTGCCAAACATTTGCATTTCAGAGTAGTTTACACCCTCGTGGGGCTTCGCATCCCCGAAACATACATCTACATAACCCATTTGTACAGTTACCTAAAACGAGGGAACACAACGCGTGAAACCAGAGCTGAAAAAGGTAAATTTATCTTTTCCCTGGAAACCAGCACGAGACATTTTGAAATAACTCCCCTGTAAAAATAGAAACACAATAAATGTAGTTTTCCACGTGCTGAGACATCAAACCAAGCTGCCAAAAAAAAAAGAGAAACTAGAGGAGCTTTAAAATGGTTCTTCCTCCCTGTGAGGAGTCTGCTAAACAAAACCTCCTGAGATTTTATAGAGGGTTTCGACATCTCTAAATACTGCGGGTGAGGCACTCGTAACCTCCAACTGAATCACCACATGGTCGCTCTTGCCCAACCCGTCTGGGCCCAGATGATTGCAGCACACTGGATGGCCGGGGCCTGCAGTGGGGTATTAACATCACGACACCCCTGCAGGCGTCTGTTGGGCTCGCGGAATATTTAGAAGATTAAAAAAAAAAAAAAAAAGGAGGAGCACTCACCTCGAGCAGGTTGGTGTTTGACTCGTTCTTGCTGGAGACGCAGAGGTGGTTGTCGGGGTCCCAGTAGCACTTCCACTTGGTGCTCAGGCAGCTCACACATCTGCCACCGATGGACACACACACACGGAATCCGCCGTCGATAAACAAGGTCAAACCGCCCACAATCTCAGTCTGATCTGTTTGCAGGGTAAATGCAGGTCCAGCATGTGGCTCATTCGGCGCAGCTGAACTGATTGAGACATCAAAGTTTAGTGCGAATAAAGGGAAGCGAGGATTAGTCGCCGCCGCCGCAGACGTTCATTCCACAGTTGCGCCACAGCGAGTCAGGAGGTCGGACCGGGCCGGGGAAGGAGAAAAAAAAAACGCCGTAAACACTCACACTGTGTGACTGTGCGTGTGTGTGTGTGTGGGTGGGTGTGTGTGGGTGGCCTCCCGTCATTCTATCAATGCGGGGACCATTACAGGACCATTACACAGACTGAGTGAGGACTCGGTAAGTAGGTCGAGACTCCGTTCAATGTTCATCAGTCCAACGATAAAAAAAATACCTCGATACACCAAATCTCACCCTGCTGCCCACGGTTTGTGGAGTTTATCGCGCTGACATACGCAAATAACGGAGCGTCCTGTTGTTATCTGGCCGAACCAGCCTCTAAAAGCTTCGCTAGCGAGGACGCCTTGGCGTTCGCACCACCGATCTCCGAAGCGGCAGTTGGCGTCCAAACCAAATGAACTGCGGAGACTCGAGTCTAACTAGTGAAACGCCATAAAAACCACCTCCTCTACTCGTGTAATTAGCATGGAATACTTTAGCACTTTAACACGAGCCCTAAAGACAGAACTCAAGTTTCAAATGCTCGTAAAAGGAACAACGGTTGGCTTCATTAAACCGCACAGCGCTCCCACAAGCGAACCAACGTACAGAAACTGCACAACGCAAAAACCCAGCGGCTGCGAGCGCTCGCCACATTACGCCGTCTTATGGGCCCGCGAGTTCAAACTAAGCTAAAGAAAGGTCACGAGTTCAAGTTAGAGTTTGGGGATCTGGATTGGACTAGTTTTTTGTTTTCTAAGCGATAAACTACCGAAACTACAGCGCGTGTGTGTGTGTGTGTGTGTGTGTGTTACTGCATTGCCTCCGGGAGGAGACAGATGTCCCACACTAGGAATGATAGCGCCTCCAGTGATAGCAGCACTCAGAGGAGGTCTCTGGACCGGGGAGGTGGCGTGGCGGGGGGGCCGGTGGGGGCCGGGGGGAGGGGGGGGCTCTGGGATAGGTGTAAAGGGATGTGGAGACGTAATCGAAACATGTGTGTGTTCTGATTAGAAGCAGACGGCCCCCTTCGGGCGCTTATCGGCTACGGCTTTTCTGTTTTCCCTGACTCCCTTTCTGTCCCATTAAAACACACTACCGCACACACACACACACACACACACACACCATCACACACATTGTTCACTCTCCCTCTCTCTCTCTCTCTGCTTGACCCGACACTGACAGTAAATACCCAGTAACGCTGCCCACCCCGACACATAATGCACACACACACACACACACACACACACACACACACACACACAGACGCACTAAACACACAGCCGCGCTGACACTCTCAGGGCCTCTCAGTGGACTCTGCGGTTAAACACACATCCTCAATCACGTCTCTGTCAAAGACGAGAAGGGTCCAGAAGAAAAGAGCAGTTCTCAGAGCGAGACGCAGAGCGGACGGACGGAGACGGACGGAGACGGACGGAGACGGACGGGGGGAGAAAGAGGACAGAGGCCCAAAAACCTGAGACGTAGAAAGCAAATAAAACTGTGTGTGTGTGTGTGTGTGTGTGTGTGTGTGTGAGAGACGTAAACAGAGCGAGAGGACACGTTAGCCGGTGTGTCTGGTGAGACAGGAATGCTGTCGTCTGTTTGTTGTTAGCAACCGGTGACCACTTCACGCGCGCACAAAACAACACAAAAACAGATTTCAGAACAATCTTTGTTTCATGAAAAAGTGTCATACGAATATATGGATATAATATATGGACATGATTTTGTTTTGTCCTTTCTAACGCGTGTGTGTCGGCAGGCCGAGTGCACTCGGAAAAGGCTTCATAACAGCCTTTTAGAGTGTTGTTGTCATTCGAGACGATCTCCGCTTTCTTTACTAAATGGACCCAAAGCCGTCTGCGTCCTCTCTGTTTTTTTTTTGTAAGTAAAACGAAAAGACTCCACATTGTAGTTTAATTGCTGCGAAGTGGCTCATATCAATCTCGAGGGATTAGTAAAAAAAAAAAAGAAAAAAGAAAGCAGCTCGCAGTGATCAGAATCAGAGTACAGCAGCCCGACGCTCGTCCCGCGACGCCGCCGCGCTGCTCATTATCACCTCCGACAAACCGCCGTCTAATTTCACACCCCTGAGCCTCGCCGAGGCCACGCGAACACATCGGGCGCGGCCCGTGCACGCGCGCGCACCTTTTCGGCTGCCGTGTTCACGCCTCCTGGCTGTGCTCACAAAGTGAACAATGGCGACACACCCAAATAAAATCCAATCAAAACACACACACACACAGACACAGACGCACACACGCAGGCTAATGCCCCACTGAGCCTCGGATCGGCCCATCAGATAAAGTGGATCCTCTGACATGGGCCAACATGCAAGAGGAAGCCAGCTGGATTGCCTGGGAGATATGAGAGAGAGAGGAAAGAAAAAAAAAGCCCCTCTTTTGTGGTCGGGCCGCACGAGTCACAGTCCTTCACAAAAACAAACACAAACACCAGCCAGACGCACACATCCAATTTCCTCTGGCTTATCGTTTACAGCGTATTAATCCCACATTTGATCCCGCACCGAGGAACCTTGAGCAAACCAAACAGGGCGCGGCGGGAGGACGCGGCGGCATATATTTACACGCCGGGGCACACGGGGGGGGGGGGGGGGGCACACGAGGGGCCGAGGGTCGAGGAAAAGCGGACCAAGGAATGCCGAGACCCGGGCTGACATCCGAGGCCGCGCGTGTGATCGCGGGTCTGACGGCGTTCGGTTCTGTTCATCTCGGCTGTGAAGTTGGGCCTTTTTCACACGAGGGGTCATGGGGGGGGGCGGGGGACAGGACCTCTCGGCGGCGCCTCTAGTGGCCGTTTGGGGGAGCTGCAGTTAAAATCCTCACGCGCTCTGAACGTGGCGAAACGAATGTGGCGATGGACGTGCGACTCACGGCGTTTTGGGGTGAATGGCTCCGGTCCTCTCGCAGTCGTAGATGACGAAGCTCCCGGACACCACGGACGTGCCGTTCACTTTTATCGCCACGGAGACGGACAGATGATCTGCAGAGAGACAAAAAGGTGCGCTCGGGGTCACCGTCGCGCCTCGCCGAGGAGGAGGAGGAGGAAAGTTTGACCCTGCGGCCTCACCTGTGCCGGGCGGGATCGGCCGGTAGTCTTCTCGCGGGAGCAGGGGGCAGGTCTGGATCTGGGCGGGGCCGTAGCCCAGGTGCACCGTGACAGCCGTGGAAACACCGGGGCCGTATTCGCACTCCACCCGGGAGCCGACCAGATCGGCAACGCTGCCGTTTATCAGGATGCCGACATTCTGCAGAGAGATGAGCATGAATGTGAATTACAGCGCATCTTAGGGAATGAATTACTATATATATTACATACATATATATATATGTATATATTACATATATATATTGACATGCAGGGTTCGTACAGTTAGTCTTCAGGTGGAGGACGCCGGCTTTACAGAGAGACGGAGAAGAAACAGATGGAGCCGCGCTGCTTCACAGCTAAATGTAGCCATGTGATGAAGTATGACAGACGTGTAATGAGAAAGATAACACCTCACTGACATTCCTGAATTTTCGGCTAAATTATTCCGATGAGAGGAAAACGGGGGGCGGGAGGGAAGGAGTGAGGCTCAGGAGATACCGGCTGAAGCGGCCCGGCGACAAGCGCTAAGCGCGTCTGAAACATCCCTATTGTTTTCGGCGGAAGCGGCCGTTTCCTGCCGAAGGGCCCCGACTTCCTGCCTGCTGCTTCCTGTTTGAGGAGACAACCTTGAGTCGCCGCTTCCTGCGGCTGTGAAGGAAGCCCGTGTGCCGGGCGGCGGCTGGCTCCATTACAGCCCGAAAGGCGAACTGACCTACATAACAAGCAAACACCCTCAATTAACGCAGCAATTAATGACCTGTCGTCTCTCAGTCTCGTCTAATCACGAGCGGTAATTAAAGGTCAAATACATTCGGGGGCGTCAAAAATCGGTGAGCTCATTATCGTTGCGTTGTGGTGCCTGCATGAGGAGTTTGCATGTCATGAAAGTGTAATGCGGGGACGGAATGAATCAAACATTCTGAGCGAGACACGGGGGGGGAAGAGTTGAGGAGGACAGATTTTCGAGGATGTTCGTCAAGAAGTCGGCGTCGAAGCTCACGGCCTTTTGTTTCATCTGTTTTTCTGAGAGTTTTAACTGCAGCGGTTTATTTCAGGCGCTCGCGGCGTCTGTCTTGCTACTGTCAGAGATGTGCAGTAATGTATTTCTAGGTGAGAGTGGCTCCATCAACAGACTCCTCAAAGATGGATCTAATCTAGCATGCCGTGTGACTTTTTGCACACGCCCGTCGTCACTTTTCCCCCCCCACACGCTTGGAATAGAACGGAGCTTCCGCAGATGTAAACAGCGCAGCCCATCGTGGCCGCTTCACGTTCCACAGTATTTATGTTATTAGTCAGATAACATACAAATATAAAGTCTGTGTCTGTCTGGTTTGGCTGAAAACAGGACGACAACATCACTCGAAAAAGAAAGCGCTAATCCGGCCTGCTAACGCTAACGCTAAGCTAAAGCAAAGTGACGGTTTATTCAGGTGTTGCAGGGATTTTTGTTTCTGTTCCTGTTGACTTGACAGTTTCAGGTGGAATCTTATTTTGTATTTTATTTTAAAAAGCGAGACTTTCCGTTTGTTCTTAATTCCTGAGATTGACATTGGATACAAAAATTTTTATATCCTCCCCATAAAATATCCATACGGCTGAACATCTATGGCAAACATAACAGCGGTGACACAATACGGCCCTGTATAATTTAACTGCCCGCAACAGGTCACGTTATCATTAATTAATCTTCCGATTTTTTTAATTACACATCTGTTATATGCGGAATCACAGGTGAGCCACAGTAGCAGAAGAGAGTGACATTAACAATTTGTTACAACTGCCACTGAAGCCGACTGAGAGAAATGGAGACGGGCAACTCCGAAATCATAATAATGGATATAATCGGATAATATAATCACATGATATTGTGACCTCTATGAGGCCGAGATTCCTAAATGCCACAAACTAATTACATCGCTGAAATACATAAAGGGTGCAGGTATCTCATGAGTCAATATTAATGTGTGATAGAAATCATCTATTTAATATTATATTTTCAGATAGAAAAGTCATAGTCCGGTCTGCTACCCGAGAGTGCAGCTGTTGGTTTAATAATAGCATAAAGTCATCACTTTGCCTACACAAATACATCAGCCCTTTATCAGCTGAGTCATAATAAAAGTGTATATATTAATAGTAGGTGGGGGGGTGTCAGCTATAAATACGTTGCCCCCATTACAAACGTTCCTTGCCAGGGAACAACGGGGGGGAAAGGGGTGTGATGGGCCCCGATAACGTCTCACCTTGATGTCTGCGGTGATGCTGATCTCCGGGGGCGTCAGGGTCATGGTGAGACACTGCTTCAGGCCTTCCCCCATGCCGACCCAGGAGCGGGCCTGCAGGCCCTGAGCGCACTCCTTCTGGATGGTGCATCTGGACAAGGTGACAGACAATCACATTCGTCACGTCAGGTCGGATTACAGCTCGGAGGGGCGGCGGGATATCTGGGGGTTTGCTTTTGAATACGTCGCGGGAAACTGAAGTCCAGAAACGCGATTTTCCTCGCTGGTCTGGACAGAGAACTGAGCTGAGGTCGCATTAATCTCGGCCACATTAATCGCATAGATTAACGCGTTTATGTTGACAGCCCTAAAGTGAAATTGTTTGTCAATGCCTCAGCTGGTAATCAATCACTGGACGAGCAGGCGGAGCTTTAGGGGGTCAACGTTCTGTCCTCCGAGAGGAGAGGACGACACTTTGGTGTTTCCATTTCATCCCTGGACCCGACGGAGTCTCGCCGCGGGGGGGGGGGGGGGGGGGGGGTCCTCACGGTCCGCTTCCCGCGGATTCACCAGGCGATCCGGTCTCTCGTAATGTCACATTCAGACCTTCGGCTGTCAGCTCGTTCGACTCACCAGAGACTGCTTGACTCCAGGTCATGCTCGTCGCTATGGCAACACGTCCTGCAGCATCGGGGCGGCCAGTGAACCAAAAGTTGAATAAAATAAAACAAGCAAGCGAACGCGGCGCTTCTCCGTGAATTCACAGAGGGTTCAGTGTGAGTGGAATGAATGCAGAGGACAGAAGGATGGCGAGAGTGCCTTCGACAAGCAAGGTGGCGTCGCGCCCTCTGCCTCACTAATGAAGCCCGCCGGCCGCTGGCACGGAGCGCGGTTCATCCGCTGAGCGGGCTGGAAGGACAAAGTGACCTCACAGTTGGGACAAATCAAACGGGCCCCATTTAGCGGCGTCCTAACAAGCCACATAATGAGTTCGGCACGTCCCACTTCCCCCTCGAGCGCCTGCAGTTGTTTTAAAATAAAGCGTGCGTCTGTGTGTCCCGCTGCGCCGCCGCCCCCCACCCAAGGGTGAGTATCTACATCCGGAGAGCGAGTGTCCAGATTCTCCGTCCCATGAGGGACTGAGGGGAGCCACGAGGTCCGCTGACCAGCTAAAAATAAAGCCTCCGCGAGCCGCCACACAAAGCTCCCCGGCACACTAATACACTGCTAGCGCGCCACGACCGCTGTTAGCATCTAGCGTGTAGACGGTTTGGTCTTCTTGTCCATTCCGAGGCCCCCGACGTGGAGTTTAGAGCACGTCTGTGGCCTCCCCGCGCGGCTCAGAGGTGGTGGCTAACAGCTAACGGTGCTAACGGCAAAAACAAAAAAAACGTGACATCTTTGCTCCGATAGCTCAACACCACCGTGGGACACTTTGGTGTTGTCCCGCGGTGTCCCACTCCTCCTGAGGACGAAGCTGCAGAGACACCGAAAGCGCTCAGAAGCTCAGCTTACACACAAACGACATTATTCCACATCTTCACGTCCTTCACCATCAAACATGTGGAATCTTGGAGATGTCTGCCCGCATAGAATGCTACAACATTAGCCGTGGGTCCAACGGGGACGTGTGAAAGAGGCATTTGATGCTAACTTTCGGTACTTTTTGGCACACACACACACACACTTAGCAGCACTTAAATGGATTAAGCTCCGACATCCCAGCCACATCTTTAAGATCACAAGCATTAGTGAATTATGTCGCTTGTTCTGAGTTTTATTTGCATTTCATTTTGAAATCAGCGCGCGAAGCACGGCCTCCTCTCGAGGTTGCAGCGAGGCCAAAGTGCCCTGCTTGTTCTCCATCTGCAAGAATATATTTAGATTATCAAGTGAACGCCAGATTGGATCTTTAAGTCGTAAGTACATCATAGATGCCACTTGACATAAACGGAAGCAGGCGTCCAGGAGACGTCATCTTCTGATCTCGGGGGAGAAGAAGACACGCGGTCTCAGATGAGCAGATCAACCAAAGCCGCGTGATTGAAACGCCCGGCTGGAAAAATCACGTCATGAAGTCTTCGTCTTTGTCTATTGTATCTGTTTTCCTTAAATGCATTCACGACATGCCCGCTTATTCACAGAGCTCTTTGATCGAGTGCAGCCGTGTATAGAAATACATTCGTGGCACTCCTCTGAAAAACGACAACTTTACACGCGCGCACACACACACACACACACACACACACACACCACTCAACCGCTTCACAACGGCGTGCTGACTTTTCAAACAGCTCCTTAAAATAAACAGAGTCAACATATGCAGCTCGAATCTGACCCGAGAAAACTCACCACCTTCTGAGTGTCTGTTCCACGGAGAAGGTGGGAAACCAGCGAGACCGCTAAACAGCCGGAGAACACGCTTCACACACACACACACACACACACACAGCCTCACACAGACCAACTGTGAGATAAGCGTGATCATTTGTGAGTCCCAAAGACGGCACGTGACACATCATTTGATTCAAATAAAGATATTTAAGTGCTTTCTTGTGACATGTGGCAGATTTGCGGCGTTTCACAGCGACTCTCTCCAACGAGGGACGTCCTCCGACCCCCCTCGACCCCCCTCGACCCCCTCTGCTTTACCCCAGTTGTATCGGACGACAGTCCCCCGTCACACACATCCACACACATCCACCCACGGTGCCTCGGCTCCGCGGCCGGCGTGACGGGCCAAACTGCATCAAAGACCCACAAAAACACAAGCGCGCACGCACGCCCACGCATGACATCAGCTCGCTGGCCTCCGAGAGGCCGGATTGGCGACGCACACTCTCGCGCGGGCGCACGCACACGTTGACATTTCCCCGTCAAAAGAGCCAGTGTGCGTTCATCCCACCCACCACCATCATCACAATCAACGCTCCTTTGAAGAGCGACACAGAGGAGGACGAGGGCCCCGGGGGGGGGAGGACGAGGAGGACGAGGGCCAGGGAGACAGAGGAGGGGAGGTTGAAGACCGCGATAACTAAACACTCCTGAGCTACTGGGAAATACAAAAGGCAAGAAAGGAAAGGTGAAGGTAATTAGGGGGAAGGAAGGAAGGAAGGAAGGGCGGCAAGTAGGAAGTTGAGGGCAGAAAAGAGAAAATTCCGAGGGTTGGACCGAGAAAAAAAAAAATTCAGCGAAGCGAGAAAAGGACTCGGATAAAGAGACGACACATAGTTAGATGAGGAGAGGAGACAAGGAGATGACAGGGAGACAGTCTGACCACACACACACACACACACACACACACACAGAGAGACGCACAACTCCAACTCATCCATTCCACTCTTCCAGCTCTGGAGGCTCCTGGCGATGCCGGAGCCTCCAGAGCTGCAGCACAACTCCTCACAAAGTCCACTATCGCGTCCGATGCGCTTTAATCGCCGAGCAGCCCACCGCTTCGCACGCACACACACACACACACACACACACACACACACACACACACAAACACAAACACACTCACACTCGAGCCAAAGTCCCTCCCGGCGCTTGGGGGGGGGACAAAGATGTGACTCCCCCAGACTGAGGCCTAATGAACAGCAAATCAATTCTGCTTGATCCAAAACAACAGCAGCAGCCCCAGAAACAGGCCGCGTCCAGCCGGGCGACATTTTCAAAATCCGAGGACGAGGGCGGATTTGCAACCGCATCGATTTAGAAGATAAAGGTGTAAAAAAACGGTTTTATTGTGCCGTCAATCTGCTGGAAAACGAGCACGTGTGATTACTGCTGACGGTGGAGACGTTTCTAAACATGTTTCTTCTTTAAAAGAGCGTGTCACCGGAGCGCGCGGTGATTCGGGATGATTATACGTTGCGGCGGCGGTGGAGGAGGAGGAGGAAGAGGAGGAGGAAGAGGAGGAGGAGGAGGAGGGAGGCCGAGAGCATCCAACTAACCGGACGGATGGGGAACAAACGGAGGAGAAAACGAGCGCTCGCTCACCGGTTCTCCAGCGTGCACCAGCCGCAGTGGGCGTCGCCGGCTCCCAGACAGTCGCCGCAGCTCCGCCACTGGTCGCAGTCCGCCACCCTCACCCTCAGCATCTACACAACAACAACAACAACAAACAACAACGTTCATGAACACGCCGCGGATTCCTCCCGCAGGCCTCGGACAAAGCAACCAGGGGCGTTCTCACGTGGTGAGAAGTCATGACGTAGAGGAAGTTGCTGTCGTTGGGGTCGAAGGTCATGATGTGGTGGACGGCCTCGCCGGCGGGCAGCTTCAGCGTCCACTGGTGGGCCACGGTCATGTCCGGCCGGAGGGTGAGCTGTGGAGGAGACGGCAGGTTGGAACGGGCGCAGAACGTTGCAGACGTTTATTTTATTTTATTTTTTTTAATTCAGCCGGAAAATGTTAACGGTGCAACTCGAGAGAGAACTCCTCAAATACTTTGAGAATCGCTGGATGAAAGCGCAGCAGTTTTTTTCTGTTGATCGAGCAGCTCGGTTCAAATTCGGGGACAGGTGTTCCTTTTCTCGGGAGAAGCAGTTTTTTTTTTAGTTTTTTTAATTTATTATTCCCTTCCTCCACCTGCTTTTGGCAGCAGATTCGTGCCAGAAATCCCCATCGCGACCAGTCCGCCGCTCGCCAGCACGAAGGTGGTGCGGGGAGATAAACGCGTTCTTTTTGTGGGGGGGAACACGAGTCAGCACACACAGACCAACGTGTGAGGCGTGTATTAGTGGCCGCACTCTGTTAATTGTGCTTGTTCCGTTTCAAAATATTCTCAACCCTGAATTTATTTCAGAAGGTGCTTTTGTTCAAGCTGTGTGCCTAATCTGGTTTTGCTGAGCAGTCATTCGTCTGAGCGCTGGCCTTCCTGCAGGTCTAGATAATGAAACCACACACACACACACACACACACACACACACACACACCGAGCTGCGTAGCAAAAACAAACTTTGCCGATTGAGACTTCCTGTCGCGCAGACAAGCGAAAGCTCCCTTCAGTGGAGACATCCTGAGGAACCGGCATCTGGTCACGAGAGCCGGGCTCCGTCACTTCTCCATCCGCTGAGCGCACAAAACCCCCCACACAAGACGCACAAGCGCACGCACACACAAAACTATCGCCACCCGCCGAGACGTTGCTGGTTACTGTTCAACCAGAGCAGACAGAAGCTGGTAAACCATTGGCTTAACCTGCGACGAGAGGCCTTATCTCCACCGCAAACGCCACCCACACATCTAAACACACAAAGACGCCACACGCGCGCGCAGACGCACAACCGCTGTGGCGAGAGAGCAAGCAGCTGTGCCACGTCCTCACCCAAAGCCCCGAGAGACCGCCGACACATACGCTGAGTGACGCGGTGAGGAGCTGGTAAACAGCAGCGCGCACACCTGGACAGCGAGCAGCATGGCGGCGGGGGGGAGGAGGAGGAGGAGGAGGAGGAGGAGAAGGAGGAGGAGGAGGGTGGAGAGCTCTGGCCCAGTGCCCCACCAGGTCAACCAACAAAACACCTGCTGTACTGGCAGGTCGCTCTGACTCCATTCTCTGTCTGTCCGCCTGCAGATGAAAGGCCGCATTCAAGCAGTGCTCAGCTGCTGTGCACTCGCTTTCAGCATGCGTGCGCGTGTGCGTGCGTGTGCGTGTGCGTGTGTGCGTCTGGCTGTGCGTGTGTGTCTGGGTGTATAGGAGGAAGAATAAAGGGACGTGAGGACAGACGGGAGAAAGAGATGAAGTCTGTTTGTTTGCAAAAAAACGAATCAAAGAGTCCTTTCATATTTGAGAAGGAGCCCAAGAGGAGATAACGAAAGAAGTGAGCAGTGGGGGGGTGACGGGGGGGGGGGGTGAGACAACAGGCGGTCACTGCGAGGGGCGGGACAATGGTAGTCAGCTGTAATGGGGGAGGGAGAGACTTCATTAAGAAATGCATGTAATTACAAATTACTTCACTGAGGGAGGGCCCCTTCAAAGACCGGAGAGGAGGCCTAACTTAATCCCCACCACTGTTCCCCAGCGTTTAGTCTGAGCCCAACTCACAGTCAGAATCACATTACGCACACTAACAGCACCATTAACCTCTGAAACAGCTCTATCCTCAGGGCTCACACACACACACACACACACACACACACACACACACACATAAAGCTAAATAAGCAGTATGTTGTTACCCAAGGTCACAAAAACATTGTGCGTCCCATATAACAAGGCTGACACACACACACACACACACACACACACACACACCCATAATCACAGGGTCTGTTCATCTCTGAGTAAACACACAAAATCACTAAACCACTCACACTGGCCCACAGACAAAGTCAAACACCTCTAAACACAGTGAAGCCTGCAATCAAGCGCGCACACACACACACACACACACACACACACACACACACACTAGCAGGCCCGGTGCGGTTTATGGCGTTTTCTCTCCACACAGCTGAGGAACCCGGACCAGGAATGTCGCTGATACAGAATTAAGGAATTCCCCTGTGATGTAAAGCGGGCGGCCGGTCGCCCTGCAGACGCGGAGGAAGCAGACCGGCGCGCTGAGTCACACTTCGTCCAGCGCTCTCGTCAAACGGTCTCTCAGACAATGAGCAGGTCTGAGGACCATTAGAGCACATGATTAGGACTACTTAATGGGCCGTGATGGGTCATGGATGAACGGGGGGGCCTGAGAACATACGAGATGAAAGCAGACATTCCTCCGACTGCTTCATCTCACACCGTCTGGTTTATTGAAAGACTCAGCAGCCACATCGGAGCGGAGCGACAGATACAAGCTTAAGGGCTTTTTCCTCTTTAAGCGAACATGGATTTATGGAAGCGGTGACTATCAGACCCGAGGTGCTGTTGGTTTCGGGGGAAAAGGTTCAGCAGTTGTGGATTCGAGTCCGGTCACAAAATGTGGTGACTTTTGACTCGACTTAACCAGATGAAGACGATGTGTCGGGGTTCAGCACGACGACGCGCGTGACTCAACCTGGAGCCTCCTGACTAAACACATTTCACACTTCACTAACGTAAAGGCCGTTCATTCAAAGACGTGTTTGGAAGTGTGACATTACCGAGCGAAGGCAACACCAACATGTGGTGAGAGTTTTTAGAAGACTCCAAAGTCAAAGTTCAGGACGCAGGACTCGTCTTTCTCCTGCCCGTCTTACCTCGAGACTTGATTTAAAACTTGCAAAACAATGATTTGGCCCCACCCGAGTTAGTAAGTTATTGTCTGTGCACGAGTGTCCGCGCGTGTCCCACCTTGCGAAGTCGTCCGCTGCTGGTTCCCAGAAAGACCACGGTGTGGTTGTGCACGTTGTCCACGGCCACCGAACTGAGACCCGTGTATTCCACCAGCGGGACGGCCCTCAGGGGCCGCCGCAGGGCCAGCGGGTGCTGCAGGTGGGCCGCGCCGCAGTCCAGCTGGTCGGGCTGCAACTGCAACACACACACACACACACACACACATTTGAGTTAGCGGCGCACGATGAAAGCGCTGAGGGGGCTGAGAACAAGGGGCCCGATAGCAGCCATCACAGCGGCGCCCCGCTCTCGCCTTCCGAATCACTTTTTAGACATCTCACACTTGAAAGGGGCTTACGAGGGTCCTCAACACTCATCAGACGCTGCTTTTGTCAAATCCTCAGCAGGCAGTGATAAGACATTAGTGCCACGCTTCGATGGGCATCGGGATCTGTTGGGAATTCTCGGGAATATTTCAGAGCGTGCAAAGGCCCAAAAAAAAAAAAAAAAAAAAGGGAGAAAAGAAGAGAATTGAGCCGAGTGGGTATTTGCAGTCGTTTCCCACGGGGCCCCTCTGCTCGCGGCCTTGTGTCTCTTATCGTGCATTTTGTCTGGCTTTCCCTCTCTGCTGGCCTTCAGACTGTCGACTAACGGAAAAAAGATCTCAGCAACATGAATGTGTAACTGAAAGAAGACATTATTTGAGGTTGTGTTACTACAAAGCTCTCGCGGTATTTATCCGCAACTCTTTCTAATCTCATTTGTATTTCTTTCCGATTTTGGTTGAGGCCGAATATAATTTCACGCAGCTTCTAAAAAATAAAAAAAAAACGCAGACTGACAAACGTTACAGCAAGAGAAGAAGGAAATCTACCCGTCAACCACTTTGATCTGAGCCGTTGTCTATTGAGATGGCACTGGTAACGAAGAGAAGTGGCCCCCCCCCGGGGGAACGAGACGGCGGCCGCGGCCTCCTTTGACCTCAGCTCCGTCTGGCAGAACAACCTCCACGTAGAAGTTTGGATTTCACAGCATTCCGATGACACTCCGACACGAGAAGAGCAAAGTTCCCTCCGGGACAAATATTCTGTTTCATGCAAGTGGAGGGCATGAAGAGTCGGCCACGTGTTCTGCAACAAGGCCGCCCTTTGATTCGCTGATATCGGCCTAAAATTGTGGCCCGTTTATAGTAACCGCGCTCTGTAAAAACAAGACGACATGTCTGAGGTTTGCGGCCGGGAAACAAAGAAGGCCATTGGACTCTTCTCCTCTGCTCATATTTGATAAGACAAGGAGCTGCTGGATGTCAGGGGGGGAGGGTCTCACCCTTCCCACAACCCCCCAGCGGGGATCAGGGAGCATCTCTCCATCTCGAGCGTGACCTCGACTCGTGACACGCCAGAAAGCCCCTCTGCAGGGCAGGAGCCTCGGGGGGGCAAAGGGAGACAATAAAGGGAAACCAGCCGAGATCCACGAGCGCGTTCACGTCACTATGAATAAGAAGCAGGATATTTTATAATAATTTATAATAATGACAATAAAGCTCTAAGCCGCCGAGCTGTGTCCACTGAGAAGACATCCAACAACCAACAGCCTTTTAGCATCAAATGAAACCAAACCATAATTCAAATGTATTGTTTGGGCGTCTTAAGAAGTGCCCCCCCCCGGGGCGCTTACCACCAGTTTCCCCTTCTGCACGCAGGCGGCCCCGGAGCCCTGGATGACGCTGTCCAGCACCTGCACGTCGCTGCTGGGCGAGTTGGAGCAGCTGCGGCGCCCCTGTCGGATCTCCTCGTCGACGTCTCCGAACTTGAAGGCGCACAGGGCGGACTTCCTGTCCGCCTTGGAGAACACCGCGAACAGGTAGGGCTCCGCGCTGCGCCCGTCCGCCGCCCGGATCTCCGCCGGGTACACGGACAGCAGCCGGTTGTAAATGTTGCCGCTGGATCCGCACTGCAGCGGCATCTGGATGTAGGACTCCGTGAGCTTCCTGCTCTCCGGCCCGCTGGGCTTTCGCGGGTTCTCGGTGTCCAGGCAGATGCGGGCGAGGACGCTGTTGGGCTGGCTCTCCTTGTGGCCCATCTTGGCGTCGTTGTTGAAGGCGATGTAGGAGTAGGTCTTCAGCATGAACGCGTGGACGAAGTTGAGCTTGTTTTTGGTCTTCACGTCCTGTTTGATCTTGAACACGTTGTCCTCCGACGGGTTGATGTCATAGGTGAACAGCCGGGACAAGTCCTTGACGTTCAGGGAGCGGATGGCGATCTCCGGGGTGTTTTCGAAGCGCAGGTCCTCCTTGCTGTGGTTCTTGGGGAAAAACTGGGTGCCGGCCCCCGTGTAAGTGGCCCCGACGAGGAGCCGCGTGCTCCCCCCGTGGCTCTTGAAGATGAGCCCCACCGTGGACGCGTTGGGGTGGTTGGCGGCGACGTTGAGCATGCTGGGGAAAACCGTCTTCTCGCCCTGGTGCGGGAACTCCACCGCTATCTCCGAAATGTTCCCCATCTTCCGGAGCTCGCAGAAGCCCTGGTACACGGAGCCGCAGACCAGCACCACCCCCTGCTCCCGGTCCAGCTTCAGCAGCTTGTTGTGGTTGTCGGTGAGGGACTTGGGGTGCTCGCACGGCGCCTGGGGCAGCTGGGGCGCGTGGCACAACAGGTTGTCCTCCACCGGGCCGGTCCTCTCCTCCGCCTCCACGGCCAGGGTGCCGTTCAGCTGGTAGACGGCGTTGACGGCGGCCAGGTAGACCGTGCGCGACACGGGGTCCACCGCGAAGTTATTGGTCCGATTTGGAGACGCGAACGCCTGTTGGACGCGCAGCGCGCTGGCGCTCCGGCGCGTCTCCAAAGCCAGGGCGCCGAGCAGCAGGGCAGCGATCGCTATCGAAGGAGGCATTTTTCCTCCTGACCGGCTTCCGCGTGTTCTGTGCCGAGGGGTGCATTGAGCAATGACAAAAATCGCGCGTTCGTTCCCACTGCGACAATCCGAGAGGAAAAGGCTGTTTCCTGCTCAACGCCTCGACCCCAGAATGACGCGATAAGCGAGTCGTGCTTCCTTTCTCGGGCTGCCTCCCCCCCCCCCCACACTCCCCCCCCACTGTGCAGCTCAGCAGCGTCTCTCCAGAGGCGCGCACGAGCCTCAGCGCGAGGAGCGCCTCTTGTTTTGATTTAGACCATCTACAGAGACGGGTTTTGTCGTATTCGTCGATGCGTAAATGCTGGATGTTGCGGTGCCTGCAGAGGTCGTCAAACTTGGAGTGATGTTTTTGACACGTTTGTTAAACAAATTAATAAAGTACACATTTGAGTGACATTTGGACTGACTTCTTCCCACTGTTCCCAGTAGAGTAACACACTATTTAGAATGGGATCCGACTTATTAGAGCTCATTTGACCCGATGTGCCATTTTTCACCCTGATCCAACTATCAAATATTAGAGTCTGATGTTTACTTATATGTTAAATATGGACGTTATGGTTACGTGAGCTCATCCTGACAAATGTCTTGGGAATGACCACATAGACCCCCCCGTGTCTTTTAAGGGGGGTCACTGAATGACCCCCCCCCCCCCACCCGTTCCCCCCGGCTTTAAGGGGTAATGGGGGGGCACCGTCCCACCTCCTGTGCTCCACACTCCCTCGGCTCGCAGATTAGTTCTGCAGATCCGGAGGGCTCCGTTTTGGGCGCATACGGCTCGGTGAGCAGCGTGAAAGTGCTACCAGATGGGCACATCAGCGCACCTTTCCGGTTTTTGACATTCAAATCCGTCCAACGCAGCTTTTCTTGCGCCCTTTGCCTCATAAATATTCAAGCGCAACACACGCGCACCCCCTCAAACCCACTCAGAAATGCACAATTGTAGTGTGCGGTGTATTTTTCTGGCTCTGGATGCGCACACGCGTGCGCACATCTCTGAATGGAGCAGAGCGACCGCGGCGGGTCACGCGCCGCGTGAATCACCCAGCAGGCCCCGCGAGCGTCATCTCGGAATACATGCAATAATTAAAAGTCCACGCTAAATCGCGCGCGCTCCATTGTGGCTGTTTACAGAGGACCCCTCTGGGGGGGTAAACTCACTCCTCTGCCCTCTGTGGGGCAGATAAGCGCGCGCCCCGTGTTGGCGCGCGGCCACGCGCATCACGATCCGGCGGCGTGGAAAAGGAGCGCCGATAAAGTTCAATATAACGGAGGAAAGGGACAAAAATGAAGCCGGCGTGACGTCCTGCGGGGACGAGGCTCCGCGCGGGGCCGCAGAGGTCAGAGAGCAGCTGGGACACACGAGGACAAACACCTCCACCTAGTGGCCGCACGAGGAACCTGCACCAGGTGACTAACGGGAGGTTCAGAGCACGAAATGTGCGTTTCATCAGCCCATCCCGCAGTGATGAATAATCCAGAGGCAGACATGGACCCCCAGCACGACCACCACTAACCCCACCACCACCAACAACAACAACAACACAACAAGTCACTTTCAAGAAACAACGACGGCTCAGTTAGTTTGGGAATGCAATTGATTTATTCCACACTTACAAAATACAAAAGGACATCAGAAGGCACTGGGGTGGCATAGCACACAACCCCCCCCCCCTCCCCCCTCCCAGCCAGACATCAGTAAGTGTTACTCCAAGGTCAAGCCAAGGTCGAAATGTCAGGTCGTTCTCGCAGTGGCAGACATGTTGAAACAGATCGATGATATCTATCATTTTGGGGGGGGGGGTGGGGGCGGGCATCTCCAGTCAAGGATGACAGCGACCCAGACCGGAGACGCCTCCACGCATCGCTCCCTTCTGTCCTAAAGGCGAGACCCTCTCAAAGTGTCCCTTCAGAAGGTCCCCCGGTCGTCCGGCATCGAGCTAAAGTGCAGCTGTGCAGTTCAGAAACCAGTCAGGGAAATGAGCCTCTCACCAGGTGGACGCGCTCGGTCAACCACGTCGGGTCCTCGACTCCATGAGAGGAGGAACTAAAGAAAAGACGGCCAGCTGAGGAACTGCTCTCGAGGTTCAGGAACACACATCTGAAGATCTGGTCCTTGACATTCAGGCAAGACATTCGTGACATTTCTGACTGAGCGTCTTTCATCCGTCTCTCGGCACTGGCTGAGGGGGACATCACTCGAGGACCTGACAGGACGCGGAGATGACTCGCACTGTGGATACAAAGCAGCAGCTGAGGTGGAGCTGGATCAGCACCAGCAGGGCTCTCCGCTCCTCGCCGCTTCACATCGAACATGGCGGGAGACGATTAAACCTGGAAAATTCATTCGGTTCTTTTCTTGGACAACGGTCGTTTTTCGTCATTGCATTTAAATCAGAGGCTAAACAATAAGCAGATGTTGCCCGTGTGTTTATGTGCCGTTACCATGGCGAGCGGCCCATTGAAGCCGGCCCGCTCCGCGTTTCCGTTATTTCCCTTGTGAAACGGTTTCTTCTTTTAATAATAATGATGAACAAGAAAGAAATAAGTAAAAGCACATGATTAGAAATGGTGAGGAAGCGCAAAAAAAGTCTCCGGTCGTCATGACTCTCAAAAAATATTCAGTATGAACAGATATCATCACAGCAAGAAAAGGAGCAACTCCCAGGAAGGTTTTTTTCTTCAGCCCGCGGTTGAAAAATCTAGCGAGCCGAGTTCTGCGCCTGAAGGCAATCAACCACATCGTCACATGTGCACGTCTCCACAATTGGACCGGGCCTTTGGAGCAAATCGCCGGCCCGGTCTTCCTGACTCGCGCTCCCCGTCGTGTAGCGAGGGGGAGCGCGATGCTACATGGTACTGAATTCAAGAACGTTGACAATAAAATATTATTATTAGAGATAATAACATTACAGTAGATTAAAGGATAAAAGCAGTACAATGCTGCATTCCGACGAGCAGCGACACCAAAGTTCATGTTCAGAAATGTAAACAGTCTCGTTCTTCGTGAAAGACGATCGATTGTTCTCGACTCCGCGTCGCCCTACAGGGCGCGCGCGGGCCGAGCGCGGCGGCGCTAACGGGCCCGACCGCGGTCCCCCCTCAAAACTTCCTGCGCGGGTGGGGGGGGGGCGCAAGCTAAAGTTGCATCGCCGGTTGACACCGGCAGCGGCGGGACGCGGTCACCCCGGCGGCTGCAGGGCGCGGTGCGTGAACCCAGAGAGGGCCTCCCAGTTCCTCCACAGGAAGGCCAGCAGCAGGATGAGGAGGAGGGTGGAGAGCGAGCGCGAGCGCGTCCTCATCAGCGGCACCACGCAGTTGGCCACGGTGGAGACGAAGACCAGGAGGACGGCCATGAGGGCGAGCAGCACGTTGATGAGCTTCCCCAGGAGGGTTCGGGCCGTGGCGTTCTCCAGCCCCTCCAACTGGACCGCCTGCTGCTGCTGCAGCTCCATCTTGGAGATCCGCGTCTGACACGCCTCCAACGCCTCCTGCACAGGGACACGAGAGAAAGATCGGTCAGCTCGGGAGCGCAGAGAACTAAACTTTTACTGCACCGCGTTCTACCCGAGTGCTCCACGGTCGCTCCTCGGGTTTTAATGCGGTGCAGTTCGGTGGCACCGGCGGGTCCAACGGCACCCGGATCACAGCGGAACATCATCGTCTGAGGGAACAACGTGCAGCTCAGCTGTTGCGTTGGACTTGTCAGGTGTCCCGAGATAGTGGTCATGTCATAGACCTCTACCGCCCCCCCGCTTCCGTGGGCAGGAACTGCAGCCGAGGGGCAAATTAAGGCTGTAAATAGACTTCATGCAGGCTCTCTCACACACACACACACACACACGCACGCACGCACACACGCACGACTGGAAAGGACGGCGAGGACCAGGAAATGCTGGCGTTTAGAAGAAAACAAACAGACTGGATTCTCCGTCTCATCTTCCTGTTTACAGTGTCAATATGGACAAAGGAGCTGATGGGAGGTGTGCGTTTGTACGTGTGTGTGTGTGTGTGTGTGAGACCATCTCACACTTGACGTCTAGTCTCAGCAGACCTAATTGACTTAGCGCAACTTAAAAAAAGCAATTTAAAGATAGCTAAGCTCTCTTTAACACTCGACCCGGCAAGACCTCCGAATGGACGCTGCTGCAGGAGGATATTTACGGAGTGGTGGAAGTGTCTCAATGAACATTTGTCATGGCTATCGGGGGCCAGCTGGTTGACTTGGAGCAGATGTTGAGAGGTAGTGAGGGAGAAGACATCAGTGACCCCCGTCGTTAAGGGACAGAAACAAAAGCACCAATTGGAACATGAACGACCTCATAAGGACACCAACAAAATAACGTTTCCATTAAACATCGTGTTTGGTGCCTTTGTTGTGTGTCAGTTAAGTGTCAGAGGAAGTGAACGTGTCCGTGTGAATTTAAATGCAGTTAATCGCCTTTTGCTTTATCAGGAATAAAGGCTCAGAAGTGAGGACCAGGACCATTTAATTGAACCTTTCGCTTTATCCTCTAAACATTCTTATCATCTCTCTCTGACGCTTCATTTGTACGCCGGGCCGGTTTCTTGAAGCAGCCAATTTAAAAGTATGGTGATTTGGACCGAAGTGATTAATTTAGTGGCCTGTTAATATTTAAAGTCGATTCGTGACCGGCGGGCGGCGGCCTGGAGGGCAGACCTGGATGTCTCGGGCTCTCTCGTAGGACTGGTAGGCGATCTTCTCCTCCATGCTGGCCAGCTCCTGTTTCAGGTTGAGGATCTCGTTCTGGTGAAGCTCCGTCAGGTCGTTCAGCTGCTCCTCCAGACGCTCACACCTGCACACGCGCACACACACACGCACACGTGAGTGTCCGGGGTCATCATTAGCTCGGACACAGATGCAGGAATTAGCAGAAACCGACTCTGAGGGCATCTGAGCACACGACACCCGACTGAACTGATGACTCTCCCTGACAGGACCAGGGCTGCCGGCTCATCTGCCGATGCAACCGGCCAATCAGAGAGAGGCAGCAGGAGGAGAGACGCCAATGGGAGGTTCCCAGCAGGAGGAGAGCAATCTTTAGCGTTGTTTGTTTTGGCAGGATGGACAGCGCGGGACAAGAATAGACATTAAGACGCTCGCGTTGTGCGTTTGTCTGAGTCGGTTTCCTCTTGTACAGACTTTCAGGCAGGTGCGATGAACATTTTGGATCAGACGGTTGCGTGTCCGGTCTATTACGGGTTAAAGAATTGAGAGAGGCGAGCGTCAGGGTTCCCACAGCCCAGGGTCATGTCTTTAATCAATATTACAAGAAAGTCATCTGAATTGTTGTGACATGTCAATTAAAACTGATATTCCAGGCTGTTCTTGGTGGTGGAAATGATTCAGTCCCTGAATAGATACTCAACAACACGACGGGTTTGTGAACTATTATTCCCGGGAGGCCGGCTGGAAAAAAGCTCCTTAGGGGTCATTCTGTTCTGCTGGATATTATTTCGGTCTGAGAAGACAAACACTAATTCAGATGGACATTTTAGGGAGAAAAATGCTTGTGTTTCTTTAGCTGTGTAAGCTGCTCTCCTCCCGCCATTGTCCTGCCCTCTTAATCTCTGTGCCCTCTTGTCGGGACATTCTGGAGGAATTTGCAGTGTTTGTGTGCGTGTGTGTGATTTTTGTTTTTAAAGCCAACTGCTCTCAGACGAACCCAAAACAAAAGCAGCAGAGACGTCTGAGCCTGAGACGAGACACCAGAGATGCAACACAACAGCAGTTAGGGCCGTTTCTACCAGTTTAAATGGGAAAGCAAATTGTCTAAGCAAGGGTTAGTTATTTTAACAGCACTGGTTATTAGGGGTGGGAATCTTTTGGCACCTCACGATTCGATTCCGATTCAGAGGTCAACGATTCTAAACTGATAAAACGATTATCGATGCATCTCGATTTTCTAAATTTTCTGAAATCTAAGTTTGCTACTCAGAGGTTGCTAATCACTTCCTACTTTATTTGATAATTAAAGAAAATCAACAGATGAATTACCTTCTCTAAATTTTTATAAGAGAAAAGAAAATCTTTGTCACAAATATGATTTTCTATCAACGATGCAAGAACCAATGCAGCTTGCATTTCAACACAATATGGAAGTAGCCGATGAAAAAAAAATATTAAACAGATTCATTTTTCTTTTAAATGAAGAAAAAGCTGCTCTTAGTCTCAGACCGGTACGTATTTGTAAAATAGTCCAAATCTGTGAATATCTTGCTAACTTTCAATACGGATCGACTTTTTGGAAAATGGAAATAATGAGGTAAGATGTGCGCAGGATCCTCCATAGTTCGGTGAAGTTATTAGATATTCAGACTGACGGACCGGTCTGCGAGCTGGACGCATTGCTCTTGTGCCGGTAATGATGGTAAATGATGGTTGTAGCTGGTTGTCATCTACGGTCCACTACGATCACGAAGGGGGGCGTTTGTTTTTTCTCATAATTTCGACTTTTTATCCCCTTACATTAGTGCAGAAATGGGCTTCTATAGTTGTGTGAATGCGTCACTCCAGCCAATCCAAAGACGGGGTTTGTAACCAATCAGGTGGAGAGACCATGGTGACTGGCTCCGCCCCCTTACTGCCAAAAAGAAAAACAGCGAGCGCGTAGAAAACACCTTCGAGCGCGAGCAGAGACTAACCTCGCGAGCGAGGAAGTTCACGCTCCGCGAGCGAGCAAATATCTCACGCAAGACAGACTTTTTTTTTTTTAATTCCGATTATTAACTTTTCTCAATCGAGACCGAATCGTTTTAGAGAGAAATCGAAAAATCTATTTTTCCCCCCACCCCTACTGGTTATGCGGTATGAACCATCTCCCCAATGCACAGAGCGGCACGTCATGCTGACGAGAGAACAGGTCAGTGTTGCGTTCACAAGTATGTGTACCTGAAGCGCTCCTCCTGCAGAGCTTGCATAACCACCGTGTAGTCTCTCTGGTAGTGGCTCTTCAAACTGTCCAGGTTCTCCTCCAGCCTGGCCTGGCCCTCCCTCATCTCCTGCACCTCCTGCAGCAGCATATCCAAGCTGGAGCTCTGGCTCCTCTCCAGTGTGTTGCCCTTGGAACTCGGGGGACCCCCGGGGGCCCCCGTGGTGCTGTTGGCCCCCGCCGAGCCCGACGTGGCGCTGGAGCAGTCGTCCTCGCTGCCGTACCTGGGACTCGGCTGGAGGTGGTGCCCGGCGCTGCCCAGAGAGCGTCCGCCGGCCCCCGCCACGCCTTCCTCCCCCGACGGGTCGTCCAGGGAGTCTTTGAGCGACGGGATGTTGTCGGCGCTGCCGAACTTGTTGCGGATGAGCGAGGCGATCTCCCGGGGCTTGGAGACCACGGCCCCGGCGGCGGAGTGGGTGGCCTGGGAGAAGCTGGAGAGGCCGCCCTTGACGCTGTCCACCACGCCCTCGCTGAAGCCCGTGACCTTGGCTCCGACGCCCTTCAGGCCCTGCTGCATGTCCCGCAGGACGTCCTTGGGCTGCCGCGGGATGCCGTTGTGCTCCACTTCCCGCAGCTTCCGGTGGTAATGCTCCAGTTTCCTCTGCAGCTGCTGGATGCTCTGCGCCGACTTCTGGTTCTTTTTCTCAAAAACCTGACGGCCACAGAGGGGGTTTGATTAGCGAAGGGGTTTAGCGAGCATTACGCTGCAATAATCCACTCCGCCGTTAGGACATGTAGTACGAGCTCCATCCTTCCCCCTGAGGACAATCTAAGTGAATTAAGGGGTTATGGTTTTAATGCACTGATAGTCACATAAGCCCGGATTAGTTTCCATTGGGATGGTTTGTGCCTCTCATCTCACCTGTTTGATGCGTGCGCTCTGCTGTTTGTCTGCATTGTTGGCCAGTTCGAGGTACTCCGCCACGTTGTCGTCCCGGACCGTCTGCTCGATCTTGATCTGCTCGGTGAGCTTGAGGATTTTCTGCTGCAGCTGGGCGATGGCCTGCTTCGTGCGCTGAGGGTCGGGGGTCCCGTCCTCGCCGCCCGGGAGCGAACCGTCCGCCGCGCACGACACGGCCACAGCGGGCGCCTGGACCAGCCCGCTCACCTCCAGCCGGTCGATCTGAGAGGAAGGAGACGGAGAAAGATGCTGACTGATGCAAAAAAAAAAAAAAAAAAAGGCTTCTGCATTTCTGTAGGCGTTTGCCAGGAAAGAGCTAAACTAGATACTCGGTCAGTTTCTTTAAAGAGGAACAGGCATAATGTCATTTTTTTCCATTTGTTTTCAGTGAAAAGAAAGTGCCAAAAAAACGTTTCGGGACATCCATAGAAATCTTTTGATTTTGTTTTCTATCGATAGAAAAGTGAATCATTTTCAATAAGTGCACATCCACAGGTGGCTGCGAGTCGCTTTGCTTATGAAAAGACCATCAGCCTGATCTCCACTTCTATATGTTCAGTAGATAAATAGAAAGACTCACAGGATATTAAATTTGTGTTCACAGATTAATAGTTTGTCAATAAGCCACAAAGCATTGGTGTAAGAACCAAGGAATCTCTCTAAACTGGAGTTTTCCTTTGTTTCTTAAGCTACGACAGAACCTTCCATCACAAATGTTGATTTTCCCTCAAATGACACGAACAATAAAGTGACACTACAGCCAGTTGTGATTCATCTAGGCACTGTGATCAAAATATTTCTTCTTAGAATATTCTTCTCATGCACACACACACACACACACACACACACACACACACAAAAGCAGCTGTTGTGAGAAAAAGCCAGGGAGGACAACGGGAACTTCTCAGAACAGACGTGCCTTTATTTCCATAACAGGTCAAAAGCGAGCAGCAGGCTCACCTGCATGACTAACCGATGACACAAAGCACAGCGCATCCGGGAGCGACGAAAACAAAAGTCCACATTAAAAAAAACACTCCCTTAAGAGTTCAAACCAAACCAGCTGTACTTTTTTTAAATACCTCCACCTCATTAACAGCCGCTCACCTTCCCATTGGTCACACGGAGGAGCTTTTCCCAGTGCATTTCCCCCCCGCACCGGACACCGGCTCGGTCCTTCCGCCCTCGCGCTCCGTTAGAAGTTAAAAAAAATAATATATATATATATATATTTTTGTGTTAAAACACAACAAGTTCCGCGCCGGTTCCCGGGAGGCTTCGCCGGGCCGCGCGCGCTGCAGCTCGTCGGGCTCGTTGTGAGAGTCGCAAAGAAGCACCTGAGAACGACTCCGCGAAGCCCCGCCCCCCTCCCTCCCTCACAGCTGAGCGATGACATCATCCTCCGAGCGGCGCGGCCGGCCGCCGTCAATCATCCCGACAGCGCGAGCAGAAATAGCGCTTATAAGCTGTAATAGATTCACCGACCAATAGGAACACGAGTACTACACAAGGAGGTCTAGTTGTACTTTCCAGAAAGCCACTGGATTGTTCTACTGCATCAGAATGCAGAAGTCGAATATTTACTCATACAGACAAAATACGTTATCAGCCTTTACATCAATACAATATAGCACCATGTTCATCAAGATAACCCACTAACAGTTTGTAGAAATGGTAGTTTGTGTAAAAGAGACGGCTAACATCTCCAAAACTAAGCCACCCACACCAAAACAATCCAGAGTAGCACTACGTAATACTTTATTTTGGGAAGAACTGTCCTTTTAAGCTCATCTTAGACTAACAACAACTTAAATTGCATTAACCTTAAACCAGTCAAACAGAAATCTCCTCGTTTAAAGTCGAATCTTAGCTAATCAAGCTGAACACGAGGCTACTGGTCAAACTGGGCCCTGATGCGAGACCAGCTCCTAGACTCTCGGTCTCTGCAGACAGATCATCAGCTCTACAAGAAAAACCAGTTTCACGTCCAACCGCCACACCTACACAAAGACACACACACACACACACACACGCACACACACACACACACACACACACACACACTAAGCTACGGGCACATTCGAGATTTGGCAACTCATCAAAAGTTTTTATTTCTTTTTAGATCATTTGGCTTACAACTTTAAGCCAAATTTATATTAAATATGTATTTTTATTGCTGTGCGACAGCGTTTTAAGAGTCAATTAATCGGACAGCTGTTGTGCGCGTTGTGAGTCGACATGAGTGATCAAATCCCGTTGACGGGCAGCCGAGGCGACGGAATGAATCACAGAACTGGAACAGCCTGCTGGGCCGGCGCGGGGAGGAAGAACCCCCGAGGTGACGTCTCACAGCGGCACCCGGTCCGTCTCGGCTATAAACAACGCGGTATTAATAGCTCGACGGGGGCGAGTGTGAATTAAGCGCCCGCTTCATCCATACCAGCCTCTTGTTACGGACGACCACATTACCGGAGTAATTCAAGATGACGACATGTTATCCGGTAGATAAAGAGGCCAAAGGGCGAGGGAGCGGAACCCTTTGGACCCGGAGTTCCCCCCCGCGATGCAGAGCAGAGCTTCCACACACTGATAAGCAGGCCGAGCTCACCGACCAACACAACTCCCCCCCCCCCCCCCCCCGGCCGCACAGATGCTCCGTCAGGTGGCTCCAGGCCGCCGCCCCCCCCCCCCCCCTCCCTCCTTTGCACGTTTATGACCTGGATTTCTTTCCGCACACGCGACTTTCACCTCAGACGCTGCAGATAAGGCCGCGAACAAATTGTCGATCAGTGTCGTCCCCAAATGAGGGGAGGGTTTTTTTTTTTTCTTCCCGCGGCTAATCGCGCACGTAATTAAAGATGGCGAGCTGAGGGATTAGGCTAATTTGCCCGTGTTAACAGAGCCGAGCTGAGCCACTGAAGCAAGAAGCGACAGGCCCTGCATCACTGGAGCCGGTGTGGCCTAATGAGGGAAGCTGAGTGAGAGGAGGGAGGGGGGGGTGATCCCTCTCAGATTAGTCTTTATCAGTAAGAAAGGAACACGAAAAGCCATCAGCTCCCCCCGTCCACACAGGAAGGAGCCTGTTCTCACCGCGCCCCCGGGTCGTCCTGCTGGTGCACCAGGATGTGCGGCGGCCGCTGGTCCCAGTCGAGCTGGTCAGAGCCGCCCTGACTTCCCTCCAGCCCCCCCCCAGAGGGGCCAGAAGAAGCCGTAAGGCCAAATACATCTTATTCAATGTAAGTCGCTCTGGATAAAAGCGTCCGCTAAATGACCTGTAATGTAAAACATCTGGTGCTGCCCATCACCTCCAGCCACCTCTAAGTCCCGCCCACTCGTTGTAGGTCACCGGAGCAGCAAACGGGCCGATATCAGAAGGCTCTTTGTGATGCATTTCAGGGCGATTTAGCAGCTCGTTTCTTTCGCCTCCACAGCTTTAGACATGCATGCCCCCCCCCCCCCTCCCCCCAGTTTCACTCCACTTTTAGTTCCTCTTGCATGTATATGTTGTTACATCAGGTGAAACAGTTCAGTAAATATATTCAAAAGCAAATTCAGAGCCTGTTTCCAATCGGGTTTGCTGCTGCTGATTGTTAAAAGATGGAGGAATTGTCCAGCACACGTTTAAGAACGAAACAAACGGCCACCTGTTGCAGACTTACAGCTTTACATGAAGGACTTAGAAACGGTATTTAGCAGTTGAATTCATGTGGAGCAGTTGCTCCGTTTCGTTTCGTGCACGTGATGCAGGTCACTTTGTGTGTCAACGTGCAGGACCTCGTTGGTCGTTGCGCGTCGCGTTCCCGTGACGCCGGCCTGCGTTTCTTATGCCAAAGATGCAACAGTGATACAATAAGCCCAGATCTCCGCTCCACACCGCCCCTATTGACTCTCTGAAGTAAGGCAGACGGTAGATCATCCGCTGCTCCACCGAGGCTTATCCACCGAGTGAGACATCCTGGCGCGGCGGCTCCCGGGATCCATGTCGGACGGGAGAATCCGGGTGGGCAGGCGACCCGTCCACCTGTAAACGCTAACTTGACATTTTACCGTCGTCCTCGCTCCATTTGTACGTCTGCCTTTCTCGCCGACCTTATCGCCGGCCTCCCCAGGCAATCATCCCGGTATCACTGAACTTCACACTCCTGATTAGTCGCGTTCGATCTTTAACCCCTTGCAGTCAATCAGAAAAGCGGTTGTCACAACAAAGCGGCATCACGTAGGGGGTCCTGCTGCCTTTTATCAGACACATAAAAATGGATCACGTCCCGGTTAGGGTGGTGGAGCGGACGCGAGCACGCGGCGAGAGCATGTGCTTTATTGGGAGGTGTCCAGCTGAACTTTGTAGTTGTTTGTGAAAAACAATCGGTGCTTGTGACAAATCAGTTCTCAGATATTTACCCTCAACGGTTCTTTTCCTGCCAAGCTCTTTCATTTCCTCGTAGATTCACGTCCCACGCAGGCTGAATCCAGCGCAGCTTAAATCCACACAGAAGGTCTTCTTTTAAATCTTGTTTTCAGGGATAAAATGTGGCAACAACAAGATCCTTACATCAGGTTTGGAAAATTACACAACTCCATGTGATGCCGGACAAGTGGCTCTTTACTCAATCACGCGTGAATTAGCACAAAGCACAACACACACAATGGACAGGCGCGTGCGCACACACACACACACACACACACACACACACACACACACACACACACACACACACACACACACACACACACACACACACACACACACACACACACACACAAAATGGGGACAGTGAATTTACTGAGGAATTCGGAGGGTGTGAAAAGCCCTTCATGTTCACATCCAAAACACACGTCAGGGAGAGCGCCGGTCTGGAGAGAAAATGTAAAAAGAAACTGGCTTTTTTTTTAGCTCCTTTATCACAACAAAGACCTTCGATCGATTTCAAGTAAAAACATTTTTGCACGGAGATATTGTGTAGAACCGAATCTTTTAATACAAGATCTTATTGAGTCACAGGACACTTTAAAGCTGGTTCACGACATCCGCTTGCGTCTTCGATCAAAGAGTCAAAAGCCTTCAAACACAAACGGCGAGCGGGATTCAGACTCACGGGGGCCGGCGCAGGAAGTGGAGCGTCGGCGGCGGCGTCGGCGGCTACCAGGTTGAGGATGACCTCCATGGCGGGGAGACGCATGCGCGCGGCATGTATCGGATATTTCCGCTGTGCCCGTCTACCCGT